TACGGGACTCGGCACGACCGCCACGACTCCACCCGGGGCGTACGGATACATTCCCGAAGTTGCCGACGGCGGAGCCAGCCACACTGTCTTCCTCCCGACAACCTGCGCTATGACAGACATCAACATCGCGGATCCGACATAGCTGTGTCTGTCCACCTCACACACCGAAGAAGTTGAAAAACGGATCCTACGCGTTCGCTGTCAGCATTCGGTTCCTCGCGACAGCACGGAACAACGCACCGTGTGAGCGGGCGACACGGCTCCCTTCGGCCCGAGCCATGCGTTCAAGATGAGTTGTTCGTCATTCGCGGGCGGCATGTACTGCGGGCAATCCTTTGGCGGTTCCATATCCGCATACACGTAGTCCGGGACCACGACGTCGTCCAGCAGCGCCGGGAACTGCGCGAAGAGGTTGTGTTGCGCCAGATACAGCACCTCCGCGCCCGTACCCACATTGGCGTCCATGTCCGTGCCTTCTCGGTCCCCGTCAAGTTGGAGCGCCCCAAGGAAGGCGTCCCACGGCATCATCTTCTGCGTCCACTCGTCCGCGCGGTAGTCGTTCCCCACTTCGATGGGCACGACGCGCCCTGGGCCCGCAACAGCGCCCAGATACGCGCGCGAGCGCCACGGGCGCGAGTCCAGCGCGGGCCAGCCGGTGTCGCGCAGGAACCCAGGGAGGACGAAGGGGCGTTGAGAAAAGCGCGACCCGAACGTGGCGAGAGACGGTGGCTTCGGCAGACGAAGGACGGCTTGGGCGGCGCTTGAGAGCGGTGGGACGGGCGGGGGCGCGGCGCGAGGTGCGTCTGAGGACCAGGACGAAGACGGAGGGGCGGTATACCGGAGGCAATCCGACTGTATGCGCTTGATGAGAGTTTGGATGCAGTCCATGCGCCCATCCCCTGGTGCGCCGGCGATGACAATGGCGTGGTCGAGATACGATATGGCCGACAGCGCAAACTTTGTGTCGCCGCCGGAAGAGCAATCAAGAACGTCAGCGTACGCGAGAATCACGGACGCATCTGTGTAGCACCGCCGCCATGCACGTCCTTCTGCATTCCGCGTCACTGGCATCTTCTCGTGGGCCTCCTGAGTGAGGTTCAGCAGTGCGCTCTTGACGTCGGCTCTTTCTTCAGACCGTGCCTTGGCCAAAGTTCTTGAAGCGTGTATCAGGGCGTCAACATGGCTCCGGCCACATGGCAACATCTCTGCGAAAGGCAAATCAGTCGGTCATGCACGATGACCGGAGCAGGTACGAACAGACCGCCCGGCTCCGTGGAGGTCAGAGTCCTTAGGGTGAAGGTGACATGCTTCCGGTGTCGTCCACGTTGTTGCCATGGACCGTAATAGGATAGACTCGTGAGAACTCGATTGAACCGGCTAAGAATGTCACGCGAGCGTTCGCTTGCGGTTGCACAGTCATAGCCAACTCTGGCCTCCTCAAGCACCAAGCACTATCTCAACGATAGACTAACCTTGAGTTCCATGACACTGGTCATCCGTCAAGCCATCAACGAGAGTATCCACTATTTTTGCGAAGTCTGCGAGCATAGAGAACGTCATGCGGATTCGACTGTACGCGAACAGAGCGGGCTGAAAGGGCGCATAGATAGGTATTCGAAAATGGCCTTGAACATGCAAGAGACTCACTATGGGACAGGACAGGCACGGTGGCTGCAAACGAAAGGGGTCGAACTTCGAAGATACCGCGATAGTGGGTGGCAAAGCCTTGTACTGAGTATACGCAGCTTGATATTGACGGCAGGTAGATAGAAAGGCACGCAAGACGGCAGCAGGCTGGCAAGGAGTTGGCGTACGCCAAAAGGCTTTCAATGTGGATGGGGGAAGAGAGAGATCAGTCAAGTCGACCGGTCGGACCTGTGATGCGCGAGGCCCTAATCTGGCGCCCATCTAGCGAAGCATGATCGAGCACGTAACGCCGTGACGTTGCCTGCCAGCGCATCGCCGGATCCTCTCGCGCGCAATCCTTCCGTAGACGAAGAAAGGATGCACACAGTAAAAGCAGTGCTCGCGCAGGAGTAGCCGGGGCGCGGTGAACGTCAACAGGCAAAGAGGGCAGCCGCGACGGATTGAGAGTTCAAGCGGACAGTCGAAGCGCGTGAGGGGTGGCATGTCACACGTGACAGCGTCAAATTTCGGTCACCGGAGACGTTATAAGGGACACTGTGCGTGGCCGCGGGCGTGAGAACGTCCCCGTAAACCCCTGCGATCTTCATCAGAGCGCGGAGACTCGGGCCGGTCGTACCATGACGTCGAGGTGAGCGCTTCGTGGCCAGCCCTGACGCCCTTCTCCTGACTGTCGCGCCTAGATTGGACCGGCTCCTCCTCCTCCTCGACACCGGCTCCTCTGCCTCTGTCCGCACCACCGCCGCCAAACAATTGGCACAGCTCGCTGCAAAGAGCGTCATCACCGACGTTTCCCTCGCCGAAGACGATGTCAAGACTACCCGCCACCATGTTCCCGTCGGCGACCCCGCCGGCTGGGCTGAGCTTATGGCTGTCATGGCTCGAGTGCGTTTTCCAACATTCGATCGAGCTTACTGAATGCGCTAACGTGCGCCTCCAGATCCTCCCATACCTCCACTCACGCTCCCACGAAACCCGCTCGGCCGCCGCCACCGCACTCTCACACATCTTCACACTAGTCCCTTTGTGGATACCCTATGCTGACGCACAAACTAACCCTTACGGCGCGTCGACCACTCAACCCGCTCCCGAATTCCCCCCTTTCTCCGTCCGCGAGCTTATGGAAAAGGGCACGTTGCTTCTCGCCTCCTCCGGCAAGGAGTTCACCAAACCTACCGGCATCCTCGCCAACTCGACCGAGGTCAAGAAGGCGCGCAAGGAGGCCATGGGCCGCCTGGGCCTAGACTTCCTCGACAGCTTCGGCGGCGCTGACGATATGGACATCGACAAGGAGCTCGCCGCTGACGAGCCCGACGCCGACGTCGAGATGGCGCAGCCGCAGCCGCAGCTGGTGCCGGCCCCAATGTCTATCAAGACCGAAGTCAGGGTTGAGGTCAAAGCCGAGGACAACCCGCCTCTGAGCTCACCCATAGAGGAGCTTGTCGATATCAAGGTCAAAACGGACCCGAGTCTTCTCGACAGGTCGAAGTCCTCAACCCCGGTCGCTGCGCCTTCTCCTGCGACAACCACCGCCCCCGAGGATACCTCCGCCCTTTCCGCGCGCGAACGCAATAGGCTAAAACGCAAACGCAAGCCGGGCAACGCCGCCGTCGTCGGCGCACCTCCACCCACACAAGGTTCTGGAGCCAAGTTTCAGGCTGCGGCTGCGGGTCCCACGAAGTATGTGGTTTGGGTTCGACGCTGGAATATAGTTGCTGACATATCATTGCGTACGCAGAGCGCGCCTGGTCTCGACAGACGAGACTTCTTCTGCCAAACAGCGCGGAAGCAGCCCAAAGTCGCCCACAGAAGGCTCTGCACAGGACCGTGTCGCCATTGATCCCACAAAGGGAGGTGCCATCGCCCCTAAACTTGAGAGCAAGTCGAAGGCGCTTGAAGTTGAGCCCGGGACTTGGATCTGGGATGGCCTCGTGAAGCTGCTTGAGGTCGACCTTTTCAGCGCCGCCTGGGAAGTCCGCCATGGCGCCGCGATGGCTCTCAGAGAGGTGCTCAAGCTTCAGGGAAAGTTTGGTGGCATGAAAGGTCGGCGACGTCGCATTACCGGAGCTGTCGCAGCGCTAATAGAGCAAAACCTCCAGCCGATTCCTCATGGGATGAGAACCTCCTTGCCCACGAGAAGTGGTGCAACGACCTCGCTGTCAAATTTTTGTGCATTTTCGTGCTTGACCGCTTCGGAGACTTCGTGTCTGACCAAGTAAGCCCACTGTATGCGCTTTCTAGTTGCTGTCGAGGCTCATGTGTGCGCTCAGGTCATCGCCCCCGTTCGCGAAACTGTCTCGCAAACGATGGCCTCCCTCCTCCTTCACATGCCTCGAAGATCCGTACTTCGTGTGCATAATGTCCTGCTGCAGATGATACGCCAGGATTCCCAGTCACATCAAGCCTACCAACGGCAAGCTGACCATCAAACATGGCGACCGCAGTCACGTATGGGAGGTCCGCCATGCGGCTATTGGGCATCAAGTACGAGGTCGCCGTCCGCAGTGACCTTGTGAGCCTAGACGTACCCGAAGGAGATTCCGCGATGGATGTCGATGACGGCAAAGAGGTGTTGCGGGGTGTCGTCGATGCCGCCGTTCTAGGGTCCGTCTAGCCCCTCCCTCGACTTTGATGCACGGCTAACTCGCGTCGGTTATCAGCCTCGGGGATCGCGACGACGACGTGCGTTCGGTAGCCGCGTCATGCTACTGCCGGTCGCGTCGTACCTGGTTAAACGACTACCAGAAGAACTCAGCCGAGTGTTGGCCGTGTTGTGGAGCTGCCTGAGGGTATGAAAGACGACCTGAGCTCTAGTGTTGGTGCTGTCATGGACCTTCTGGGTGCGTTGCTCGTCTAGATCGTACTGTTTTATTCTGAATCGCCCTACAGGTCAATTGGTAGCATATAGCGAAGTCATCGAGATCATTGCCGACGAGGCACGGTCGTGAGTGCCTTTTGGCGCTTACAGGCCCTAGACTCACGGCTCCCTTCCCTGCAGACAACCATCACGGTCCTCGCACCGACCCTGTTCCCCTTCTTCCGACACACGATGCGAATGTCCGGCTCGCAGTCGTTAACACCCTTCACACATTCATGTTAGTCGAGTCGCTTCCACGCGGCTGGATCGGTGTTCCGTTCCTGCGCCTGCTCTTCCAGAACCTTCGTTGAAGAACGCTGCGACATCCGCGAGGCGACATTGACGACATGGAAACACGTCCTCGATACGATGAGCGTGCAATCCGGTTGGATGGAGGAGTCGGTCACGCAACCAGTGCTACTCGAGTGGTACGCGGTCCTGATGACCCCCCTGGGCTTGCCTCTCGACTCGTCGACTTTCTATGATGCGAACGTTGATGCGAAGAACGGCGGCCCATCGGAACGACACAATGTCGACAAGAATATGCTCACGCAAGATCTCTCTCTGGTCCCAATCGAAGTGGTGATTCAAGCCAGGCTCGCGGCCTCCTCCGCCCTGGCGTACATCATAGCCTATTGGCCATCCAGCGTGAGCATATATCGCACTTTCCACATACCTTGTTCTCACACCCGTCTTGATAGGACAAGTCGCCCCCCATAGACGACACCTTCCGGCCCATCCTCGTGCACTACGTCGACTCCACCAGCATGCTCCAAAAGTTCCTCGCCGCGATCATATCCGAATACTGGGCGCGCACCTACGACGCCCGCGCCGGGCCCGACGCGCCCCTCCTCATCGACGCCTCCCCGCTCGCGGCCGACCTCGCGCAGAAGACGCTCGCGTGGCTGCAGGCGGACCCGCCCGCGGCGTACCACGAGCAGGCGTTCGCGCTCGCGCGCATCCACGGCGAGTGCTACAACCTCCTCCAGAGCTTCGCGTACGACTGCAAGCTGCCGCAGACCGCGATCCCGCAGCTCGGGACGGAGATCGACGTGACGGGCACGCGCGACGGCTGCTTCACGATCGACACCGCGCAGCAGGCCGTCGGGCGCATGTTCGACCGGCTCAAGGAGAGCCTCGGGCGCACGAAGAAGCGCGAGGTCGCGATCATCAAGGACAAGCGGCTCAAGGTCGTGTCGAGCATCGAGCGCTATATCGAGGTCAAGGGGCAGTACGACGTGCGCGTCGCGGCGGCGTTCGCGGCGGCGTTCGTCGCGTTCCGCGGGACGCCGGACAAGGTCAGCCCGATCGTCAAGGGCATCATGAACAGCATCAAGGTTTGCTTCCTTCGCTGGCTGGGCGAATGTTGTCGCTGATGCACTGTTGGTAGAACGAGGAGAATCTCTCGCTGCAGACGCATTCGGCCTCCGCCGTCGCTGCGTTCGTTGAGTTCTGCGTCCGGCGCGATCTTTCACAGCCGCCAGACAAGATCGTCAAGAACTTGTGCACGTTCCTCTGTCAAGACGTTGAGCAGACTCCGACGTTCCTCTACCACCGTAAGGTGCTCTCCGGGGTCCTCTCTTTCTCCAAGTCTCCGGCGGCGGCAGCGGCAGAAGCAAGCAATGGCAAGGATGCCAAGAGCGCAGAGGACCCGGCGAAGGCCCGTTTGTCGCGGAGAGGCGCCAGGCTCGCGTTCGAGAAGCTGTCCGAGAAGTTCGGCCCTAAGCTGCTCGAAGCGGTCCCGAAGATGTGGCAATCTATGGCCGGTGGGCTTCTGAGTGCATGCTCCACAGGTGCGTCTTCTCCCGCCTTCATACATATGGATCCTTAATTTCCGTGCGCAGACTCTGTGTCCAAGATGGACGAGCAGATCGAGAAGCGCCACGGACAGGACGTCATCGACTCGCTCAGCGTGTTCGAGGCCGTTGTGCCCACCTTCCATGCCGACCTCTCGCACAACTTCACCGAGCTCTTCCCGCATGTCGTCCTCGCCCTCCGGAGCCGCTTCGCGATCGTCCGCCAGTCGGCTGCGCGCTGCTTTGCGACGATCTGCGACGTGCTCACGTGCGACGCGATGCGTTACGTGATCGAGAAGGTTGTGCCCTTCCTTGGCGACACTGAGGAGCTGTCCAACCGTCAGGGCGCCATTGAGCTCATCTATCGTGAGTGTCGCAGTGCATCCGTCTGCGATGATATGCTCAACTATGGATCATAGACATCGTGCAGAAGCTGGACATCAAGGCGCTTCCCTACGTCATCTTCATGGTCGTCCCTGTCCTGGGACGCATGAGTGACCCAGACGATGACGTCCGTTCAACGGCGACGAACACCTTCGCGTCGCTGGTGAAGATGGTACCGCTTGAGGCCGGCCTCCCCGATCCTCCGAATTTCCCTGAGGACCTGCTCAAGCGCAGGGAGCAAGAGCGTCAATTCCTCATGCAACTTCTCGACGGCAGCAAGGTGGAGCAGTACAAGATCCCGGTCACGATCCAAGCCGAGCTGCGCAAGTATCAGCAGGAGGGCGTCAACTGGCTCGCCTTCCTCGCCAAGTACCAGCTGCACGGCATTCTCTGTGACGGTTCGTTGCACCACCATCCCGTTGTGTGAGCAGATGCTGATGCCTTTCGTGTAGATATGGGTCTCGGGAAGACACTTCAGTCCATTTGCATTCTAGCCAGCAAGCACCACGAGCGCGCGCAGAAGTACAAGCAGTCCAAGTCCCCCGACTCCAAGCACCTTCCGTCGCTCATCGTCTGCCCGCCAACGCTGACTGGCCATTGGTACTACGAGATCCTCAAATACACCGAGAACCTCCGTCCGGTGCTGTACACCGGAAACTCGCGCGAGCGGTACAAGCTCCTGCCGAAGCTCAAGACCTACGACGTCGTCATCACCTCGTACGAGGTGGTCCGGAACGACATCTCAAGCCTGCAGGACATTCACTGGCACTACTGCATCCTCGATGAGGGTCACATCATCAAGAACGCCAAGACGAAGCTGACGAAGGCCGTCAAGCAGGTCAAGGCCGTTCACCGCCTCATCCTGTCGGGCACCCCGATTCAGAACAACGTCCTGGAGCTGTGGAGTCTGTTCGACTTCCTCATGCCTGGGTTCCTTGGCACGGAGTCGTCGTTCAACGAGAGGTTCAGCAAGCCGATTCTTTCTAACAGGGACGGCAAGGCGAAGACCGGTGAAGCTGGTGAGTTCCTTTGTGCGCCGAATGATGCAGAGACTCACATCGCATCCAGCTGCGTTGGCTCTCGAGGCCCTCCACAAGCAGGTCCTACCCTTCCTGCTCCGTCGCCTCAAAGAAGACGTGCTACATGACCTGCCTCCGAAGATCATCCAGGACTATTACTGCGAGCTCTCAGACCTCCAGAAGTTCCTCTACGACGACTTCTCGAAGTCTCGCGCCAAGATGGAGGCGGAGGACGTCGTGCGCTCCACGAAGGAGAAGGACGGTGAGCAGCAGCACGTCTTCCAGTCGCTCCAGTACCTGCGCAAGCTCTGCAATCATCCGGCGCTCGTGCTCAAAACCGACAAGGAGGCGATCAAGGACGCGCTCGCCAAGGCGAGCACGGGCTCCTCTGCAGGCGCCCTCAGCGATATTCATCATGCGCCCAAGCTGCAAGCGCTTCGGTGAGTGGCACGATGAGGTCATCTCCGTTGTCCTTCTAACCTCTTGACAGGCAACTGCTCATCGACTGCGGGATCGGGCTCGCCCCGGGCGCGACGGGGGACACGTCCAAGTCGGAGCTCGTCGACGACGAGGGCACGGGCTCGGGCGCGTTCTCGCAGCACCGCGTGCTCATCTTCTGCCAGATGAAGCAGATGCTGGACATCATCGAGACCGACCTCTTCAAGCAGCACATGCCCTCGGTGACGTACATGCGCCTCGACGGCACGACGGACGCGAACAAGCGGCACGCCGTCGTCCAGACGTTCAACGCGGACCCGTCGATCGACTGCCTCCTGCTCACGACGCACGTCGGCGGGCTCGGGCTCACGCTCACCGGCGCGGACACCGTCATCTTCGTCGAGCACGACTGGAACCCGATGAAGGACCTGCAGGCGATGGACCGCGCGCACCGCATCGGGCAGAAGAAGGTCGTCAACGTCTACCGGCTCATCACCAAGGGCACCCTCGAGGAGAAGATCATGGGGTGCGCTCCCCGCTCGTTTTCTCGTGTATGCGCGACGCTGACCCTCCGTTTCCCCCGCGACGCCAGCTTGCAGCGCTTCAAGCTCAACATCGCCAACTCGGTCGTCACCCAGCAGAATCGGGGCTCGCGTCGATGGACACCGAGCTCGTGCTCGACCTGTTCAAGCGCACGTCCGAGCAGGAGGACGCGGCCGCGGCCGCGAAGAAGAAGGACAAGGACGCCGGCGGCGCGAGCCTCGGCCACAAGAACGTCCTCCGCGGGCTCGAGGACCTCCCGCCCGAGGAGGAGTACCAGGAGCTCGACCTGAAGAGCTTCATGGGTCCATCGGCCGCTGAACGTGCCCTGCGCCCCACGCCTCGTGTTTCTGTTCCGCGCTGACTTCTATTACTGCCCTCGACCTTGCGCCCCATTCTCCACCCCTTTTTCGCCTTCGCCTTCGCTTTCGTAGGATACCCGGAGAACGGGGGGCGCGAAGTAGTAGCAGCCCCCCGCCGACCCCGGCAACATCGTGAACCGTATCTTTATCGTCTCGTCGCATCGCTCTCGGACCTCGCCATCTCATGATTCCGCTGCTCGGCCCCCACATGGATTCGGTAGACCAACTGGTAGATCACTGTGTATTCCTGTAGCCGTACGCCCCGAACAGTTGTATAATACAGTATAATCCGACCCGGCCGGCTGCGATTCCGCGCCCATCAAAAGACGGGGTGGGGGAGTTTACACGAATGTCCCAACATGTTCATTGGGTATGCGTGAGCAAAAACGAAACTCGGTACGGATGACGGTAACAGCGTACTGACATGACAGCGGCCACGCACGGCCACGACGACGACAAGAGCGAGACTACCACCGCATCACACCTGTGGACCCGCCCCGCGCGTGCGCGAGCGAGGAAACGGTGAGCGGCCGCGGCCCGCGCGCTAGAAGAGATGGTACGGCCCACCCGGCCGCCGCGCGCCCCGGCCGCCGCTCGGGCCGAGCCGGTCCTTCCAGTAGTGCGGGAAGGTGAAGACGAGGACGAGGGCGACGACGACGACGACGGTGCCGGCGACGACGCCCCCCAGCACGCCCGCGCTCAGCTTCTTCTGCGGCGGCGGCGCGCTGTCCCCCGCCGGGGCCGTCGGGCCGTCGCGCCCGAGGAGGAGGAGGAGGAAAAGGAGGAGGGGTCCGAGGCGGAGAGGACGCAGGAGGTGTCCGCGCCGGCGAGGACGGTGAAGGGCGCGGAGCGGGCGGAGACGGCGCCGCCGGAGGCGAGGGCGACGTACGTGCCCGGGGGCACGCGCACCTGCGCCCACGCGAACGCGCCGTCCGCCGCGCGCGCGGTCGTCGTCAGCGTCTGGGAGACGAGCGGCGCGGCGGCGGTCGTTGGGCCGGTCGCGGCGCGGTCGTTGGTGACGGCGAGGGTGAGGTTCGCGCTCGCGTTCGCGCCGCCGCTGGGTGCGGACCAGCGGAGGGTGGCGCCGGTGCAGGTCGTCGCGTTGCTCGGGGGCGAAGGTGAAGGCGTGGCGCTCGCGGAGGCCGCGGAGGCCGTGGAGGTGGAGGTGGAGGTGGGTGTGGAGGCGTCGCCGTCGTCCTCGGCTCGGTGCCGCCCCTGCGCGCGAGGCGAAGTCGAGGAGGAGGACGAGGAAGAGGGCGTGGAGGGTGATGAGCCTCGGGAGGCGCATTGTGGAGTATGGACGGGTGTGGATGGCTCAGAGAGGAGGGTCCTGGTCGACTACGCAGAGGCTTCAGAGGGTCGCACCCACAGCGTTGAATTCGTACTCACAGGGGTCGGTGCGCTCCTCGATCTCAGTCAGTCTTCGCTGCCACCCAATTGCTGCTCAGCTGCGGACACCAGGGGAGTGCGAGACGAGGAGGGGAGGGGAGAGGAAAGGCGGGCGGGGCATACGACATACCCACCGTGGTGGAGCGACTCTATCATATGCAGCCGCTTCTCACCCGGCGCGAATAAAGCCCCCAGCCGTCCGTCCCATGTCGCCCCTCCCCTGCCCCCCGCCCGCAGCGCACACACGCACGCCGAGAATGACGCCAGCCGTGCGCGCCGTTCGTCCCCGACAGCGGGGGCTCGGTGGTGGGAGGCGGGCCCCGGCTCCTTTACCGCCCTCCAGGCCGGTGGACTGCCTGCGTCCTCGACCTCTCCCGGGGCTCGGATGCGTGCCCGAGGGGGCGAAGGGCGCTTCGGGCGCGTGCGAGCGTGGTGGAAGCACGACGTCTATTCAGCGTCGTTGGCCGTTCGCTCACAGGCGCATGGGGCCGTGGCAGCCGGGACCAGTCCGTCCGCAGAGCTCGCGCAGGGGACGTGCGAACGGGCGCGCTGGCCCGGGGCTCGAGGCGGTCGGTGCGCCTGGGAGCGGTGTGGTTGCCGGGGGCCGGGCGTGGGGACGGTGCATGCCGTTCCGAGGGTGGTGGACGGATCGATTGGAGGGGAGAGTGGAAGAGGTGAGTGAGGCCGATGTGGACCGGGAGTAATCCAGCTGTCACAGAGTACGTACCTCCGTGGCTTGTACCATCAGCCGACATGGGCGGCGGGGGAAGCTGCCACATGAGAACAACGGGGGTGGTAAGGTGGATGCTTGGAGGTTGCTTGGAGGCACCTCAAGATAGGTCAAGCGACCCGTGTCCGGCAACGTATACGCGGCTACGGCTATCTTGATAGAAATACTTGCGGCCATACGCCGGTGTCACATTGTATGGGTGCGCGGATGTTGTAGGGCCGGAGAAGACGCACAAAGGAGTCTGGTGGTTCTACTGGCCAGCTCCGCCTGAAATAGCACGTCCGCAGTCGGTGTGATTGACCGACATGCGTTTGGGGCCAAGAATACTCACTGTATTTCCACGCGGAGGAGAATACTCTGCATGGGGAATGGTGGTCGTGCGAGGACAAGTGTAAGCCGGTGACCACGATGATGATGGTAGAAGAGAGCAAGTTAGACGCCCCCCTCAACAACACTAGGGCGCTTACCCGATCACTACCACCCACTGTGCAATCCAAGTACGGCATACCCATGTGTAACTGTCAGTTCGTAGTACTACTTGGAGTCCTGTGCACTCCCATTCCCATTGACATGCTACAGTCGCCGACCAATGCCCGAAAACGGGCTGAGGCACATACGCCTCCACCAGCCGATGGCACCAAATACCGACCGGGCACTGAACTTGTCCACTGAGTAAGCACGTCGTCCCGCTCGGCGCGCCCTCCGAATTTGCATAGTACATACCGGGAGATCGACAGAGTGCAGTGCCGTCTTGATCGCGCTACCTTCGACCGCCGATCACGCGAGACGCGGGCGCGAAGGGCTGCAGCGAACGTCTACGCTGCCCACTGCGGGGCAAGCAAGCAAGCAGTACTAGTAATACATGCGGCTGGTATAACAATCCGTGACCTGTCCGTACGCATTACGACGGGCAACGCGCACGTACACGCCGTCCTCAAATCTCAAAAGCACACACACACACAACTCGCCCGCCGTCTCCGTCTCAAACCCACACACAGCGCGACACGACACGGCGCACGGCCTACACGCCCCCCTTCCCGTCCCGCTCGGGCGCGTCGTCGGAGAGGCGCGTCGCGCGCGCGCCGTGTGCGCGGCCGCGAGCCGCTCGAGCGCGATCGGCGTCTCGTGCGGGCGGCGGCTGCGGCGCGCGAACGTGCTCGTCGCGCCGCGGGCGGAGTCCGTCGACGCGAAGCCGATGTGCGTCGAGAGCATCGTCGAGTTCGTGCCGCGGCTCGACTCGACGCGGCTCGTGCGCACGACGAGCATCGTGAACACGATCGCCTGTGCGGAGGGGGGTCAGCGTGGAGGGGAGGGCGAGGAGCGAGCGGGGCTCACGTTGACCGCTGGGAGCTGCGGGGCGGGGACGGGGAGGAGGTCAGCGCGGGAGACGCAGAGGCGCAGGCGAGGCGGGGGACGCACCGGCTGGAGGAAGATGAAGAAGACGTTCGAGGCGACGATGTTCGAGACGATGAGCGCGAGCAGGTTCGCGCAGTAGAGCGCGGCTGGCGGGCGGGCGGCGGGACGGTCAGCTGCGCGTCCGGCGGCGGGTCTGGGAAAACGGGGTCCGCACCGCTCTCGATGACGATCTCCATGATCCGCGACACGGGGCTCTCGTCGCGGATGTGCTTGCCGGTCATGCGCGTGACGGACCAGATCTTGTACGCGATCAGGCCTGCGGCGCGCGCGTGAGCGGAGGGGACGGGGATGGGGAGGGAGAGGACGTGTACGGACCGGCGCAGAGCGCGTTGAGCACGAAGGTGACGATGAAGAAGTACTTGACGCGCACGGACACCTCCGCCACGAGCACGCCCACCGTCCTGATCCCCGTCTGGAACTGGGTCCACACCGACCAGATGCCGAGGGCTGCACGAAGCGCACACACACACACGGCGCCGTCAGCTACCGGCGGAGTCGAGCGAACGTCGGGCGGACGCACCGTAGGACGCGAGGAGCAAGCCGATCGCGACGAAGGCGACGTACAGGTTGTAGTTCCACACGATGAGCGCGCGGTAGACCTGCGCGGCGCAGATCAGCCCCTCCGACGACCGGCGCGCGCGACCTCGGGGCGCGAAGAGACGGAGAGGCGACGCACGATGATGAGGTCCGAGAACATGGCGAGCATCGCGGTGAAGACGCCCTTGGTGAGCGTGACGGGGGCGGAGATGTTGGCGAGCGCCTTGGCGGGGTTCGCGAGCTGCTCGCCGTCCCGGAGCCCGAAGGCGTTGTAGCCCAGGACGAGCTCCGACCACCAGTCCTGCGTGCGCGAACGCCGGGGTTAGCGCGCGCACCGACTCGCCCCGACAGCGGAAGGGGAAGAGGAGGACGCACGGCGAGAGCGAGGACGAAGATGATGCCACACGCGAATGGGAGCCAGCCCGACAGCCCGGCGCGCCATTTGCTCCAGAGAATGGAGACGGATTGGGGCACGTAGGCCACGTAAAATCCTTGAGTGGCGCGGTGAGGACGCGCGCGGCGCGAGCTACGAAGAGAGGGAGAGAGAGACGGACCGGTTGCGAAGGTGTTCGCGAGGAGGCCGACGAGGTGTGCGTTGACGAAGGAGATGTCGGAAGGCATTGCGGGAAGGGCGGGGAGGGGGGAGGAGAACGAGCGAGACGGGCGGCGGCTCGCGCGCGCGGGGAGGGAGGCGTGGGCTCGTGAGCGGTGGTCGCGGAGCAGGGCGTTCGGGGCGAGTGCGGTCGTTTGCGAGTGCGCAGGCGAGGACTTGCGAGTGCGGAAGCGAGGAGAGGGAAGGGTGCGCACGCAGGACCTGGTCGCGGTCGGCGGGGGTGGGGGCACGCGAGGCTAGTGAAACGGGGTGCGCGGCATCGGGGGGCCCTCCGGGGACGAGGAGCTGAGCGGGGGAGGATGAGGGGGAGGGAGAGGGAGCTCGAGAAAGCAGAAGAAAGCTTTCATCCGTCGTCTGACCTCTCTAGCGCTCCGCCCCGGGCTTCGAAGTTCGCGCAGCGGGCGGGGCGCCGCGTGCTCGAGCTCTCGCGCACCTTCCAGACGGAAGACGTCGCTAAGGACGACTGGCGGGCGACCTAGAAGCCCCGGGCCGAGGCCGTGCGCTGCCCACGCCGCTCGCTCAACTCGAGCTTAAACGTTGATCGCGGTCTCCAGCATTCTACAACATCTACTTACAATTCCTTGATGGGTCCGTACACATGCGTTCTCCACCCATCACACGCTCACCAGCGGCGCATGTACCACAGACTCCACCGTCGCGAAGTCCACCAAGACCGTCGGTGGCGTCATCGCCTTACGCGCTTCATAATGCGCCTGGCACGCGTCCCCATCAGCTTCAAAGCTTCAACGCACGCTCTCCCCACGCAGCACTCACCTCGACGGTCTCCCAGCCCACAAGCAACACGTACGCGCCCTCGTCCCCCTCCTTCGGCCCCCACACCCACCCGCGCACGCCCAGCCCGCTCGGCGCGCCCGCCATCTTCTCCGCGAGCTCCCGCATGCCCGCCTCGAACTCCGCGCGGCTCTTCCCCGCCTGCAGCCGCAGCTGCACGAGCTCCGTCACGGGTGCCCCGAGCGCCGCGCCGGGGTCGCTTCGCGCCTGGACGCGGGCCACCGTCTCGACGTCCCCGGCGAGCCCGAGCAGGCCCTTGGCCGTCGCGGCGTGCTCCGCCGCCGCCTCGGGCGACTCCCACCCTGCATCGCAGTAAGCAAAAGAGAAGAAAGAAAGAAAGAAAGACCGGGACGACGCGAGCGAGCGAGGGACGCACCGGTGACGAAGTAGCCCGTCGCCCCGTCCTCGTGCTGCACCCCCGCGGCGGCGATCCTGTGCGTGCGCCGGCGGGCCCCGTCAGCGCGGTCCTCGGAGTCGCGCGTCGAGTACGCATGCGCAGACGTACCCGGTGGCGCCCGGGGCGGCCCTCGTCGTGGCGCCGACGGCCTTCGTGAGCGCGCTCGGGTCCGCCTTGAACGCGTCCGTCGCTTTGAAGGACGCGAGTGCGATGACGGGGAAAGACATGGTGATCGGATTCTTGGATTCTCTTGAGGCTGGAGGGCGATCGGGCGGTTGGGATGCGGAGGGCGAGGGCGCGCCGCACGCTTATAAGCGATCCGAGACGAGAGAGTATGCTTACTGCCCAGGTCCGTCGGTGGAGGCCTCTCCCCGCGCGGACAAAGACCGGGGATCGGCATCCTGGAAGGTGAAGATCGACGGTCCAGTGCTGATCAACGTCCCAAACTCCGAGATATTCGGACTGACGGCATCACTAAATTCCGCACCAATCTCATGCGTGAGCGTTCGTGTACCGATGCCGGTAATGGATCAGCGTTAGTATAGCGATGAGTGGTCGCTTCCACCGTCTGTGCGGATCATGCATGACCGTAGCGCCGTGGACTGACGACAATGGGTGTTCATTCCGGTGTGGCAGAGGATCACTGATATCGACAGCAATGTAAGCTTCGGCTGCAGCAGGTTAGTTTGTGGTGTTCATTGTCTGAATATGCTTGGGGTGCAGTATGTTCACAGGATGCCCATGCTCTAGCAGTACCAAGGGAGGAGGTGATCTGGACTATAGTGAGAATGGTCTAACTTGATCGTTCTTGGGTGAGGTGATGCCAACCACAGACAACGCATGTGATAATGAGATACCATAGGAATTCTTCTAGACAACAGCCGGATCATCATCAGGCAATAAAATAACAGAAAAATGTGGATTGGGTACAGGAGGCGCGGATTACAACCAGACACAGCCCTCGCTGGCCATGATATGAGCCAGTGCGCTGCTCGGAATCAGACCAAGACGGGATCGTCACGGGTAACCCTCGGATCGTCCGAGGGTTACCCGTACGGTCCCTCACCCGCATACCCGTTACCCGGGGTGTACTACTGCGAGTGCGGTTATGTGTCGCTTGATTCTTCATAGAGCGTGGTGTAAGCGAGACGTACGTGAGTGACGGGACGGGGACGCCGCGGGAGGTCTCGGACGTGCGCGGCTGCCCCAAAGCCGGTGGAAAACGGCGGCGACGGGGAACGCGGCAACATTAGAATTCACGAGCATGTTGAGCGGAATCGAGAATCGAGACCGACCCACTTGGCATTGACGCGATATACCATGCGCACCCGGGGCGTATGTCTTCTTGCAGAGCGCATCTTCGTGCTCGTGCAACAGTGGCATGTACCCGGCCTTCTGCCAGATGTGCCGGTGGAGGTTGTGGCCGAACGCGCGGAGCTAATAGTAGGCGGCGTAGGCGTGCGTCAGGACGCTGAACACCTGGTCGAGCCCCTCGAGCGAAAGCGCCTTGGTCTCGGGCACGAACAGGAGCGCGGCAAAGAAGCTGAAGACGCTGTGCGGGCGGTTAGTTCTCAGCGTCGGGACTCGGGACTCGGCGCGAGGAGAGGGAGAGGAGGGAAGATGTGCTTCCAGCCTTTGAACCAGCTTAGGGCATCCAGGCGCTGAGCAGCACGCGGACGGTGAGCGCGATGGCAGTTGCAGGTCGAGCGGGACGTGGTGAGCGCGAGGGATGGAGGAGTGGGAGGGTGCGTACAAAAGCCGGAGCTGCGCGTGGGCGACGGGCTCGGTGGGTGACTATGTCTTGTCTCTTCCATATATCCCATGAGCCTAAGGATGATTAGTATTGTACTCCGTCTCCACGAGGTCCACTGTCGAGCCGACTGAGAGGCGACTGACTTGACCTGGGGACGTCGCGTCACTGGTGCCTGGCGGCTTCACATATTTGCGCTTGAAGTACCACCGCTCTCTCGTCCAGATAGTCACGAAGACATCTGTCGACATCTCAACGTTCTGACGCCATACTTCGGGGACCAGCCTGCTGATCTTGCTCCAGCGAATTTCTCTGACCAAGGTTCCATGCCTCGCACCCGCGAAGCGTCTGAACGACAACGGTGCGTACATTGGCAATTCCACAACAGACAGGATAGCTTACACTCGAACGCTCAGCCTTGCGCAACCCATCCTACAGCGGCAGCAGCGGCACATGGCAGAGCTCGAGGTTCGCATACTTCATCACTTCCTCCACGACCCCCGCGGCCGGGTGCCAGGAGCGACCAGGTCGAGGTGTGCCTGCAAGAACCCCCGCCGCCTTGTCAGCGCGCTCTCCTCCTCCCTCCCCCCGACCTCACCCAACAAAGCGGACAGACACGCACCTGGACGCTCGTCCACCCGATCATCAGCACCCGCACGTCCTCGTCCTCGACGCCCGTGCCCCACGTGAGCGCGAGCAGGCCCGTCTCCTTCGGCGCGCCGGTGACCGCGCCGGTGAGCGTCGCGAACGCGGCCTCGAAGCCCGCGCGGTCCGCCGCGCTCTTGATCGTGAACTTGGCGACCTCGGTCACCGGCGCCTCGAAGACGGGCGCGGGGTCGTGCTCGGGTCGGACGTGGTACATCTTGATCCCCTGGGCCGCGTCCCAGATATCGCCGACGGCGGCGCCGAGCGTCGGGTACTCGGGCGAGGCCATCAGCGCCTTGTGGTCCTCGTACGTGTTCCACCCTGTGCGCGCCGGACGGAAGCCCGGAGAGGGAGGGGAGCGGGGAGAGGGGTAGCGTGAGCGGCTTGTTCCCGCGAAGGCGCGGTGGTGGCATCGGAGGAGGTTGCTCACCGATGAAGAGGTAGCCCGTCGACTGGTCCTCGTGCTGCAGGCCTCCTCGGACGATCCTGCGGGCGGGGCGAACGCAAGTCGGTCTCGCTGGCCCCCGAGTCCGGGGAGCCCGACGCACTCACTTGGTGATGCCTGCGGTGGCCTTGAGGAAGTCGCCGGTCTGCTTCGCCGTCGTCGCAATGTCGGCCGGGTTCGCCTTGAACGCGTCGTTCGCGGCGCAGTGAGCGATTTCGATCACGGGGAAGGCCATCGTAGTGGTGGTGGTGGTCTGGGGCTGAGCGGTTCCGCGGGGTCAGCGACGGTGCCTCCACATAGATCCCGGCGGCGCTCACGGTGTGGGAGTGATTGGGCGATAAGATGGGTGGGCTGGAGGAGATGGGGGAGATGGTGTAAACGCAGGAGGAAGACCGCGAGCCTCTATATACCTCCTCTCTCATGGTCAGCTGGCTGCATCAGTCATGCACTGTCTTGGCCATCCCCGTAGAATACATGGACAAATCGAATGCGTTATCTCGAAACATCCGGCGCCCGGCCCGCCTACTATTGATTCTCGACGGTCCAATGCTGGGCCTCCTCGTATGGCATCACCGGTCTTGCGGCGAGCTGGACGCGATAGCCGGCTGCGTATACGTGCTGGTATACGAGAGAGTTCTCAAGAGTCCGGCGCGCTCATGCTGAAGCTTGAAGCGGTTTCGAGCTTCGGGCTTCGCAGAATTCGAAGCGGCGGTTCCCAAGGCCTGTTCTCGCTGCCGTGGGTCCGTCAAGGTTCGCAACAACACGTGTCGCGCGCGAGATGTGCGTCAAGAGCAAGTGTTCGCTGTTTGGCCGAGGAACGTGCGCGCGCCCACGCTGCACTTGGAGAGTGTAGGCGGAGGGGTGCTTCTTCAATCATCACCATCGATATGACAACGCTCCACCTGCCTCCTTCTTTGCGCACGCACGCTGGTCGTCACTGGATACCCACAGACATCTTGGAGCAATTCGCCCGTACTGTGCACCGGTCCGCCCGGTGTATCAACGCCCACTGCGCAAATGTCGAAATAGTACGGCAGGGGGGCGTCACTGCACGCGTATCGCATCGTATTCCACACGCCTGACCCCTCACAATTCCCCACTGACACGCGTCTCGCTCCACAGGCTCGACAACGGCACGTAGACAACCTCCGCCGTCGCAACCGCAGCGAGGACCGCGCCCAACGGCCCGTTGTTCTGCAAGACTCTGCGATGTGCCTGCACGAAGCCCACCCACACTCGTCAGCTCGCCGTCGACCCGCGCACCTTGGCTCTACCACCCTCCTCGACGCTCGTCCACCCCACGACCATGACGACCGCGTGCTCGTCCTCGATCTGCGCGCATCCCCTCGACGCGCGCGGACCCCGTGGCGACCTCGCCGAGCCACGCGGCGAGCCCCCCGTGGCGGCGGGCGTTGGGCCGGAGCTTGAACATCGCGATCTCCGTCATGGGAGCACGCACCGCGCCAGGCTCCTACCCAGCCGACCTATCGTGTTCTCGTTCCCAATCCTAGAGCGTGACACAGGCTTGGTATGTGCTGGGGGAAGACTGGAGTGTGCCGTCCGCTTGAGCGCGAGGCAAATGAGGGGTGCGCGTGAATGCGATGTGGGGATGAGGAAGAGGCTCAGCGCTTAGGCCTCAGCGCGCAGGGTAGGAGCCTGGCACCTCGCGCGCGACGTCGTTCCGCACATGGAACATCCCTGCCCGGCCGCCCGGCGTGCGGAGCTGCGCGAGGTCCCAGATGGCGCCCGTTTCAGCCAGGGCGAGGGTGGAGTGCGACCGAGAGAGAGACCGTGAGCTCGGTTCGTGCGAGGCGAGAGAGGAGAGAAGGTGGGGTGCTCATCGACATCGACGACGACGTACGCGGTCGCCTGGTCTTCGCGCTGCAGCCCGGGCCGAGCGCACGATCCTGCCCCGCACCCGCGGCACTCGCGTCCGTGAGTGAGCATACGTGGCACGGCTCTCGACGCGGCAGAGGCGCGAACACTCACTCGGTCGTGCCCGGGGTCTGGCTCAGGATCTCACCCGGGGAGCGCTTCGACATCGCTGCGATCGGGCCCCGTTGGGTTCGCCTTGCAGGCCTCTGCGCGACTTCGATTGTGGGAAACGACATCGTGCCTTGGCAGATTGGGTCGACGTTGCGAGGTACTTAGCCTAGGGGTATCGCTAGCGTACTTATTGAATGTCGCAATCTCGGGTAGACGCACAAGCACCTGCACAGATCCACATCCCTCCTTGTGATGCAGATCGTTTGTGTAATAAGGCCATCACAGACTCCATCTTTCATGTGTACAATCGTCATGGGCCATGAGTCATAGCGATGGTGGGCCGCTACGGCGATGGAGGGGCAGCTAACGGACTCACTGAATACAACATATATACTCTCATAAAGCCGACTGCCTTGTGTCGCAGGGGTGCTTCACGCATAATAAGACGCGTGACCATAGCCAATGGTGAAAACCTTCGTGGTCCAGATGATGCCTCAGTTGAGCCCTTCGAGAGCAGACCCGTCTTGCTTGCGTCTTGCTTCCAGCCGTCTCCCGAACGTCTTGCCAAGTTGTCATCCGTTTCAGGTTCGTGGCGAAGCACATCGCGTGGGATTTGTAATCAATCTTGTCATCCTCCCACCGTCAGCAACCTCGAGCCTTGCCCCAGGATCGACACTTGACAAGTGTCGAGAGAAAAGAGGATGCTCTCCAACCCTTAGGTGCTTAAGTGGAACGGGACGAATGAGATCACCGGCTACAGATCTAATCTCATCGCCTCGCACTCGGCAACTGGCGCCCGCAGCTTGACGTCCTCGGAATACCGTCACGGCGTCAACTTCTCCCTCCCTGCCACAGCCGTCGCGTATCCCGCCCAGTGCTCTTCCATCCTCCTAGTTCTCTTCAATGTCCGCGCCGCGACTTCCCATCGAGACCACTGAGAAAGTGCTCGACGAACTCAGCGCTCAGCACGATCTCCACACGCTCACCGCCTGCGCTCGGATCCACAGCGAATGGCTCCCCAGGAGTCGTTTCCTCCTCTGGCGGACTATCAAAATCTCTAGCTTGGACAGCCTATACTCCATTGATCAAGCCTTCAAGCGCTCTCCATACTTGCGCCGTTGGTCCATGCTGTTCGACTGACGACTTTGGGCCACGGACATCCATTTCCCTGGGCCGCACCGGCGATCCTCCTTCCTCATCTCCTCCACATCGACACATGGGAAATAAATCATATGATTACGATGTACCCGTGGGTTTCCCCCGGATAATCATGTCGTGCCTCCGGCACTACCCGCCGTCAAGACCCTTATTCTTTCGGACGTCTGCTTCCCCACTCCGCTCCATCTCTACCGCTCATTCGTGCATTCCCCACTTTAGAGACACTGGAGATAGCTTCTGTGAAGTGCGACGGACACTCACTTCATGATGCGCTCATCTCTTCACCACCCTCCGGGAATCTATTGAATTTCACAGTACGGTGCGAACCCACCACGGATATCACAAGGCAGCTTGCCGGGTTCGTTGTTGGAAGCTGCTCGACATTGGTGCACCTCAATATCGGCGTTAAATTGCTCATCGCAGTAGGTACATGTGTAGACAACTCACGCTGTGAGATTTTCAGAACTAACTTCCACTCACACTCACAGGCATTCCACTTGCCGACTTTACGAGTCTCACATGTCTTTCTGTCGATACCGCCTTGACATATCAATATTATCCCACCCTTCTCTCCGATCCTACGACACTACAGGACCTCAAAAATCTTGTGGCTCATCTTCAACTCCCACCTGCCCTACGCTCCTTGGAAATATTCTTGATCGTTCTGGGATATTTGATGACTTGTGACCTCAGTAGTCTACAACAGGCAACTCTACAACTCGCAGGATTGGTGATGAATCACGGCTATCTCAGCGCCAATGGGATCAACCTCGTAGTGCAAGACTCGACACGGAACCTCGTGGACAGATGGAGATCCACGTTAGAACGTGCTTTCTCCTCACTTCAACATACACGGAACCTTCTACACATCCAATTTCGGTACTCCAGTGTGTTCTGTTCCTTTTAACCATTTATGCATGTACAGTAATCATTGTACTTATCCAGGTTTACCGGAATGGACGACCCCTGACTCCGAGTACGGGCATCCCACTTCTTCAGACCACTTCATCTTCTCTCGAGATGGAAATTGGGCGGCCAGCGTAGCGTTCATCGTTCAAGATCGCCGGCGAGTGTTCAGTAATGCTCATAATCTGGGATATTCGCACTGGCGGTCAACCGGCTTTGGAACGTTGGTATCGCTCGTCGGCGCCCATTTGGGACCGAGTAGGAACACTCGCCTTCTCGCCTTCGACCGTCCGCCTCTTCCTTCACTGTCATGACCAACTGAGAATATTTAGCCTCCCTTGTGCACCGGAAGAATCCCTCACCTACAGCGACCTTCGGGAGACGGGACACATCAAGCCTTCTAACGGACTGCAGGAATTCCTCGCCGCAAGCTGGTCACCGGACAGCGCCCAAATTCTTGTGCTGGTGACGACGATGGAAGTCCAAATCTTGGACGCGGAGAGTCTGGCCCACATGCGTACGCTGCACTGTCCCCCACGATTCAGGGTCATTGGCCCGATTTCATCTCTCAGTATCTCTCGACGGCCGGTTCGCTTTGGTTCGCCAACGTTCTTGCCGGTCCTGGAACAGCCGCAGCGGGGAGCCCAACTACAGTGATGGCGTCTTCGCCGTGGAAATGGCGTCGGACCAATCCTTCCCCTTCCTCCTACATCTCCATCAACCCCATCATTCCGGCGACAGCCTATTCCAGGCCGTTCTGCGACACGAAACTAAGAACAGCGAAGGACTATATTCTCCTCGCAGTCACCAGAGCTGGCGCGCTTTTGGTCGAATCCAGTTCCGGTGCGCACGGCGACGACCATGCCACCCCTACGACGCTGGCGCAGGCACTTCCCGAAGGCTGGACGGCGAAGGCGCTGTCCCAGGACGGCTCTCGTGTACTGTGCTTCGAGCCAACGCCGGGTCGGATTCTACGTGTGTCGGACGTCGCTGGTATGCGTATTCGACACCGCGACCGGAAGGCCGCTGTCAGGGTCTTTCGAGGTCGAGTCCTACCAGGAAATCCTTGTTGGTGACAGCACCATTCACTGCCTTCCATATTCTGGCCGACTCAACCCGGCACCGGGCAGCGCCATGCTCCGTGGTATTGGAGCACTCTCCGCGGTCGCCTCCACCGCGTCCCAGCCCTAGACCGCAAACATTGCCAATTGGTGGTCACGGACGACGGATCGATGGTCGGATGGTCGGATTGGCACGGAGGGTGCACTTCGAGCGCAACGAAGGCGACGTGTGATCCCGGCAGACGATGCGTGACGACTGGCTTGTACAGTAGTCCGCCTTCACGGCTTTACCTGACGTCCATGCATGTACAGGCGACCATGCTGGAGGTGGCGAGGGTTTGATGGGGTGGGCGGCGTGCGCGTGCAGGATCATGGATGGGGTAAATGTATATGTATTCATGCTTGATATCATACACCGTCGACGTATCTGCCGCGCAAGCTGCAGGTGCACGGCGATTGCCTTTGCGAGGCCCAAAGCTCTTGGGGGACGTCCTCGGACGACGGCAGCTCGGTCGTCAATATCTCCAAGCGCCCTACGTCCATCTACACTGAACCATGCATGCGCACTCAGTTTGCCAATGCATGCACCATCACCGAACACACCAAAGCCTACTCAAAGGAAACGGGCGGGTCCTCGGATCACTTCTTTCTTCTTCGTCCGAGGCTCCCTCATCCCTTCCCATAGCATCCAATTCAGAGCGGTCTCCCTTAAGAGTGGTCTACCCGACGAAGGATATGCTGCCAAATAACGTACTTTCGAATCTCCTAGTTGCAAAGCAATACGACGATGATGCAACGATACAGTTGGCTCTAATCGATACATGCGGTTCGTGCGGCACATACGTTTACATATTTCCGACAAATACACAACGGCACGAGGATCTGGGTTGGGGAGACTACCGGTGTCGCCAATTAGGCTGCATGAACCCGTGCGGGTGATGGTTCGGTCCAGGAATGGGAAAGATGGGCGGCGTGGCAACGGCTTGTAGAGGGTAGTGGCCGTGGTTGTTGAACTGTGTCGCGCCGCGTGGGCCCGAAAGGAAGCCGCCCCGACCCATCGCTACCTGGTGAGCCAATGGGGTCACGGTGCCGGACGCTGCGGGCGTGGGGACAGTGCTCTGGGGTCGTGCCGGAGGTCTGTATTGCTGTCGAGTGCGTGTCAGCACATGGACTTAGGGTTACGGGGAGCGGAGAGACTCACGTATTGTTTTCCCTCACGATAGACTTCCTCCAACTTGCTGTCGAACGAACCTCGGCTTCTAGCTGCAAGTACACCTTGTACAGCTTCAGTGCCGACAGTGCATCTTCGATCGAATCATGCGTGTCCGTCTGGATGTTCTCCTTTAGAACGAACCAAGTCAGGAACTTCAAAGAGAGTCGGCGCTGGCGAGCTTCAAGGAAGTATAGGTCCACGGTATCGATCACTTGCTCCTGCGGTACGAAGATATCTACAAAAATTTGAGTGGTTGTCATCATCGGGGCAAGAGATGATACGCACTGATGATGCGGAAGTCCTTCGATAGGCCGTGCCCGATAAGATGCAACCGCTGTCGACAAGCAAACGCAGCTTTTTATACACGACCTTCAAAGGCGTCAACGTGTATCGCGAGAGGCTGGGATCCAAGTCGCCGACTAACAACTTAATCAGCATGTAACCATGACCTTCGCAGGAATGGCTTACACTTGATGCCGGAGAACTCCGTCAGATAGTCGACGATGATCTCGCTTGTATGGATGTGGTCGTCGATGAAAGGCATGCCCTCCTTCGATCCATCACCACGCAGCACAGACACGCGAGCAAGCGAGAGACGGGCAGGTCGAATGACCTTCTTGGTGCCGTCGGATCGATACTCGGTCTCCTCTTGCTGCATGGACACGAACTCGGCGTCAATGGCAATCAGAGTACCGGGTTTAGGCAACTCTTCGAAGCGCAGCGGTTCGTGCTTGATGACTCGGGAATCGCGATTTCTGTAAAGGCAGAGTTACATGCTACGCGACAAAAGACGGAGCTCTGATGACGTACGCGGCAATGTTGGTGTCTCGGCAGAGGATCGACCTGTCCATCTTGTCCGGTAGGCCGTGAAGTCGAGGCGCTGGCAAACGTCCACGCGTTCAAGGTACAGTATAGCTGGCACCTACGTTCACGATATTGAGAATCTGATTCGTGGGGTTCGGAGATAAACCGACCTTCCACCCGAAGGGAAGCTCAGAGCTTCGTCCTCGGATATGTTCTGCACCACGAAGTCATTGAAGATAACCACGGCTCCGGGTCGGAAATCTCCGCCTCCGGCACTGCAACGCGAAGTCAGCGCGACACAAAGCACCCACAAAGCGACACACACCTTTAATGATCGCCACGAGGTGCGAGTTGGCATCCTTCGGCACGACCTGCGCCACGATCGCCGCAGCTCGTACACAACCGCCTCCGGGTCGTCCATGCCGTCGATTTGTCCGTGGATCTGGACGCGCGGGCGCAGGAACGTCTGTCGCCTCGAGTCGCGCCAAAACTTGTGCGCCTCCTCTCCGTGCGCAGCGGCGTTGACTGCTAGGATGGGCGGGAGGTCGCGCGAGTGGATCGCGCGCCGCGTCTCGAAGGTCGAGAACTGCTTGCACGTCTGGCACGTCGCCTTGTGCGTCGTCTGCCGCAGGATGAGGAGCGGAGGACGGACGCGAAGTCCGCCTCTCCAACTGCGTCAGGCGCGCGTCGCACGGGATAGATGAGGTCGATCAAGTGCGTCATGTTCTCCTTCTCGCGCACGGCGTGGCAGGTGGCGCAGACGATGATGTTTTTCGCGTCGACGCCGAGAAGCTGGGTGATCGGGGCAGGCGCTGGCGAGAGCATGTCGATGGGTCCAGCGTTAGGGAGCAGCATCGGGTTGTGCGGGAATGAGTTGCCCTCTGAGCTGAGGTGGTCGATGAGGAAACGATGGAACATCTGGATCATGTGGGCGTAGCTGAGCTCCGCGCTCTCGCGGCCGTAGTCCATCAACTCGATGGCGTTGTTCACTAGGAAGAACGTCAGCGAAATCACCAAGAGGATGTATGCGACGCACTCTGAGCAAGGACGCCCACGGTTTTGCAGAAGTTGCTCGATTGGCAGTTGGTACCATGTGCATCCTCGAGCATCCGAGTGACGAACCCGAGCTCGCATAGGAGGCAGTGCTCGCGAGGACAGTCGGTCGTGATGTGCGACTTGGCGAGGCGACGAATGGGGAGTGTGTAGTGCATCACTTGTACCAGCGCGTTCGTGTACGAGTTCAAGATATGCGTTTCTAAACCGCTGAACGAGGTCTTGTTGTAGAACTGGGTACGACGGACATGACTTAGTGTTCTGAGCCAGTAGAGTGCACTACACTCACCCAAAGTCAAAGTCCTCTACGCCGAACTTCGAGTATTCGATCTCGACTTTGCGATAGCACTTGGGAACGATGTCGGGGTTGTACTCGTGGGTCGGAGTCACAGGTTCTGACTGCCTCTCGGTCAACTAAGGCTGGCACTTTCGCGCCACCAACAAACTCACCTCATTGTATCGAGTCTTGCCGCTTCGGAAACGACCACCACTCTTACGAGGGGCTGTAGCCACAACATTCCGCCTTCCACGCAGCTCCTTGGGAAGCGAGGCATACGCGATGGAGTCGTTGACCTTGATGGAGCTGAGTACTTGCTGCGGGATCTTCGGCGGAGGTGCGAAGTACATGTTTGTAGGTGCGAAGTCGGTGGACCATGAGGATAACAGCAAAGACTTGTAATGCGGCATGCCGACAGTGTTCAGGGACTGAGCAGTGCTTCAGCACAAGTTTCCAGCCGCACATAAGACCACTCACGTCGTGTCCGTCCAAGTGATGTCCAGAAGAGCTTCCGCAGAGTCGGGCCATTCGATCGGCTTCCCGTCGAACCCGTTGAAAGGCAACATCGCCTCTTCCTCCGCTGCCGAGAGCAGATGGATCGCCCCGTCCGAGTCTCCGAACGCCATGTAGCCAGCGGTAGGAGAGACCGCCACAGAGCTGATGTATGAGGGCGCGTCCAGCTGATAGAACTCGTTGGTGGCCGGGTTCGTCGTGTCCACGATTTGTACTAAGCCTTGGCTGGACGTGATCGCCAGTGTAGACGGGCGATTCGCGAAGCGTGTGATGAAGCTCGGGCCTTGCGAGAACGGGATGGGCGTGAGTGCTTTGAGATTGCGGAGGTCGTACACCTTCACAAGCGGATCCGGGAATGGCCGTCCTTGCCTGTTGCTTTTTAGACATTGCCGTGAGCGAAGACAGCAAGGGCGAACATACCGCATGCCTAGGCCGATCGTGTAGAGCAGCGTTGAAGTCGTTTCAATGCCCTGAATGCCGCTCAGATGCGCCTTGACCATGTTCGATCCATAGGAGCGTGTCGTCGCGTCGCGTGGGTCGTGCAGCCTAACCCATCCATCCGCGTCGCCGGACACAAAGTACGTTTGGCTCGCGGTAAAGTGCAGATGGGTGAGGATGCTCGGGACGGACGAGCGGCGGAGGACCGATCCAGTCTGGGTGTTGAGCAGAATCAGCTCCGAACTTGCGGTCGAAAGCGCGATGGTAGATCCATTGGACGGCTTGTTGGAAAACGTGGTGATTTGGTTACCGGGCCTAGTGCGCGGGCTCGTAAAAGCACACGAAGAGAGAGAAAGCGGACGCACCTGAAGAACCACGCGTTCAAGCCGCCCTTGCCCCATGCGCCGATCCCATCGCTCGCCACTCCGCACGCGATCACGTTGCTCTCCGTCGCGAGGATCTTCTTGACCGCGAGATGGCCGCCAACGGGGTAGTGGACGCCGCGCAGACCGCGCGCGGTATAGTTCGCGCAGACATGACCGGAATTGGTGCCAGACCAGAGAATGTCTGTGACCGGGTCGAAGGAGAGGGAGGTGATGGGCTGAGGTAGAACATCTCTCTGGTAAACGAGCGACGGAATCTGGTGGTAAGTAGCCGACATTCAGCGAGGCATGTAAGGAGAATCCAAGTGGCAAGAGGGCGGATCGCAAGCGCGCTTGGCCCTGCTCTTGAATTTCTACCACCACCACCACCACCCAGACGCTAGATGCACTCTCTATGGCCTTTCTCCATGTGACACGCAGGAAGGTTGCACCTTTGAAGGATAAGACAAAGCAGCATGGCACTACTAGCGGACACGCGACAATATTGTTCATGGTGATTACGGGTGTCTACATTGTAAGAGTATGCGAGTCCTTGTCCATTGCCACAAGTTCAGTTCGTACGGAGCGTTGATATATTCATATCATAGTCCTATCATGCACCTAGAGCACCAAAGAACGACTCGTCCGATCATTTCTGGTACTGTTTGCAAAGCATGCCAGGTTGCTCGCGAAAGAGCTCGGTCTCGTTGATTTTTATAACGGGCTGCCAAGAACCCTTGGCAACGCGCTTGAACGCGAGTAGGCGCAAGTACTTGAGCTCGATCGGCCTTCCCTTGTGCTGCGGCGCTGTACCCTTCTGGCGAGCGCGTTGTGAGCCCCCGTATCATTGCTTGCCGAATCTGAGGAATTCACTCACGATGGCTTGTTTAACCTCGCCCGCTATCTCGTGAGCTAACGTCTTCCTACTGATAGATCCCCCCTGCGCGGTTGCCCTCATGGCGGCAATCTGTCGTTGATACGGGCTACAGCCCTCGAACTACCATCGGTCTATGTGAGTGCTCTTCACAATCACGCAAAGGCATTGCGGGTCTCACCTGCAGGCGGAAATGATTCTTGCTCGCTACTCCCCATTTCTTATCGTAGGCCTCTTGGTCTCCCTCCTCCAACATATCCAGCTCCTCGCTTTTATCCAGCGCTGACTGCAGCGAAATCCCCTCGCGGCCGTTGGCCAAGGAAAACCCCACAAATTCGGTGAACTCTTCTATACCCCTCCTGCGACCGTCGTAATCGATCACACGAAGGTAAGTCCATGCCGCCTGTGATGGTATCGTCAGATAGTAAACCCCTCCACCAACTCAAACACTTGCCTCCTGAGGCTGCGAATCGCAAGCGGCCACCGACCGATGCACCGGGAGTTCCTCTACCTTGATATGAGTGTTGCACCAGGTACAGTCCTCCGTGTCCGGTGATGTCCAGTCTTGGAAATTTTCCTCCCAGGATTGATCGACTGGTTCTTGGCCTGGGATGTAAAAGGATATCGATTCCTGCAAGGTATGCCACCTATCGGTCAATGAACACTGCACCATTGCTGAAGCACTTGCCTCTTTTTTCCCGATCATAGCTGTATCGAAAGCCATGGTGAGGAGCAGTCGCCAGTGAGGGAGGTGGCTCCATTGTCACGACGAAGTTATATACCATTCTCAACGATTCCATTTGGCAGGTGACCCACTGCGTCGCAGAACCTTACACACCAAGATCCTGCTGGAGGTGTAGCCACAGCCTAGTGGATTTGGGCCATTCTCCTGGGAAGTGGCAAGGGCATATCAAACTCCAAAGAGTTCTGCATGTACAATGAGTGAAAGGACAAAGTCTAGACCGATCCTAGCTGACATGAAGGAATGACGTAAATTCCTGATATCCTTCTATCTGTGTGACTTCGGACGGATACCTCATGCGAGGCAGCCTGGCCAACGACCGGGTCCATATCCGGGATATCTGTGTCATCATTGGGTTCTGTACGCACAATGTGGATCTCATTCGTTGTGACAGCGAGCTGGATGATTTCGGTGAGTATATGTTCTCTCATCATCGTCTAGCTCCGAGGACTGATCAAGATGATATCAGCAGCATCAGCAAAACGAGCGGGGGGCAACAAAGCGCTGTCGTGCCAAACATCTCACTGATTCATCAGTGCTTGACCTTCTTCAAAGCTGATTTCGAACTTCGCAATGAACGCAAAGGAACTACAATCGAAAACGAATGTATCGTACAGTCGAATTTTAACAGGGATGGCGTCCGTTTGTATCATATATTCCCCTCTCTGGATCTGACACCCCCTAAGTTCAGATAAATGCCTGGAGCACGACCTCCCAGGAGCCCTTAGACACACGACGGAGCGAACACAGTGCCAAATTATCGATCGTCAGCGCGCGCCCGTTATAGATGGGACGTTGCAGGGCCTGGCGGAAATCATGTCAATGAACGGACTCGGCACCGGAGAACAAACACGCCTCACAATCATCCGATAGGCCTCCTCTGCGATCTTGCGGGCGAGCTGCCGGTACGACACGGGCTCTGCCCCGCACGTGGACCGCCTCGTCGTGATTTGGCGCGAATAAGGCTCGTGGTCCGGGGACAGCTGAGTCGTAAGGTCAGTATCGCGTTGGCGCCGTGATTATCGGAGACGCACTGACCTTGGGGAAGCGCACGCACAGCTTCGTGGGCACGTTCTGCGGAAGCAAGACAGGCTCGTCCGCGTTCTGCAAGCACACGTGTGCTCCGAACTGCTTGATGGCGTCGGCCAGGCGGATTCGACGTTCTCCGCTCGCGAGCTGGAAGTCGATGACGTCGGTGAAGCCCTCGCCTCTTCCCTTGGAATACGCAGAGCCGGGCAGGTCCGTCCACTCGGCCTGGACCGGCTCGGATGGGTTTCGTGAGTCGTTTGTCTCTTGCACATGCTCAGGCATGACGAATAAGCAGCTCCATATCTGGGAGAACTGCTCCCCGAGAGCGGTCAGTCAAAGATCACGCTGAAGATTGAGTCACCGCTCACCGAGGCTTCCCACTGCTCGGGTTGGGATAAGGTCATCCCGTCTGGAGAGGAGCAAAAGGTGGTCATGGGCATAGTGAGGAAGGAGCGATGACCCGACGTCGCGATGGGGGACCCATCTCCATCTCCCTATGACCTCGATGGATATATGTATACCTCCCCCACCCTCCCTATCCCGATCCGAGTGGACACTTCAGCGCAGCCCCGACCAGACGAAAGAGGGAAGCGTCACCAATTGTGGGCTTCACAGCGCGTCCAGGCTGGTCTGGAAGACAGATGGAGAGGGCACCCTAGGTGCAATCGCGGGGCGCCGGCTCGGCGAGCCAATGGCAACGCTCTCAACCACCACCACGCACCCCGAGAGCCGCTCCACGCGCGGTTTCGACGAAGCTTAATCGTGCTGACGGAAGTGCGGATTGGTCTGCGCACGTCGACGTCTCACGAAAGATCAGGTCGAAGCAGCCGCCATCGTGGCCTCCCACGAATAAACTTGCCCTCTCACGAAGGATCTCTCAGAAGCTCGCCTGAGCGCCGCCCGTGCTAATACCCGTTTATGTGTATGGCGTCATCCAGGTCCACCCTGTATATGCACAGTCCACACTCTCATAACGCACACCCCTCGAGAACTTATGCGAGGGTGTCCGTTTCGAAAGAAGCTACAGGCGAGAGAGCAAGTCCTGCCGGATCTCCGCGCACAAGTATTCCACCTCGCGCACTCTGGATCCGCCCTTCTCCACAGGAACTCGGGGAACCCGCACACAGAAGTTCTCACGCAAAAATCAGGCCGTCTTTGGACGGTGTCCAGAGCGTAGATCTGTTATGGTCGACTGCAGGGATGCGTTACGAGAGGGTCGACTGTATCTTGGATGGGCTTCGGACTGCGATCAAAGTTTGCTCAAGCAAGTCTACCCTTGAGATGCAGTATCCAGAGACTCCGCAGTTTCCATGCGACACACTTGTTGAAACGGCTATCCCGACCACTTGGATGCGTGGCTATCCGGACGAACGAATACGTCAATTGTGATGCCCAAGGGTTCTGTTATGTGGCCGTCGGATATCCCCCACAGATTATGAGCCGCTCGGCTTCTCCGGCAAAGAGGATATCCCAGTGTGTCAGCGCGTCATCAAAGGACGGGAAACGGCCCAAAAACCATCTCTGGTGGGACCTTTGAAACAGCAACTGAAGCCACACCTTCACATTCTGAACTTGCGCGCTCGCTCCTTGGCCCAAAGCTTTCGCAGCAGGGGTCTCGACGCCAGCCCCAGCCCGTCCGTCGCGGTCACATAACTACTTTCAAGCTATCCGGACGCACGTCGGAGTGCCACAAAGAAGCGCGGTAATGAACGACCCTGCTCCAGACTGCGACATGCCGAGGCAGGACCTCCGCCGGTCGTAGTCGCAAGCGAAGGGTGCATCTGTCCTGTCACTGGCGGTGGCGATAGGCGGGGGCTCGTGGATCCACGAGCCCTCGCCAATCGCTGTTGTGGGATGCCGCAGCCACGCCAACTCGGTTTGAAACAAGTTCGAGAAGGCGCACCACGAGGGAGAGACCGCGCGAACGCTCTCAAAAGGACCAAGGCGGCATTTTGCAGCTGAAACGCAGATGCGAACTGGGCAGCAAACAGAACTCGACTTGATTCTGAGTGGTCCTTTCTTTGAACCACCCGATGCGCTCTGTTGTTCGTGCGCAGGCGTGACTGTCGAGAACAAGAATGCGCATCACTTCTCGACTGTTGCTGTGGTCATCCACCGCAAGCACGCGGTGATCTGGGATGAGCCAGGAGACAGCCAGAAGTCGCGCGAATGTGTCACTTACAGCATCCACACGAAATCGAGGGCCACTCTGGAGCTTTGGCAAGTGAGAATGCTGGAATGGGAAGGAGATGGGCCGCGGAACACCCAACCGACGTTATTGAAGGCCGAGCTGCGAAGACCTGTGTCCTGGGTTCTATGCACAACAAAGGATAGCAAAGAGGCATAGCTGTTGCATTGCATGGCAGTATGCCGTGGAGGCCTCAGGCGCGCCGGCCATTGGACAGCGCCCGCTTTTTCGACGCCTTGACCTCCTTCTCGAACCGGCTCCGCTTCCTCTGCCGCGGCCCGTCCTCGCCCAGGTCCTCCCCCGCGTCCTCGCGCGAGCGCGCCCGCGCGAGCACGCCCTGCTTCTTCCCCCGCTGCCTCAGCTCCTCGTACCCGTCCCCGACGACCGCGCGGCCCCTGCCCGCCCCGCGCCCGACGGCGCGCAGGATGTCCCCGAACTCGGCGTCGAGCCCGCCCCCCGGGCGCGCGCGCCGCGCGGAGACTGTGCCGGTGCCGCCCAGCGCGACGTCGGCCTCGTCGAGTTCGCGCGCGCGCGCGTCCCGCTTCTTCATCACCAGCCGCGTGAAGTTCTCCTCCTCGAACGCGGTCATGCGTGCGAGCTCGCGCGCGCGCGCGGAACGGTGCGCGCCGCCCGCACCGCCGGGCGCCGCACCGCCGAGGCCCGACGTCGACTCCGCGTCGGGGCGGGACGGATCGAGGTGCGCGAGGTGCGCGAGCGCTGCGGGGACGCGCGCGCGCTTCTTGTCTTTGGAGGGGCGCGGGGCGTCGGTGTAGGGCATCGGCGCGAGCTTGGGCGGGCGGTAGATGCCGTCGCGCGCGGCGCCGTCGGTGACCGCGTCGTCCTCGCCTTCCGAGCCGGAGGCTTGGTCCATGAGGGCCTGTGGGTTCGGACGGAACGCGAGGGGGTCTGGGAGGGGGTGTATGCGTGGGTAGGGGAACCCTAGAATGAGGTTGGGGGCACGTACCGTTCGCGATGTTTTTGTCGACGGAAGGACCCTCCTCGGCGGCGCGGACGAGCTTGTCGATCTGGTACTTCATCCGGCCCTCGAGCACCTTGACCTTCTCCAACACCACCCTCGCCTCGATCGCGGCATCGACACGATCCCCAGCGCCGGCTCCCCGGGCAGGGCGGTCTTTGGCACTGAACGAGGCACTTGGAGGACTCCGCTCGGTGAGGGAGTGGCCAATTGCGCGGCGCGCGACGATGAGGGAAAGTGATTGGAGGTAGGAGAGCATCATGTGGTGCTTGAGGGAGAGCAAGGAGATGCCGTCGCGCGTGTCGAGTTCAGACGTGGAGTTTTGCCTTCGGTGATGAAGATGAAAGCCTTGATAAGGGGGACGGACTACAAGACGGTCGCGTAGTACATACTTGTCGTGCAAAGACTTCACAATGTCCCTAGCAGCCGACATGCTTCCCCTCATCTGGTCCAGCAGCTCGCATAGAGCCTGCACATTCTCCTCCGGAGGGGCTGAAGTCGTCGGTTCTTCCACGTCCGCGGAAGCCATTTGTGCGCTAGAGTTGCGGAAGACCGAATGCAAGTCGTGGGACGGCAAGACGAGTGTGGACGGGAGAGGGAGCTGGAGAAAGAGAAGTTAGCGAGCAAATTTTGAGAGCGCGGGAGTCGGAAAATGAAAATGATCAGTTAACGGGTTTCTAAGCCGCCGCTCCTAATGTTATAGAGCGTAATGCACGACATCTCGGTTGGTCAGAGCCCAGTGCGCTTCATCAAGCTTGTCCTCAACCACCACAATGTCCCACTCACCTCCGGCGACCTCTGGGGCAGAAAGCAGACGACGGCGCCGTTCGGACGACTGGGGCTATATATGCGTCAGCTGGCAATGCTTCCATCCCTTCGCACGGCCTCAATTCAGTCTCCTGTGCACGCGACCAGCCCCACGCCCGTCGCCCGCTCTGGGCTGTAATAGGGATCCAACTACAGCCTTCTACTTATGCCGTGCCGCAAATGCTCAAGTACGCGCACCAACCGTTTTTCCGAAACCACGGCCGTTCACTGTAGCTACAACTTTCGTACCCCCTGCTTTTTTTGACTTGTTCGTGGTAAGCACATGCTAGTCTCACTACTACCACCAAACCCAGCGCCCGTTTTCCGACCCCAATTCTCATCTAGGTATTTTCAGTGGACCGCAGTACTACCTTTCCACAAACATAACAAGTGCACCCACAACTCGACTGTCGATTCTTCGTTTCGCCAACGGGCCCGGAAATAGGATCGTACGTAACGGCCCTTGCCTTCAAGTTGATGACGGCGCCTGCAGGTTCATAGCGGTCCATCGCTCCGTCTACGGCCGTCGCGTTTTAGGTCCCCACGCCCTCTGTCACAAGCCCAGGAGTGCCGTCTCGTTGATGTGAAGCACCGGCTGCCACGACGCCTTCGCCACGCGGCGAAGCTCCATCAGCCGCAGGTGCTCGAGCGCAAACCGTCGGCCCTTGTAGTACGGCTCCTGGGCCACCTGGAACACGAAAAAGAACCAACAGGTGAGTCGCGTCGCTGTGGACCCCCACGCGGAACGGATCGTGGTACTGACGATGGCCCACCGCACCCTCTCGCAGATTACACGCGCCAGCTCGCCGAGCGGGATCGACTGCCGCCCGGGGGTCTCCCGCCGCGCCCGGATCTGCTTGTCGGCGGGGCGAGGCTGGTTCAGGAGCCAGCCGCACCCTTGAAACTGTGCCCGCGGCCAGGTACGTGAGCACGGCGCTTGGGGGGCACGTAGAACGGAGCGCGCTGATACTCGCCTGCAGGCGAAAATGAATCCGGGTGTTCACCGGCTCCTCCCAGGCGTCATCGAACGCTTCGGCGTCTTCTTTGTCCAGCTGGCCCCACGGGACTCCCCTGCCCGGGACCGCGGCGAGCGGGAGACCCTCTTCGCCGTGGCGGAGGCGGAAGCGCACCCTGTCGGTGTATTGCGTCTGGCAGTTGGAGTCGGAGTAGTCGATCAACGGCAGCTCCTTCCAGATGGGCTACACATCCAGACAGTCCGTGAGTCTCCAGCACGCACGGGAGGCGGAGACTTCTCACCGCAGGAAGCACAGAATGGCCGAGGGTTGGGAAGATAGGTTCTTGGATTTCTGCCGGCGCTCTGGATGGGAGAACGACCTCGGGCACTGGGTAGAGCGAGGAGTAGGTGGTGTAGGTCCCTTGTGGAAGGCTGTTCATGCTGATGTTGAAATGCTGCCAGAAATCGTTGCCCTGGCGCTCGAAATTCGCCAGTGCGACGTCCGCCTCATACAACTTCGTCGCGATGCCCTACGAGCAAAGTGTCAACGTCAATGTCACGGTGTGGTCGCAGTGCAACAGTGGGCTCGCCTCTTCTGCTTCGCCGTGGCGCCAAAATTCGCTGTCCTCGAAGTCGTTGGGTGCGTCGTGTTCGCTGGACATCCCGAGGAGTGAGTGGTTGTGCGTCAGAGGAGATGAGGAGGCGAGCGAGCGACAGTTGACGACGGCCAAGCACTTCTTAAGTACGGTGTGGCGACCGCCTGCGCATCGACGTAGACTCCACTAGCGGGGGGGCTACGCTGATGAGGCGGTCGTAGAGTATAGCAAGGGAAATGAATGAGGACACTGGCCGGGTGTGCATAGCCGCTCTTCAGACGCCCCTCGAGATGGGAGTGGACCAGGGACCGGGGAGACGGCCTTCGCCCATTTCCGTACGACGGCGCTATGCCGCGCTATGCTCCAGACACTGCGACCCCAGCCTCACGCTTGGAGACGCGATGCGGCTCGCGCTGTGGGTGTCTTTCGCCGCCCGTCCCTACGTACTAGATCCACAACGTCCGGGCGGAAGTCGACAAAACGGAAGCATGACTTACGCTTGCGCGATAGAGCGGCGAGCTTTCCCCCGAGCGACTCAACAAGAACTAGCGGTCGTTCAACCTCCGAGTTCCCTGCCAGCGCGTGCGCCTCCGATTAGTACCCGCTGCGCTTCGCGAAGTTCAGACCGGCCGGGCCCGGCACCGTACCAATTGCGTCGGGCCCGTGACCAGCCGTGACCCGGGCCATCGACCGACCTCTTCCCAGTGCCCACTCGACGATCGATTAGGGTCGCCCATGGGATGCATCCTACGCTGCATCCTGCCCGGCGTCCGCGCCTTCGTTCGGCGGCAATTCTTGCGGTCTCCAGCTTCAGGGCTGCCCGAGCATGAGCTGAAGATGGCCACACGCGCCACACGGTCGCTCGGGCGAGCGGAGCTCTGGGGCGTCGTGGCGGATCAGTGAGACCACCAGGCGGTGCGCGACTCCGATTCGGTAGCGTCATATCTCATTTCGGTCGTCGCATTCCCGGCGCAGGCAGCATCCCTGGGCTATCGCTGCAAGCTCGAGATTGAGCTCCGGCCGCGATGAAGCCTCCTCAACTCAGGCGGACTGAGCCATGACCTCGCCACGCGGAATCACTCAGTATTCACGAGCGGCTGCGGGTCTCTTCAAGAAGCATACCGAATCTAGTTAGCTGGCTAGCGAGAGCGGGGCAATCTTGTTACCGGGCACGTCGACTCAGGGCAAGTCGAAACTTTCTTCACTTCCGACTCGGAAAGCAAGGAATCAAGGACACGTTCAACCATCTCGAAAAATTTCTCTTGCGTCGTGGCGCCGAACGTTGCCAGACGGAAGACAACCGGTGTGGTGTACACTTAGAGCACAAACGGACGGAGATGAGCCGCGCGAAGTTCGAACGGGTAGGCCGCCGGTATCAAACCTTCATGACAAGCGTGGATCCACAACCTGTGACCTCCGAAACTGCCCACGGTGCGATGAGCGCGGAGGTACCGGAGAAGGTTGGGCCACAATAGGCGACAAGTTGTTCTCTCGTGAACTGCGCATGTTGTGCGGAGATGACCTACGCAAACAGGCGGGCCACCGGAACCAAGTCTTCATGATAAGCCAGGATCCGCAGCCTATGACCGAAATGAGTTATATGTAGTAGCTACTGATCAAACCTAGTAAGCGCCAAGCAGAGGGTTGGACGCCCCATCGCGCCCCCATGACGATACTGGAAACATTCGTGTGGTCCACGCAGACAGACCTGTTGACCGCTGATAGGGCGACTCGGATGGCAACGTGTGAGAACGTGCTGTGCTCGAGGCTCGGACAGAAAACGCGAGGACGTGGAGTTTGCCACGGGCCGTTATTTTGCGACGGTCGTCGACACCATGAAAGCTATGTATGCGAATGTCCAAGACCAAACCTGTGCGCCGTGCCGCCAATATTGACCCCATCTCAGCCTTGCCCCCTCGTGCCCCCACACCCGCCCCACGTTCCCAATCGAACCGCCCCAGGTCTCAAAGGCCCCCATACTCGTCCGTCGGGCGCAACGCCTGCATGTTCTGCATCACTTCCCTGAGCTCTGTCTCCACGAACTGCGCGGCCTCCTTCGCGACAACCAACTTCTTCTCGAGCTCATCGGCGGCCATCGTGCGCACCGCGTCGCCTCCGGCCGCGGCCTCAACGAGCCCGATCCGGTCGAAACGCACGAGCGAGTTGCCGATCCTCGGGAGCGCGCCATGCGCGTCCCACCCGTTGTCGTTGAACGTGAGCACGGCACGGACCGCGGCGGTGTTGATGTCCCGGTGTAGCTCCTCGAGCTTCGAGAGCTGGACCTCCATCCAGCGCGCGCGCCGCTCAAGCGCGAGCGTCAGCGCGGCGACCTCGTCCTCCTTACCCGGCCCGTTCGCGTCCTCGCTGCCATCGTCGAGGAAGTCGTCGCCTTTGAGCATGTCCCGGAGCACGCCGTCGAACGACGAGCTGTCGTCCCACGTCGTCCGCGGCAGCAGCCGGAGCAGGTCCGAGATCGTCTGCGTCAGCGTCTCGAGGAGCTGCTGGAAGGAAGAGACGGCGTTGTCGATCGAGCCGGATGGCATGTTGTTGGCGAAAGAGCCGCCACCGACGGAGAGCGCGGAGAGCGCATGGACGAGCGGGCCGTACTCCAGCGGGACCTTGGACGCCGGGTTGATCTTGCTCGTGTCGAAGAAGGGGCTCTTGGAGAGCGCCAGCCAGGGGAACTGCACGTTGAGCTCGTTGAGCAACTCCTTGACAGAGGCAGGCAGCGCTGGGGCAGTCCTGTCGACCGAGTGGCCCGGGAGTTGGTCGAGCTGGTGTCTGTAGCGCGGGCTTCCGGGAGCACAGGCCCGTCCGAAGTGGCAGCGGAAGCGATAGTAGACGCTGCGTGGTCGATGTGGTCCTCCTTCGGGATTTTGATGGGCTTCGTGACCGGCTTGTTCTTCTTGGGCATCTTCGCGAGGATAGGGGCTTGGACTTCGGTAACCGCGGGATCGGGGGCGGAGCTGAGGCTAGCTTCGTACCGGCTGCCTTACGGCCGGAGGTCTTGTTGGAGGCGGCGGAGTGGTGGTCTGAGTCTTAGCCGCTGCGGCCTTCTTCGCGTTGGCCGCAGCGAGGGCGGCTGCCTTCTCCGCCGCGACGCGCTCGCGTTCTGCCTTCTCCTCAGCCTCCTTTTGCGCGCGTTCCCTAGCCCCCTCTCACGCTCCGCGCGCTCTTTCGCCGCAGCCTCTTTCTCCGCCTTCTCCTTGGCCGCCTTCTCCTTCGAGGCCTGCTCCTTCTCTGCTTCAGCACGGCCTGGCGCTCCTTCTCGATGGCCTTCTCCTTCGCGAGGCGCTCCCTCTCGAGCGCGCGCACCGCGGCCTTCTCCTGGGCGACCCGGGCCCGCTCGGCGGCGCGTTCCGCAGCGGCAGCCTTCTTCGCGGCCTTACGTGCGGCCTTTTCTGCCGCAGCACTGTCGAGCGTCTCGGTAGGTGGCTCCGGGGCTTCGCTGGCCTGTGGAGGATCGGATGGAGCGGGCGGCTCAACGGCCGCGGAAAGAGCAGGGAAGTCGGATGAGGATAGGGCAGGGGATTCGGGGGCAGGGGATGGGGCCGTAGAGACTATCAAAGGGAGACAGGGCAGAGGTAGCGTGTAATGGGGATGGTGCAGGTGCAGGTGACAACGAGCAGGCATGATCGAAGGGCGCAGAGGTATAGGCGGAGCAGATCCAACAAGAACAAGCGTATGTCAGCGTCAGCGTACGTTCATGGAGGTCCTACCGGGAGGGCAGATACACGACGAGCAGCGTGGGAGATGTGACGGCATGGGAGGAAGACCGGGCCGATGATATTGTTTAGATCAAGACCGATGGTAGAGTTTCCGCACTGAAAGCACGGCAGCTCGGTACACTGACTGGGAATCCCATCCCGGGGAACGGAGGGAAAGGGACTCACCATGCGCTGATCCGTTTTGCGATACCTCGATGTTCGTGGATGAGCCACTAGGGAGACCAAAGCCGTGGTTCGACATGTGGCTGCTTAGGTCCTCTGGAAAGGACACGCCTGGAGGGGGCCCGAAACCCATGGGTTGCGATGCGAAGCTTTCTAGGCCCGGTGGAGGAAACCGACCATTTGCCATGGGCTGAGCAACAGCAGGGGATGACATCCGCGCCGACATAATTGCAGGGTCGTTGAACGCTTGTCCTGAGCTGAATTGCGTCTGATCTGCTACATGAACGCATGTGTCATAGAGAGGGGGATTGGCTAGTCAACAACATATTACACGTATACAACTCGAGGGGCCCTACCCATCGGTCCGTTCCTCGATAGATTCGCGCGTTCGCGACTGGACATAATAAGCTCCCTCAGCTGCTGCTCGCTGACTGCACCGTCATACGACTGGAAACGGTTCAGCTGTGGAGGTTGCTGGTGCTGATGTTGGTGCTGGTGCTGGTGCTGGTGCTGATGTTGATGCTGATGGTGTTGGTGCTGGTGCTGGTGTTGGTGCTGCTGCGGTTGGTGCTGCTGCTGCTGCTGCTGACTGAACTGGTGCTGGGCGGGTTGCATATGTTGCGCCAGAGGCGAGCTCATGGCAGAGGTATCGCGGTAGTGGGGGAATTCAGGGTGACGCTGAGAGAATGGCCACGGCTGCGAGCTCTGGGAAGCAAACTCGGCGGCGTTGTTGAGATGGGCTATCTGGGAGAGGCTGTCCATATTACTAAAAGGTGACGGTGCATGGAGGGATGAAGATGCGGATCCTTGACGTCCTCGGGCAAAGCCAAAGCGAGACACCTTGCGCTCTTCGTCCATAGGGGAGAACTTCCTAGACGGCGCGTCATCGGTGCCATCCCCGGCGAAGGGGTTGAAAGAGCCCGTGTAGCTTGACCCGGTAGACTGGCGCTCAATTGGACCCTTGCTCGTGAGAGAGTCGTGCGAGCGGTGAGACGACGGAGCAAATTGGAGGCCCGGGGGAGGTCCCAAAGAACTCGGCGCAGCTTGACCACTAGGGCGTAGGTTGGGGAAGACATCGAAGAAGCCCCCGTAGGGCACGTTGGCGTCAACGTCGAAGTCCGGGGGGTTGAGCGAGTCATCTTGCACGTCACCGACGAGCTTCGGGTCCAAGTTGAAACTGAAACCGCCGAATTCGGTATCGTTCCCAAGCGACTGTAGCATGCGGTCGATCTCGGGGAATGGGCTTTGGACCACCGTGGCAACGCTGGATTCTCGCCTCGCACGGAGGTCTTCCATGAGAGCAGCCGCCTGTGTAGACATCTGGTAGGACGATTGTGGCGCGATTTGAGGAGACGCGACATCGGATGTGTTCCTGGAAGCCGGAGGAGGGAGCCCAGGAGGCGCGGCAAGACCAGGGGGAACCACAGGGGAGAGACCCGGAGGTACTGCAGGCAGACCGGGGGGCGCAGCGGGGACTTCCTTCGCGGCAGAAGGTGGGGGTGATTGAGGCGATACAACTTCCGGCGGCGCGGATCCTGAATCCGAATCGACGGCGATTGAGGAAGTAGGAGATCGTGGGACTGGGGGTGGCGGAGGGGGTGCGGGCTCCTTAGCCTTAGCCTTCGAGATCGCCGGAGTGGTGGGCCGATTAGGCAAAGACGCGGGAGTCGCCGGGCGCGAAGTCGAAGCTTGTGAAGAGGCCTTCGCGGCCACTGCTTTCCTCCGAACCTCTGTGATAGCCGGAACAGGCGGCGTAGAGGTGGAGCCAGAGCGTTGCTGCCGACTGCTGCTGGTAGTTGCAGTCCGACGTGTCTGCCTCGACCCCGCATTGAGTACGCTACTGTTGTTGTGTAGCGCAGCACTGGCGAGGGTGGTGTTACTCTTGTTCGCCCATGACGCTGCCCTGGGAAGACCTGGAAGGTGCCGTCAGATTGAACTATGAGACACAGCGATAAACTCACCCTCTGCCTCGTCGCCCTTCTTAATAGTAGTGGTACGCCGAGTTTCTATGTCCTTCATCGTATGTTTCCTGGGGCGGTGTGAGGAAAAAAGGGAGGGAAAAGGGCAAGGGACTCACAACGTAGTGAGATCCTCCTTCGTGAAGCAATCCTTCTCATCACCCCATTCGTGGAGGTTCATGCAACTGTGGTCCGTGCAAGTGACGCCGCGCAGGAAAGACATGCAGTACTTCGTTGTCCCATAACTCGCCCGCATAATCTCCCCACCACCTCCTGGAGATGGTGCACCGTCCACAGCTCCGATTGCGCGAGCTGCATCTTCACGCCGGTGGTATGTGATGTACAACCCCACTACAGGCGCGTGTCCACCTGGAGAAGTTCTCTTGGTGATCACAATCTTGGAGATCTTCCCATATTGCCCGAAGTACTCGTTTGAACGCAAAGTTGGTATGAGCTACTGGGATGTTAGTCCGATCTCCAATCGCGCCAGAGCGTCGCTACATACCTCTTCCTTCGCAAACTTCGATCCTAGTCCTACAACATATACAACATTGCGCTGGACAACGCGTACGTTTGCAAGTTGACGTCTCCCCAACGAATCGAGCTCCTTCCGTTCGCGTTCGCGTTGTTTCTTCTGCTGCGTCAAGCGCTTGTGGCTGAATCACCGTTCAGTCAGAACCAGGTGTCAGCCCGACCGGGCAGGCGAGGCAAAGAAACACACATGCATCTGAGCGCATGTCATGTGAAGGCTTTGGCAGTAAAAGGCACAGGATGGGCACGAGGTAGCTTATGACCACGTCCTCCTAGAGGCCTGGGACGGTCGATATGAAGAACAGCCGCATCGTTGAGCTTGCTCCATCGAAAAAACTCGCAGCAAGCCGCCAGAACGAAAGACCAAAGAAAGCAGTGCCTGCCTCGAGCAGCAACTCGAGGACGATTCTGCCGCCACCCATCTAACGAAAAGCCACCGGGTGGTCTCTCATACGCACAGCGAGGAACACGAGATGATCTGGGGTGGTATCCGGGAGCGAGAAAATAAGGCTCACTCTTCAGGATTGATCGGCTTGAACTGAACTACATCATCGGTGTACTCCCTGCGGCAGGCAGGGCAGCGGCGGTTGAGGTTCTCCTTGATGTGGTGCCAGCAGAATTGGCAAACCTACAAAGGAGGTGGTTGGCGGAATGCAGCGACGCATATAACGAGGGGGACGCACCTGGTAACCACAAGGGCACGGCTTGAAATTCAGATCGGAGATGTCCATCTCTTCCAGACAGAGAGGACATTCGGCGTCGTCCTGATTGGATCCGCCATGCATCAACAGTGCATACTGGCATCGTACGCCCACATATAACACATACCGCTTCATCGTCGCTCCAGTACGCGTCTTGTACTCCCGCCAGGACGTGCGACTTTGACTGCGGAAGGCCATGGGTGGCGTGCAACGCGGGGGCTGGCAGGGGGGAGTTGGTATGGATTCGAGTGGTCATTGGAAAAGGACGCTGAGCGACGTCGGCGAGAACAACGGTGGGGGGCGGGTGGAGACGACGGAAGGATGGAGCTTTACAACAAGTGGTAAACGCGCCAAGTCGGGGCATTTGCCGATTTTGCTGTGGCTCCCCAACAACAGGCGCAAACTGATACAGACGCCCCTTAAGACGCCCGTCGCTGGGCTGCCAGCGTCTCTCTGTCTCGGCTGGCGGGGCAGGTTTGTTTATCGCCTCACCACCCTCTGGAGTCGTTATCGTGCGCAGGTTCGTGAGATCCACTATGTTCACAATGTCTACAGGCGCAGGATTAAGCGCACCGACAATCGATGGAGCACGCGTGATACTAGGTGGCACATGCCTGAAGCCTCCCAACTCAAAGCGTGGCCTCTCGCACTGCATGACTTTGCAGGCGATTGTCCGCCCCCACTATCACATCTCTCATTTGTCCTCACAGTTCTCCCCTCCGATCCCACCATGGATTCAACCGATGTCACGTTCTCTCTCAACAACAATCTCAGCGCTTGTCATCTTTGCGGCGGTGGGATGAAGACCCAGCTCAAGCGATGCATGGGCTGCCAGGTCGTCATGTATTGCGGTAGGGAATGCCAGAAGAAGGCGTGGCCCAAGCACAAGTGCGTATGCTACTCGAGGCGTTCTCTGAATACGACCTCATCCTGTCCCACAGGTCCGTATGTCGACTTCAGCTAGGCGATCCGACCAAGAGGGATCCCAAGCTTCCAGAAACTGTCGAAGAGCGTCGCGACAGAATCCTGAAGAGTTTAGGCTTCCCCACCGCCGTTGAACTCGGCCATACTCTCGTAGCCTGGGCAGAGTGGCACGAATGGGCCATCGCGACGATGACGAAGGCCGTCGTGATGCTCGAAGGCGGCCCCGACACGCTTCGCCTCCACACGAAGAACTCCAGGTTCATCACTTGCGTCGTCTCCCCCCTCCACGACACTGAGGTCGGGGCCAATCCTGGAAATGCGTTCCATATTCACTCCGTCTCCGTCAACAACGCCTCGGACTTCGACACTGGGTCCCCTGCACCGAAGAAGACGTGGGCGAACGGGGAGGATGGGCGCTTGATGGACATGGGCAAATGGCTACGCTCGAGTACCAATCCGTCATTCGCAGGTCTTGTCTCGGTCGTGTACCACATCCAAGACACTGGCATGGCCTTCACCCACGTTGCACCCGTCTATCACTCGCGCGCGGCTCAACCATTGAGCGACCTGAACGCGAAGGTCTGCCGGGATGTCGTCGGGATGATCAAGGGTACCACGAACGCGGGGTCCATCCTGCGTGTCGAGAAGGACGACGGCGTCGTTCCTATTCCGGGGGTTCTGCGGCGCAAGAAGAAAGACTGGCAGTGGCGCTCGATATTCGGCGCCGGGTGCCTGCTGGCCTCATGGGACCACATGGGGGCCCTCATGCCACCGTCTACCACCAAGTCAGGACTCAAGCCACAAGCTCTATTCGAGAAATTTGCCACTCTGTAACACTAAAAGGGTACGTTTACTCCCGCTCAGAATCTGATTCTAGCTAATCTTCCTCATAGACTCCCACAAGAGTCAGACCTGTATCTCTATATCCACTTCGAGCGAACTATGTTGTACCCTGTACTGTACTAGTGTTTCCACTCGCATGTATCTCATCCAAGCCTCTAGACTAGCATCTTGTCATCAGGCTCGTGGGCTCGTTCAGATCAACGATTATACCTTCCCATGCAAGTAACCCTTATATCATACTGTCTCTACTTCTCCCTCCTCATGCCACACGACGGCTTGGACGCGATTGAATTTTTGCGGGTGATTTGTGTGGTTCGTACTTATCCTCTGGGCAGACGTGGTTACCATCACTCGGCTGCTGTCTCAACACACGTTGAGCGCGCCGCGCTCAAGATGCTGCGGGCGTCTCTTCCGTCGCTCAATGTGGACAATAATAAGCTGTATATTCTAGCCAGAGGGCAACTTTGCTTTGTCGCCCTCACCTCATCCTATAATGTCGCCATTGTGCGCAGGCTCAACCAGTACGCTATCCTTACAATACCTGCAGGTGTGGGAGCCTACGCAAGGACAATCGATGGAACGGGCGCGATACAGACTGGTGGCACATGCCTTCCCAACTTAAAGCGTGGCCTCTCCGAGCAGCGTCGAGTTGGCTCGCGTCCGTCCACACCCTCTACCGCCCTCCCCTTCACTCTCCCAGACCACAATGGATCCGACCGAGGCTCGGTTCACTTTCCCCAACGACATCAGCGCCTGCCATCTCTGCGGCAGCGGTACCAAAGATAAGCTCAAGCGATGCACGGGCTGTCAGGTCGTCATGTACTGCGGCAAGGAATGCCAGAAGAAGGCTTGGCCAATGCACAAGTACGTGTATTACTTGATGTTTTCACTCCGTGTGCATTTACCCAGCCTCCCAGGTCCGTATGCCGTCTACGCAGTGACTCCACCAGGTCCCAGCGTACTGGCAATATTGGGCCAGTGTCTGTGGACGAGAGTCGCGACAGGATCTTAAAGAAGCTAGGTTTTTCCTCTGCCGTCGAACTCGGCCATGCGGTCATCACCTGGGCGGACTGGCACAAGTGGGCCTTCTCCTCGTTGACGAAGGCGGCCGTGATGCTCGAAGGCGGTCCCAACGCGATGCGCCTCCAAACGAAGAACTCCAAGTTCGTCGTCTTCGTCATCTCCCCGTACCGCGACACCGAGATCGGCTCCAATCCCGGGAACGCGTTCTACGTCCGCTCTGTCTCCGTCAACTCTTCAGAGGACTTCGACCCTGCCTCGGCGCCGAGGAGGATATGGGCGGGAGGGGAGGATGCGCGCTTGAAAGACATGAAGGTCTGGCGGGATGGCCACTGCGATCCATGGTTCGCCGGACTTGTCTCGCTCATTTTCCACGTCCATGACGCTCTCGGCTATGATACCGGGATGGTCTTCTACTCCACATCGACCCTCTACCACTCCCCTGCGCCCCTGCCGCTGAGCGAGTTCAACGTGAACGTTTGCCGGGATGTCATCGGTACGATCAAGGGTACCATGAAGGGCGGAGCCATTTTGCAGATCAAGGACCAAGACGTCGTCCCTACCCCAGGTTTTCTGCAGCGCAAGAAGAGGGATTGGCAGTGGCGCTCTCTCTTTTCCGTCCCTGGAACCTTGTTCCTGTCGTGGAACCACATGGGGACATTCTTGCCGTCGTTCGCAATGAAATCGGGACTCAAACCGCGAGCCGTCATGGAGCACTTTGCCACTCTGTAGCATTGAAGAGGTACGCTGTACGTCGCTTGCATTCCGATGCCGGCTGAACTTTTTTATAGACTAGACCTGTATCTCCAACCGGACTATGTTGTATCCTGTACTGTACCAGTATCGTACGTCCGCATCGATCGCCCCCCATACACACCACATACCATGATCAATCCCGAAGCCTCCGCTGTCACTTTGCATACAAACGACCTTGTACCACCTTATGTACATACCCCTTTTCCTGATGTAGTAGTGCGACTGGTTGAGCGCAATTGAATGATGTGTCGGCATATCCTTGAGCCCCCGAAGAAACGTGTGGTACGCAGATGGATTGAGTAGGAATACAGCAGCGATGGTCCTTGGGCAGTGTGTGGTTGTACAAAGGGGAACACGTTGAGCTCAGCATCTTCCGTCGTTCACGAGTTCACCAGTCATCGTCATCGTCAAAGCCTCCTTTTCTGCGTTGGAACTTCGGACTGCGATGAGCATGTATCCGACGTGATAGATACACCAGTTGCTCACCACTATAGAGCCCTTGCCAGACGCGGTCTTCGACTGCGCGCCGTCGATCTGTAGTATATCAGCAAACTGAACGCAAACACAGGCGGGAGACGACGCACCTGATCGAGGAGGTCGATCAGCTGTTCCTCGGACACCTTCCCGCGCAGCTGCCCGCTCTGCGCCATTCGCAGCAAGATGACTTCAATCTGGCGCGCCCTTTCAGGGCTGACTAGCGCAATGCGCGCAACTTCGCAACAGTACATAACGTGAGCACGAAAGGCGTGCGCGAGAGGGAGCGCGAGGGAAGACTCACGCCGTTCGCGAGCAGCAGAGTCAAGAACGGTTGCAAGCAAATCCCTCCTCATCTGCTCCTCTGCTTGCTGCTTCGCACCGTCGTCCTCCCCCTTCGCACCACCTGCGCCGCCGCCCTGCTGCTGCAGCTGCCCCATCCTGGAGGCACGGATGGCGGCCAACTCCGGATCTTCCATTGTCAATTGTCAGGTCGCGTGGATAGGTTCGACTGATGCAAAAGGCCGCAGTCAATCGGCCTGCGTGGAGAGAGCGATAGATTCGTGTGCAAGAGAATGCGAGCGCGCAAAGAGGGGAGTCTGAAGCGGGCAAAGTGACTCGGTGAGAGAGCCGGAGGGGCTGGAAAAGGTACTTGCAGCACTCGAGACGCCCGCGCGCCTCATGCCATCGCCGCCGATGGAGCGGCCGCTCACGCCCATTGTCCGCCTGTGAACCTCGTCGTTCTCACCGCCGCCTACCCCGGCCGTGTATATGCCCATGTCCTGCGGCGATGCCCCTCGACCTCTTCGCGCCCTTCAAGCGAACGAGGCCTTCCCCGCACTCGGACCCTGCTAGCCCCAGCGTGGATCCCATGCCCCCCAATAAGCTCACCAAGACCTACGGCGGGCGCACGTCCACCTCCACCGACGTCGCGGATGCGTTCGGGAGGCTCAACCTGAGCGACGGCGGCGGCGGCGGAGGCGCAAAGCGGCACGGCACCTTCGTCGGAGGCTTCGCCGCGCACAACGCCTACCCGCCCGACCCGCTATCTGGCCCATCCCCACCCCCTCCACGTTTTCCCCAGCCCGACCACCACCGCAAAGATGGCCCGCTCCCCCCGCTCCCCGCTCCCCCGCCGATGCAGATGCAGATGCCTGTCCCGGTCACGGACAAGTCCCGCACGATGCGGATCGCCCTGGGAGAGTACGGCCAGGCCCCGCTAGGCTCACCCCCCGCGGACAGCAGCCTGCGCCCCCCGCCCGCGACGCGCCCGCACTCCGACTCGGGGGCGTACCCGGCGGGGCACTTCCTCTCCCCGACGACGCCGCAACGGCCGCGCGTCCATCAGGCGCCGAACTCCGCTCCGGCGAAGCAGAACGTGAGCGCGGGACCTTCGCGCCCGGGGCCGCTGCAGACGACGCCGAACCGGCCCCGCGCGCAGTCGAGCCCGCCGTCGCCGACAGCGGGCAAGGGCGGGCTGAAGGTGCAGTGCAGCGCGACGACGAAGCAGGACAAGAGGTGCGCGCGCATGGTCGCGGTCACGGCCCCGATCTCGCGGCTTACGGGGGAGGAGCACAAGCATTACTGCCACCAACACCTCAAGTCGTCGTTTGCGGAGGTGCGGTTCCGGTCGCACAAGGACCCGAGTCTGGTGATCGAGTATGAGGGTGAGTTGGCTCTGCACACGCTTTTCCCTGTCGCTCAGATCACACTTTGCACGCAGATTGGGTCCCTGAGTATCTCCAAGACGAGACGAAGGAGCTTCTGCGAGCTGAGATGAGCACCAAACACTCCGCCGCGGATGTGCCTGGGTACATCTACGCGTTCGAGATTGACGGTAAGTTGTTTGTTTCCACGCGGGCAACCTGAAGCTCACGCAAGGCAGATTCCTCGGACCCGGACGTCATCCATATCAAGGTCGGCCGCGCCGTGAAGCTCACCAAACGGCTCGCGGAGTGGGACAAGCAGTGCCAGTCGAAACAGACTCATCTCAGGGGGTTCTGGCCGAGCACCCCGGATGCGGACGCGGGCAATCTGGCGAGAGGTCGGGTTCCGGTCGGAGACCCGGGAGCGTATTGTCACAAGCTCGAGAAGCTTGTGCACTTGGAACTTGCGGACCTTGCGCTCAACGCGCCATACTTAGATCCGAAGTTCCCCAACGTTACGATTGACGGCAGTGGCAATGATCGAGCTGTGACTCGAACGCCTTGCCCCGATTGTGAGTGCTCTTGTCGTTGGGGAAGAGTGAGGAAGCTTATCGCATGTTGTAGGCAATCAAGTCCACAAGGAGATCTTCTCCTTCCCCCGTGGCAAAGGGAATTACCACGGAAGGGAATGGGACAAGATCGTGAAGCCCGTTATCGAGAAGTGGGGCGGTTTTGTTGAGGCTTATGTGTAGGTTGGAGTTGGACGCTCTCTGGGCCGGAGTCTTGACGTCTCGCTATCCTCCCCGAGCTGCCCATCGTTGCTGTGCATTTTGCTATGATCTGCCGCTGCAAGCTGTGCGACCCCATCTTGTGTATCCCATACCTGTATTCACCATACCTGTATTCAGCTCTGCATGACTCGCCCGGGAACCCCGTCTGCTTTGCAATTGGTGCAAAATTGTCGCTGAATCACCGCCTCCGGTCAGTGGCGTTGTCGGCCACCATTGTTTTCCAGGCGCAATTAAAGCGCCCTGGATCTGGGACAATAGCGGTGCCACGTGACCGCATAGGACAATAAGGCGCGCGAAATCGTGTCGCTCGTCTCTTGTTCCCACATTGTGCCGAGTCGAGACATATAAGCCATGGACGACTCGAGCATCCTCACCGTTCTGTCTCCTAGACTTGCTCCTCTTCCACGCTTTCGCGCCGCCTCAGCTCTTGGCTTTCTACGACTTTCTACGACGCCCGCACGCACTACCTTATACATGCACGCTTACAACATGTTCGTCCTCGCTGCCGTTGCTCTCGTCGGTCTCGTCATCCCAGTCGCTCTCGGTGCGAGCATCAGGTGACTGTTGGTGGTGTCGGGATCCTCAAGTACGACCCGAGTTGTTGTACGTCTCATCTACTAAATTCTACATGATATGAGGATTGTACTCACGAGATGCGTCATTGTTGTAGAATGCGGATCCCGGGGATGTCATTACCTTCACCTTCAAGCAGAAGAACCACACCGTCACCCAGTCTTCTCTGAACGCTCCCTGCTCCTTCCTCGAGGGAGGCTTTGACTCCGGCTTGTAAGCGGCTTTTGTGCGGTGCACCCAGCCAACAATGTCTGACGCCAGGGCTCTCCCAGTGTGCCCATCGCCGACGACCAGACCACGAACTTCACAGTCGCACAGTTCCTCGTCGAGGACACCCAGCCCGTCTGGGTGTACTGCCGCCAGACCGGCCACTGCCAGAAGGGCATGGTCTTCGCCATCAACCCGGGCAACAACTTCGACACCTTCATGAACAACGCCCTCGGCACCGCGTCCGCATCCTCCTCCACCTCCGCCGTCGCGACCTCGTCCGTCCCGGCGATCTCGACCCAGGCCCCGAGTTCGGTCAGCGTGATTACCGTGACGGCGACGACGACGGTGAACGGCGCGGCGCAGACGACGACATACACGACCGCCTCCTCATCGTCGTCCTCCGCTGCCGCGTCCCCCTCGGGCGCCGCGGTCTCGCACGTCGTCATGGTCGGCGGCAACGGCGCGCTCGAGTTCACGCCCCGCAACCTCTCCGCGGCCGTCGGCGACCGGATCACGTTCCAGTTCGCGGACAAGAACCACACCGCGACGCAGAGCTCGTTCGCGGACCCGTGCGCGCCGCTCGGCGCGACGAGCGCGAGCGGCCAGGTCGGCTTCGACTCGGGCTTCATGCCCGCGAGCGCCGCGGCGGTCGCGCCCGTGTTCACGGTCACGGTCAACGACGTGAGTGCTCCCACTTCGCTCTCGCTGTGCGTGACAGGCACTGACGTGCGCGTGCTTTGCAGACCGCGCCGATCTGGGTGTTCTGCAAGCAGACGAACCCGAAGAGCCACTGCAACGCCGGGATGGTCTTCGTGGTGAACGCGCCGAGCACGGGGAACACGTTCGACAAGTTCCTCGCGAACGCGATGAGCAACAGCTCCACCACCAGCTCGACGGGCAACACGGCGGCGCGCTCTCACGGGCGCGCGCGGCGGCGTCGTCGCCGCTGCCGTCCTCATCGGCGCGCTGCTCCAGCTCTGACTCTGAGCTGTTCACGACTTCCGCTTCGAGCGGCACCAGGCGTCTGGACGCCTGATGGACATTCCCCGCCCCTCTCTATGATGGATTCGCGCTGTATCGGTACGACTGGGTGACGACTCCGGACCTCTCCTGCTTAGTGTATCCTTATCGTTTTCTTCGTTCTGTTTTCTTAGTTCCGATGTATCCATACGGCCTGGGTTAGCTGTAGCACTCCTTTCGGACACTGTGACGGTGCCACGCGTCTTACTGTAGTGCCGCTTAATTAGGTGTAGCGTTGCTCTATGTAGCAGCGATGGATGGATGCGTCAATCGATATCCTGCTTTGTTTGATACGTGGGCTCGACCTGCGACTCGGCAAAAGGAAGATGGATTTCCAGGTTTGTTATGTACAACGAACGCTCCCAAGGCTCCTTATCGCAAGGGCGAAATATGCTCGCTTACGAAGGGAGGCACTGAGAGTAGTCTGCGAGAAGCGTCAGTGGAAGTGTTTGCTTGGGGATAGGACATGCTCACATTCGCTGGAGTAGGTGCACTTGTAGCCCGCTGTCCGTAAGCTGCGGTCAGCACTGACAACCAAAAGAGCTCGCGAGAGGATGTACGCACAGACGCAGGCCGTGGACCCCGAGTAGCCGACGCCACCACACTGGCCGTACGCGGCGACAGCAGAGCCCGTGCTGGATGACCCAGACGAGGTGGTGGTGCCGGTGGCGCCGGCGTTGTTCTTCGCGAGCGGGCTGATCTGTGCGAGACCAGGGAAGTACGAAGTCGGGATCGTCCTTGAGCAGTTCGAGCGTCAGCCTCGTCGTCTCCGCTGTCTCGCTGTGATCACGAGAACACTCACGGCGTGGGGATCGCGGCGTTCGTGGCGAAGCCCGACGCGAGGTCGCCGGCCATGGTGGACGGGGTGGAGTAGCCGGCGGGCTTGGTGATCGAGGAGGTGACGATCGCGTACGAGGTGTGCGAGGACGAGTTCTTGATGCACGCGACGCCGGAGCCGTACGCGCTCTCGCACTTGACGACGGCCTTGTCCGTCTGGGACCACATCTTCACGTTCGAGAGCGTGATGCCGGAGCAGGGCGCGCCGTCGGCGCAGATGAGCTGCACGGGCGGGCGGGCGACGCCATCGACGACGTTGCCGTTCCAGTTCTGCGTGCAGACACGGATTCGTTGAAGGAGGATTAGCAGTAGAGTACATGGAATTGGTATGGGAGGACGCACGGAGAAGGTGATGTTGGAGAGCTGGACTCCAGCACCCGAGCCGGGGGTTTGGGAGGACCAGTACTGGTTGACGTCGAGACCGTAGGCAGTACCGCGGGAGATGAACGAGTCGAAGACGACGTTGCGCAGTAGCCGGAGCCGAGGTTGCTCTTGATCATGAACGCTTGGTTTCCGCCGTTGGTGTAGACGTTCCTATGGGCGAGTCAGTCGGAAACAAGCTGAAGGAGATACGAAGTTCGTACCTGTACAGAATGTTCTGGATAGCGGTGCCATCAGAAAGACTGCCGATCGCGCTACCTCCAGACTGGTTGCACCAAACTAAGAGCCATCAGCGCATTAATAAAACGCAACTGCACAGGTACTCACTTCGTTCAACTTGGATGTTGTTGGCGGGAGACTTTCGGACGATCAATGGTTACTCCTGCACGGAATGCGACAGCTGTCCTTACTTTCACAGTGACGCACTCATCGCGATTCGTAACCTCGACATCGTGAATCCAGTGGTTGCTTCCCCAAACATCCACACCATCCGAACCACCCAGGTTGGTGCCTATATGCGTGTCAGAGTGACCACAAAATCAAGGGGAGGCGGAAGCATACCGCGAATAGCCATGTTGTAAACCTCTCCATTGGAGCCGCTCTCTATCACAAGATGGAACTCAGGGGCTGGCAATGGTCGTGAGCAAACAGCGACAGATTGGGACGCTGCGAACGCGTACAATCCACGAGGATGAGATCGTGCATGGACCAGTTGGTGGAGGTGATGATACGGACCAGACGGGGACTGGATAGCGTCAATGTTGTCATTATGTGCGCATCCAAGAGGCGCCTTACCCATTGTTGCGGCACTGGTAGCCGTAGCCTTGAATTCCACCAGCGCTGTTCGCAGAGTAGAACTCGAAATCGCTCGCGTTCACGATGGCGATCATGTTTCCGTGTGTCGTCGCTTAAAGTGGCGTCAACTTCAACAGTGATGGATGGACAAAGTGGACACTAACAAGTGCGTGATATGAGTCCGTCAAGACGGAACGCCCATTTGGTACCGCCAGTGAGAGTGACCCATGTCTGCATGTTGTAGTTGCCTAGAGGCACGTCAGTGCTGCCGAGAGTGACTACACTAGATCGCTCACCGGCGGGAACATAGAGTGTCGAGCCAGAGTGCTTGAGTACGCAGTTCTGAGTGGCGGATGATTAGCATGATGTCATGAGATGCGATATGAACGTGTTAGCTACGGTGAATGCGCTGTTGATAGCAGGTCCAATGTCGCTGGAGCCGATCGATCCGCCATAGTCGAGCACATTGCAGATGGTGCTCTGCTTCGAAGAGAGCGACGAGGTGGGGCCAACTCTGCCACTAAGCTGGGCGGACGCGGCCGAGATGAGAAGAAGGGAGGCGAGAAGAGACTTGAGGCCCATGACGGCAGAGAGAGCGCAATGGAGGATCCTCGCGACGGGGCGGCCGACGTTAAGGGGACCCTTATATGGTCGGGCGAGCGTAAATATCGGGGCAACCGCGTAGGCACCGAGCATGTGTGATATGAGGATGCAACCCCGCGAGGCGAGTTCGAGTTGTTCCGCGCCCGACACATGTCCGTCGAGAGCAGCCAGCTGATGGTCTCCAGCGGTGACGCAGGGACGTCGCGGTCCGCGGCGGAGGGCTGGGAGAAAGGAGCAACCGCGTTGTGAACCGAGGGTGCAGCGCTCGGAATACAGTCGCGGGCCCAGGCGGGCAGCGCGGGTTCCGGGGCCGCTGGACGGCGGGCGGTCACGTTGGTTGCGGCTCGTGGTGCGCCGTCGTCAGGCGGTGGTTCGGGAGGGCTTCGCGGGCGCTGGTGACGGTATAGACCGCGCATCGATGCACTGCTCCAGGGAACTGCAACAATACAAACCCGTCTGATAAAACCTCCGAGTCATTGCCGAGTCTGCGCGAGTGAGCCTGGGAGTGAGAGGCGGGCTGCAGTGCTGGTTGAGGACATTTGAGCACGATCCGCACGAGACAAGGACTCGGATACTCTTACTACGTAGACACCCCGTAATCACCATGGACAATATTGTCGCATGTCCGCTAGTGCCATGCTGCTTTGTCTTATCCTTCAAAGGTAGCAACCTTCCTGCGTGTCACATGGAGAAAGGCCATAGAGAGTGCATCTAGCGTCTGGGTGGTGGTGGTAGAAATTCAAGAGCAGGCCAGCGCGCTTGCGATCCGCCCTCTGCCTTGACTCTCCTTACATGCCTCGCTGAATGTCGGCCACTTACCACCTCTTACCACCAGATACCGTCGCTCGTTTACCAGAGAGATGTCCTACCTCAGCCCATCACCTCCCTCTCCTTCGACCCGGTCACAGACATTCTCTGGTCTGGTACCAATTCCGGTCATGTCTGCACGAACTATACCGCGCGCGGTCTGCGCGGCGTCCACTATCCCGTTGGCGGCCATCTCGCGGTCAAGAAGATCCTCGCGACGGAAAGCAACGTGATCGCGTGCGGAGTGGCGAGTGATGGGATCGGCGCATGGGGCAAGGGCGGCTTGAACGCGTGGTTCTTCAGGTGCGTCCGCTTGCACTCTCTTCGTGTGCTTTTACGAGCCCACGCATTAGGCCCGGTAACCAAATCACCACGTTTTCCAAGAAGCCGTCCAATGGATCCACCGTCGCGCTTTCGACCGCAAGCTCGGAGCTGATTCTGCTCAACACCCAGACTGGCTCTGTCCTCCGCCACTCATCCGTCCCGAGCATCCTCACCCATCTGCACTTTACCGTGAGCCAAACGTACTTTGTGTCCGGCGACGCGGATGGATGGGTTAGGCTGCACGACCCACGCGACGCGACGACACGCTCCTATGGATCGAACATGGTCAAGGCGCATCTGAGCGGCATTCAGAAACGACCTCGACGCTACTCTACACGATCGGCCTAGGCATGCGGTATGTCCTCCCTTGCTGTCTTAATGTCTAAGAAGCAACAGGCAAGGACGGCCATTCCCGGATCCGCTCGTGAAGGTGTACGACCTCCGTAATCTTGAAGCACTCACACCCTTCCCGTTCTCGCAAGGCCCGAGCTTCATCACACGCTTCGCAAATCGCCCGTCTACACTGGCGATCACGTCCAGCCAAGGCTTAGTACAAATCGTGGACACTACGAACCCGGCCACCAACGAGTTCTATCAGCTGGACGCGCCCTCATACATCAGCTCTGTGGCGGTCTCTCCTACCGCTGGCTACATGGCGTTCGGAGACTCGGACGGGGCGATCCATCTGCTCTCGGCGGCGGAGGAAGAGGCGATGTTGCCTTTCAACGGGTTCGACGGGAAGCCGATCGAATGGCCCGACTCTGCGGAAGCTCTTCCGGACATCACTTGGACGGACACGACGTGAGTGGTCTTATGTGCGGCTGGAAGCTTGTGCTGAAGCACTGCTCAGTCTCCTGAACACTGTCGGCGTGCCGCATTACAAGTATTTGCTGTTATCCCCGTGTTCCACCGACTTCGCACCTACAAACATGTACTTCGCCCCTCTGCCGCGTGGAAGGCGGAATGTTGTGGCTACCTCTCGCCTGCCCTGGCGGTCAACGCCGCTGCGCACGAGAAGGAGGCGCACAAGTTTTGGCGCGACTCGAGGCGACAGACGTTCCTGCGCCCCCGCGTCCAGATCCACGGACAAATCGACGGCATGGACGACCCGGAGGCGGTTGTGTACGAGCTGCGCGCGATCGTGACGCAGGTCGTGCCGAAGGATGCCAATTCGCACCTCGTGGCGATCATCAAGGGTGTGTGTGTCGCTTTGTGGGTGCTTTGTGTCGCGCTGACTTCGCGTTGCAGTGCCGGAGGCGGAGATTTCCGACCCGGAGCCGTGGTTCATCTTCAATGACTTCGTGGTGCAGAACATATCTGAGGACGAAGCTCTGAGCTTCCCTTCGGGATGGAAGGTCGGTTATCTCCGAACCCCACGAATTAGATTCTCAATATCGTGAACGTAGGTGCCAGCTATACTGTACCTTGAACGCGTGGACGTTTGCCAGCGCCTCGACTTCAACGGCCTACCGGACAAGATGGACAGGTCGATACTCTGCCGAGACACCAACATTGCCGTGTACGTCATCAGAGCTCCGTCTTTTGTCGTGTAGCATGTAACTCTGCCTTTACAGAAATCGCGATTCCCGAGTCATCAAGCACGAACCGCTGCGCTTCGAAGAGTTGCCTAAACCCGGTACTCTGATTGCCATTGACGCCGAGTTCGTGTCCATGCAGCAAGAGGAGACCGAGTATCGATCCGACGGCACCAAGAAGGTCATTCGACCTGCCCGTCTCTCGCTTGCTCGCGTGTCTGTGCTGCGTGGTGATGGATCGAAGGAGGGCATGCCTTTCATCGACGACCACATCCATACAAGCGAGATCATCGTCGACTATCTGACGGAGTTCTCCGGCATCAAGTGTAAGCCATTCCTGCGAAGGTCATGGTTACATGCTGATTAAGTTGTTAGTCGGCGACTTGGATCCCAGCCTCTCGCGATACACGTTGACGCCTTTGAAGGTCGTGTATAAAAAGCTGCGTTTGCTTGTCGACAGCGGTTGCATCTTTATCGGGCACGGCCTATCGAAGGACTTCCGCATCATCAGTGCGTATCATCTCTTGCCCCGATGATGACAACCACTCAAATTTTTGTAGATATCTTCGTACCGCAGGAGCAAGTGATCGATACCGTGGACCTATACTTCCTTGAAGCTCGCCAGCGCCGACTCTCTTTGAAGTTCCTGACTTGGTTCGTTCTAAAGGAGAACATCCAGACGGACACGCATGATTCGATCGAAGACGCACTGTCGGCACTGAAGCTGTACAAGGTGTACTTGCAGCTAGAAGCCGAAGGTTCGTTCGACAGCAAGTTGGAGGAAGTCTATCGTGAGGGAAAACAATACGTGAGTCTCTCCGCTCCCCGTAACCCTAAGTCCATGTGCTGACACGCACTCGACAGCAATACAGACCTCCGGCACGACCCCAGAGCACTGTCCCCACGCCCGCAGCGTCCGGCACCGTGACCCCATTGGCTCACCAGGTAGCGATGGGTCGGGGCGGCTTCCTTTCGGGCCCACGCGGCGCGACACAGTTCAACAACCACGGCCACTACCCTCTACAAGCCGTTGCCACGCCGCCCATCTTTCCCATTCCTGGACCGAACCATCACCCGCACGGGTTCATGCAGCCTAATTGGCGACACCGGTAGTTTCTCCAACCCAGATCCTCGTGCCGTTGTGTATTTGTCGGAAAGATGTAAACGTACGCGTCTCACGAACCGCATGTATCGATTAGAGCCAACTGTATCGTCACATCATCGTCGTATTGCTTTGCAACTATGAGTTTCGAAATGCGTCTTCTGGCAGCATATCCTTCGTCAGGTACCGCTCTGAATTGGACGCTGTGGGAAGGGATGAGGGAGTCTCGGACGAAGACAGAAAGAGGTGATCTCGAGGACCCGGCCGTTTCCTTTGAGCAGGCTTTGGCTGTTTTTCAGGTGATGATGCATGCATTTGCGCAAACCATGAGTGGATGGCTCCGCTCGGATGGACGTAGGGGCGCTTGGAGATATTGACGACCGAGCCGCAGTCGTCGAGGACGTCCCACTAAGAGCTTTGGGACCTCGCAAAGGCGAGCGCCGTGCACCTGCAACTTGCGCGGCAGATACGTCAGACGGAGTACGATGTCAAGCATGAATACATATACATTTCCCCATCCATATGCCGCATGCGCACGATCCTGCACGCGCACGCCGCCCACTCCCCCGTGAAATGCCCTCGCCACCTCCGGCATGGTCGCGCCTGCGTTCCATCTTCGCCGTACATGCACGGACGTCAGGTAAAGCCGTGAAGGCGGACTACTGTTACAAGCCGAGTCGTCACGTATCGTCTGCCGGGATCACATCGCCTTCGTTGCGCTCGAAGTGCACTCCTCCGTGCCAGTCCGACCATCCGACCATCGATCCGTCGTCCGTGACCACCAGTTGGCGAATTGTTTTTCCCTCGAGGGCTGGGACGCGGTAAAGGCGACCGCGGAGAGTGCTCCAATACCACGGAGGGCGCCGGCGCCCTGTGCCAGTGGGTTGAGTTGGCGCAAAATGATATCGAGGGTGAATGACGCTGCCATCGACAAAGATTCCCCGGGAGGACTCGACCTCGAAAGACCCCGACAGCGGCCTTCCGGTCGCAGCGTCGACTACGCACAGCGACCCGGCATACGTAGAATCCGACCCGGAGTTGGCTCGGAAGCACAGGACACGAGAACCGTCCTGGGACAGCGCCCTCGGCTTCCAGCCGTCGGGAAGTGCCTGCGCCAGCTTCATAGAAGAGGGAGGGTCGTCGCCGCGCGCACTAGGACTGGATTCGACCAAAAGCGCGCCGGCTCTGGTGACTGCGAGTAGAACAGAGCCTTCGCCGTTCTTGGTTTCGTGTCGCAGAACGGCCTGGAATAGGCTGTCGCTGGAATGGTGGGGTTGACGGAGATGTAGGAGGAAAGGAAGGGGTTGGTCCGACATTAAGTTCACGGCGTTGACGCTATCACTGAATTTGTTCGTCGTGTTATGGTTATCGGGCCGGGACTGGTAAACGCGCTGGCGAACCAAGGCGAACCGGCCGTCGGGAGATACAGAGAGATGAGATTCGGGCCGAGGACCCTGAACCATGGGACATTGCAGCGTACGCACGTGGACCAGACTCTCCGCGTCCCATATTTGGATTTCCATCGTCGTCACCAGCACAAGGATTTGGGCGCTGTCCGGTGACCAGCTTGCGGCGAGGAATTCCTGTGGTCCGCTAGGAGGCTTGATGTGTCCCATCTCCCGAAGGTCACCGTAGGTGAGGGATTCTTCCGGTGCACAGGCTGGGAGGCTGAAGATTCTCAGTTGATCATGGTAGTGAAGGAAGAGGCGGACGTTTAAAGGTGAGAAGGCGAGCGGTGTTCGTGCTTGCTTCCAATCGGGCACCGATGAGTGATACCAACGTTCAAAAGCCGGTTTACCGCCGCTGCGAATATCCCAGATTATGAGCATTATAGACCACCAGTCGGCGATCTTGATCCATGAAAACGCTACGCTAGCCGCCCAATGTCCATCTAGAGAAAAGATGAAGTGGTTTGGAGGAGAGGGATGCCCGCACGAGTCGGGGCTAGGGGCTGTCCATTCTGCCGATGAACCTGGACACACTGGTTACCGAACATGTATAAACGGTTGATAAGAATAAAACGCACTGGAGTACCGGAATTGGATGTGTAGAAGGTTCCGTGTATGAAGTGAGGAGAAAGCACGTTCTAACGTGGATCTCCATCTGTCCACGAGGTTCCGCGTCGAGTCTTGCACTACGAGGTTGATCCCGTTGGCGCTGATATAGTCGTGATCGATCACCAATCGTGCGAATTGGAGAGTTGCCTGTTGTAGATTACTGAGGTCACAAGTCATCAAATATCCCAAAAAACGGTCAAGAGTGATTTCCAAGGAGCGTAGGGCAGGTGGGAGATGATGAGCCACAAGATTTTGGAGCTCCTGGAGTGTCGTAGGATCGGAGAGAAGGGTGGGATTAAATTGATATGTCAAGGTGGTATCGACAGAAAGACGTGTAAGACTCGTAAAGGCGGCAAGTGGAACGCCTGTGAGTGCGGGTGGAAGTTAGTTCTGAAAATATCGCAGCGTGGGTTGTGTACACATGCACCTACTGCAATGAGCGATTTAACGTTGATGTTGAGGTGCACCAATGTTGAGCAGCTCCCGACTACAAACCCGGCAAGCTGCCCTGCCATGGTTCCGGCATCATTGTACGAACGCCCTACTGTGAGTTTCAACAAATTCCCGGGGGTGGTGAAGAGATGAGCGCATTATCGAGCGAAGGTCTGTCACACATCAAAATAGATACTTCCAGTGTCTCTAAAGTGGGGAATGCACGAACGAGTCGGTACAGATGGAGAGGAGTGGGGAAAGAGCTGTGAAGAATAAGGGTCCTGACGGCGCGGTAGTGCCGGAGGCACGACATAATTGTCCGGGGGAAAACCATGTGGGCATATAATGATGTTATTTCCCATGTGTCGATGTGGAGGAGATGAGGAAGGAGGATCGCTGGTGCGGCCCAGGGAAACGGATGTCCGGGGCCCGAAGTTGTCAGTCGGACAGCATGGACCAACAGGCGCAAGTTGGGAGAGCACTTGAAGGCTTTATCTATGGAGTAGAGGCTGTCCAAGCCAGAGATGGTGATAGTTCGCCAGAGGAGGAAACGACTCCTGGGGAGCCATTCGCTGTGGATCCGAGCGCAGGTGGTGAGCGTGTGGAGATCGTGCTGAGCGCCGAGTTCGTCGAGCACTTTCTCAGTGGTCTCGATGGGAAGGCGCGGCGGGACCATTGAATGAAACTACGAGGATGACAGGGACAGCCAGGAGGAGTTGGCGCCGTGGTATTCGGACAAGTCATCTGGCAAGCTGCGGGCGCCAGTTGGGGGGCGCGAGACGATTAGATTATATCTGTAGCCGGTGATCTGGTTCAACCGTCCTAAGTACCAACTTTGTTCTCTCCGCCCTCTATGTACCCTTGGCCAACTCTCAAAATTTCGATCACATCGCTCGCACGGAGGCCTCGCGAAAATCAGTAAATCGGAAACGGACCGATGACCCTGTCGTCCGAGTGGTGGCTACAGGAGCTCGCGCTGAAATTCATGTACATGGATAGGGTTTTCGCCACTTCGAATCAGGCTTGAGTACTTGAGTACGCTGACCTTCAGACTGCCCACATTAGGTGCACGCGATCGGTCAATAAAATTGTCATGTCGAAGATAACGACATTGTTCAGGACACTGCACAGCATCAGTACTAGTAGCCAGCTGGGGGTTTATTGCTCATTCGTCCCGTTCCAATCATCCAAAGGCTGGAAAGCATCCTCTCCTCTCTCATCGAGCTTCGACGCAGGTCAGGTGTCGTCGCTGTCGATGTTGGAGCAAGGCTCGAGGTTGCTGACAGCCTACAGGATGACAAGAAGAATTACAAATCCCACGTGATGTGCTCCGTCACGAACCCGGAACGGACAAGACATTCGGCCCTCTGGAGACGGATGGAAACGAGACTGGTATGCGAATGAAGACGATGAAGGCCTCAACCGATCTTGATCGAAAGCACCAGAACGACCCGGTCCCGTGATATGGGCGTCTATCAGGCATGAGCGCCGTACTATGAACACAGCCGCTTTAGCTCTTGACGCCCAGGCTTCCTGCTTGCACCCGTACTATCACCACCTTTCCCACAAGAACGATCGTGCTGTTCGCAGACATGGAAAATCCACACATAAGCCATGACACGCGCGCATTTCGCTCTGCACCGAAGCTCGCCCCGAACACAAAGGGAAAGCGGCCCAAAGGTCGAAATGTGGGCAAGCTGATGAACGTCATGAATGTTCCCGTGGAGATATTTTTCGAGGTGTGTGTGCAGCCTCGACACGCGTCCTGGCGCTAATCACGCTTCGTGCCCAGATACTCTCGCACCTGCAGCCCATCGACCTGCTGCAGTTGTCTCGTGTCTCCCTCGAACTGCGCCAGATGCTCCTGTCGCGGCGAATGAAGTGGCTCTGGGTCGCCTCACTCAAGAGACTGGAGCCAGCCCCGCCGGAATGCCCAGAAGACTTCCCCGAGCCTGCCTTTGTTTCCCTCGTCTTTGAGAAGAGTTGCATGGTGAGCGACTTGCCATTCCGGGAATCCGGCGTCTGATCGGCGTCACTTATTGATCGGGATTCCCTACACAGGCGTGTGGCGCGGGCAGGGCTCACCACAAGGTCTGCTACGCCAACAGAATCCGATTCTGCGGTTCGTGCTGGAAGGAGAAGTGAGTACCATACCACGAGCTTGCCTGCCCGCGCTGAAGTCCGACGTGTTTAGTGTCAAACTGGGGATGAGGTTGGTCAAGGACCTAGGAGACAGGAAGGAAACAGATATTTTCTACCTGGTTCCCGAAGTGGCCCAATATCTACGTACGTGCGCATTTTTGTCTACAACAATGACTAAACTTGAACAATCAATTTAGCACGGTCAGGCAACGTACTCGAGGACTTCCATCAGCACGGCCACGATAAGTACTACGAGCCCGAGTTTCAAATGGTTTGGCAGGAACTGCTCGACCACCGCCGCAGTTGTCCGGCATCCTCGCTCAACCTGTGGATGTCACAACGCAAGACGGACACTCTTAGGAGGCTTAACGTGAGTTGTAATCGACCCATATCCATCCGCGGCGATGCTCAACGTATTGCAGTTCCATCGCGCCATGGGGAAGTGGGAGTTTGACTATCAAGAAGGGAAACATCAAGCACAGCAGACAGTAGCCGAAAAGCGTCGAGCGCGTGAGCGATGTCTCTTCGCACCGTGAAATACGTGCCGAGCTGACGTTTTTCCACCTTCAGCATCGAAAAGAGGCTGATCGAGCTTGGCCACAAGGAAGAGGATCTTCCTAGGCTAAATCATCGTTACAACAGTATACTCAATCAGCCGCGCCCATTGACTGACCGCAGTAAGTCAGTCCCCTGTCCTCCCGTTCAGCACTCAGTCTGCACCCACGACAGTCTGGAAGACCATCCGCCCAGAGCTCGTGGACCTAATCGTATTCACCAAGATAAGTCGCCAGGACCGCGCCTTCAAATCGAAGTGGGAGGCTCGCATGGCCGGGTTCCGCCAGTTCTACGAAAGTTCCTTCAAGCCGATCGCGAACTCCACCCGTGGAAGCGCACGCTGCCGAGCGTCCTCGATGCGTTCAGGCTTCCGGCGGTTCGGACGCTCATCACGTCCGCCGAGCCGAACGTGGCGCTCACCGTGGAGGAGTGCGAAGCCGAGATCGCGGACAAGATGGTCGAGCACGCGAGACCCTACACCGAGAAGATCCAGGGCGACCTCGCTAGGCTCTGGCGTGTTTTGTGCAAGGACGACGAGGACGAGCCGCCGGTGGCGACCGCGCGCGGGAAGAATAAAGATGGGAGGAAGGGCTCTAGAGGTAAAGGGAAAGGCAAGGAGATCATGGTGGTGGAGCCCGAACCTGGCGAGGTGATCGACCCTGCGGCCGACCTCGCGCTCCTCCAGCGGCCGACCGCGCTCTTCATGTGCAGGTCGCCTTTGGATTGCGACCAAACTGCATTCCCCGACTGGATGACGTACGTCGGCGTGCTGGAGCACATGCAGACCTGCCACCGCGGAGTCTGGAACGACATGGAAGGCTCGTGTCTCCGGGAAAGCGTGCTCCCTGCCCACTCTCCGATACCCGATGATATGCGATCCGTCTTGAAGGCTCTAAAACTACCTGCGGACACGGACGTGCTTCAGCTGGAGGACGTATTGATCGGCATGGAGGGCTTCCAGATACGGTGCAACTGCGTCTTCCCGCTGCTGATGCTGGACACGCCAGGGATCAATTTGCTTGCCCGTTTGGTGCGCTCTCTGCGTGTTTCCGTCGCCATCTGATCCTCAGTACTCGACAGCTTCATCATGTGGGTCTCGTCCGGGCTGGGGCCGAGAAAGTAGATCCCTCTATTCGCAAGATGTGAGCCTGCCGCTACCTCGGGAGGCGTGCCGAGGCTGACACCAGTACTCACCCTGCAGATTCCAGAAACACCGCTTCACCAAAGTTGGACCCAAAGTTGAAACCAAAGTCGCCGACACTGACGAGACTCTTGAATCGTCCGTTGTATGATGGTTTTCTTCGCATCGCTCCATATAGTATCTTCGTAATTGCTGTTTACTGTCAAATGCTTTCCTTCCCAATAGTGTCTTGTTTTCTCAGGTTTCGCTTTGTGCGCTCTCATATCCACGTTGTTCGTTATCGGTCTTGGAACGAAGTCATAGATTAAGGCTGCTAATGATACATGCTAGTAACTGAAGGTTGCGCGGAAGGAGTGTGTGGGGCCGTGAAGGGCGGCCAAATAACCTGATAAGTATAGAACGGGCGAAATGTGCACGTCGGTGGAAGAGCCAGCCTCGACGGGTTAACCTGAAAGCGTAGAGGTTGAGACATCTCAGACTTGACTCTGTCCACCTTTAACCTTGCGGATGTTGAGCGGGCGGGTCAACTCGATTTCCGCGCCATCCACAGTGGCCCCGGGGAGGGTACCAGCACCGACCGTCTCTATTTGCGCATGCCCCCTCTTGCTCGCACGCCGGCGTGTCTGAGCAATGTCGGCGGCGGCGGTGGCCAAGGCCGCGTCTTCGATGTGCGCGCGCTGCGAGGCGCGCCGCGCGAGCTCGCCGTCGTCGCAGTGCACGACGGTTGGGACGGGCCGCGCGGCCTGCGCGTGCTGCACGCGCTCCTGCATCTGGCTGAGCAGCCTCGCGGAGAGCGGCATCCGGACGGCGACGGAGGAGCTGGCGGACGTGACGGAGTACGCGGAGGCGGAGTCCGAGTCCGAGTCCGAGTCCGAGTCCGAGTCGTATGCGGAGGTGCAGACCGACAGGCTGACGTCGCGCGGGACGTCGCGCGGCATCCGCTTGCCGACGGGGAGGGCCTTGGCGGGTGGGGGTGGGGGGATTTCGTGTGAGAGGTGGGAGCGCGCGGGGGAGCGCGAGGCCGCGCTGTCGGGCGACATTGCGCGGCGGCGCACCGAGGACAGGACTGTGGATACGGATGTGGGCGTGCCCGCGCGGGGCGTCGGGGTTGGGGCGCGCGACGACACGGGAGAGCGCGAGGGCGTCGGGGAGCGCGAGTCTGCGCGGAGCGCCGCCACGATGTCTGCAGCAACGTGGCCGGCCTCCCGAGAAGGGGTGCGTTGCGGTGAGGCTTGCCCCGCGCGGTTCCACGCGTCTTCAGACCTGCCTCTAATCGCGCCGGTCCTCTGCACGGAAGGCTTCCCGACCGCGCAATAGTAGGACTGCCTCCCGCGCTCCTGTTCCTCTTTCTCCTTCTCCTCCTTCCGCCTCTTCTCCTCCTGCTTCCTCGCCCACTCCTGGATATCGAGCCGGACGCGGTCGACACGCACCGGCTTCTCCTGCGCTTTCGACGGTTTCGAAGCGTAGTAGGGAACGTCCCGGTACCTCGACGAATGCTCGCTCCTCCTCGCGTCTCTCAAGTGCGGCGTCGCGTTGGTCGCGCGCGAGGCCGCGAGCAGCGGCGGTGCGCTCTCCCGCTGCGGTGCCTCGACCCTCTCAGAGGCGAGGCGGTCGAGCCGTCCGAGGGCGTCGCGGTCCCCGCGCCTGGCCGCGTCGACCTCGTCCCCGAGCGGGACGACGCAGAAGCTCTCGCCGCGCGACCTGCGGGTCGGCAGGGTGGCGCTCCGCCCGAGGCCTGGAAAGGGGGCCCGGGCGCGGGTGTTCTGGGGCCGGTGGGGGATGGTGGGCTGGTTGCAGCCGCCTAGGGGAGGCGTGGAGTGGGACTCGGTGTCGTCTTGGGAGCGACGCCCGAAGGGGTGGCGGAGCTGCTCGTTCGGGAGGCCGATTCGGTCCTTGGGCACCGGTTGGCCCCCACGGTAGGACGGCTGCCTGCGCGGCGTCGGGTCTGGTCTGGCAGGTTTCACCGCGTTCCTGTGAAGTGGTTGGAGTTAGTAAGGGGCAGCGTGTGGAGGTGCACACTTACATCACGCTGCCTGAGAACTTGCGAAGCCTGAGAACGAGTTCGGACGCCTGGCCACTCTGGGACGGGTGGCGTTGCATGCTGAGTACACCGGGAAGAGGACGGGGTCACAGCGACGAGTCGGAAGACGCACGGAAGAATGTCGCACAGATGAACGAGCAGCTCGGCGTGCAGATAATGGTGTTATATATGCGCTACGCGCCAGTACCGGCCACAAACGGGCCCAGCCAAGGACCACAACATTCTTCGACAAGGAGGACTAGGGAAGATGGAGTGGCCTGAGGTTCTGGAGCAAGGTCGTTCGGGTACTCGCAGCCTTCAAAGAAGGTGTTGCGGCAGGTGCCTTTGGAGTTGACAATCGGCGAAGCTGACAAAGAATGCTTCAGGGAGTGGCGGGGACGACTGCGGAGAGGTCTGGACGGTTTGAAAGCTGTTGTGGTCGAACAGCGAAGAAACGATGGTCCCGAAGCAGATCTCAATCGGGAGCGGTGACGTGGATAACTGTCTCAGAAAGGTACGCAGCTCGGAGCGCAAAGAATCCGGGGGAATATTTCATGTATACGGGTTTCGCGCCCCTTGCTGGCGCCCTCTCCTACTTCCCGAGGTCATCATCCCCGCTTGGCAAGGTTGATTGCAACAAGCGTGTTCGAGACCCGTTTTCCAAACGGGCGAGAGATCGTCGGAACGTTATGGGTCCGCGAGGATGGGAGATGGCAGGCCCTCGAAATGCGGGAAGAGCGCACCGACGTACAGCGCGAGGCGCAAGCGGATGACCTCGTCGTAGTCCTGCCCATCGAGACCCACCGGAAGGCGTCGGAGTAGGTATCCAGAGGGTTGCGGAATGGTAGCCGGGTGGGCGGCAGGTTGACGCGAGTCTTGAGGATGAGCGTTTTCAGCCGCGCGCACGCGGCGGCCATTCCCTCAGCGAAGGCGCGCCCAACTGTGATATCGTCGAAGTTTGAAGGAGAGACCATGATACAGTGGCCACGCGGCCAAGTATATGTCGTTGATGGCTAGTGCAGGGTGGTTTAAGGGTCCCATCTCGACGACCATGAGGCTATGCAATTGGGGCACGGGTTTTTACGTTTGAACGGCGTCCTTCAATGGTTCGAGGTGTTGTCACATGGAGGTGAAAGGAAATGCGCTGGAGAGTTGAAGACATTGTAGGATCCGGACCATGTGCTGAGCGTTTGGCGTGTCTATAGAGGATGGCTCCTGGAGTGCTAGAGGGGGAGAGAGGGATGTTTCGTTAAGGACTCGAACACTGGTCCCTGCTGTAGAATTACGGCACGTGAGAAAACGCGTGACTGACGCGTTACCGCGCGCCACAGGAGGTCACTCTGTGAGCGCGACCACCAGAGTCGCGTCGCCTCACGTTCTGAATCTTCTTCCATCCATCCCTACCATGTCCGACTCTCACCACTTCAGTATGTCGCAGCGCAGCACGCAGTCGTCCATCTCTGCGTACTTCTCGCAGCAGCCCTCCGCCTCGCCGTCCAAGCTATCCAAGACCTCGCGGGCAGCCCCAATAGACCTCACGCTCGACTCAGACGAGGACACGAGCGCGCCCCCTGCAAAGCGACAAAAGACCTCGGGCGGGTCCTTTGACCGGAAGGCGTCCTCGTCACGTCCCCGCCAGGTTGCGACGCCCCCGCCTAAGCGGACGGGCCAGGCGGAGCAGTGGCGCTTCGACCCCGCCTCTCCCACAAAGTCGCCCGAGAACGCGGGGGCTCGGAAGGCCAGCAGCGCGCTCACGAGCGGGCGAAGCGCATCCTTCTCGGCGACTCTGACGTGTTCCAGCGGCGAAGAGAGCGGTCTGCCGTGCCGGATGGCACGCCCTCGTCGGACGTGGAGGAGGGCGGGGAACAAGAGGATGCAGATGGGGACGGAGAGGCGGAGGCGGACCGCAAGTTCGGTGAGCTGATGGACATGTTCGCAAGCAGCTCAAGCAAGAAGAAGGGAAAGACAGCGACCAAGAAGAGTGTTGGGCTCAAAGTGCTGCGAAGACCAAGAGCCAAAAGGCGGAGGAACTAGGACCGAGCGGCAAACCGTGGACCCCGTTCGAGCTGCAGGTGCGTCGCGTGTTGTCGACCGGGCTGTCTCCCACTCAGCCATGCGAAGGTCCGAGAGTTGAAGGCAAAACACCCGGGCACTGTCTTGATGATCCAGTCAGGGTACAAGATGCTGTTCTTCGAAGAAGACGCTAAGGTGAGACTGCGAGCCGAATGCTTGAACGATTCAAGTTCATACTTTCCTCCACGGCCTAGATTGCTTCGAAGGAGCTGGGCATGGTTTGCTTCCCCAAGCGCAACCTGCTAACGTCCATGATCCAATCCACCGATGCGACGTCCACATGAAAAGTATGTAAACCACCCAGCGTCGGACCTCTGCTCAAAGCAACCCGCAGACTTCTCTCGCAGGGCTACAAGGTTGGCGTCGTGGAACAACGGAGACGGCAGCGCTCAAGAAGGCGGCGACAGCCGCAACGAGCTCTTCGCGCGCGAGGTCACCCGCCTCTATACCGCTGCAACGTACGTCCAGCTCCACAAGTACTGGAATTAGTGTCGCGTTTCCTGACAGACCTACTCCAGTTTCGTGGACAATTTGAGCACTTTAGATGAACTAGACCCGAACAACGCCCCTCCGCTCATGTGTCTACTTGAAGAACCCCAAGGCGGGATGGGCACGGACGAGCGGGTCTGTTGGCTATGATTTCGATTTCTCCGAGCACGGGCGACGTCGTCTGGGACGAGTTTGAGGGTGTGTTCGCCCTACCGCTCACTCTGAACATGAGGCTGACAGGCGCGCAGATAACCACATGCGGACCGAGCTAGAAGTAGGTCGTGCACAGTTCGCCTGGGTTCGCGAGCCGAATGCTCACGGCGCGTTTCTGATGGCAGACACGGATGGTTCACACCAAGCCATACGAGCTCCTTTTGCCGACCAAGGGATTGAGCCCTGCGACGGAGAAAATGATAAAACATTTCACCGAGTGCGTCTGTCTCTCGCGTTGGCCACCGCTTTCTGCTTATAGTTCGCGATGAACGCCAGACATTCGCACATGGAACATCGTATTCGAATAGAACGTTTTCGGAAGCAGATGGCTTACAGCGACGCGTTCGCCCTTCTGTCGAAGTTCTACACCGAGAAGCACGCCGACGCGTCGGAGAGCTTCAAGAAGGGTGAGCCGCGTTTGCGATGTACCGACCTCCCGATACTGATCCACTGCCTCCAGGCGATCTTATGGCTGCTGTCGCTGCGTTCTCGAAACTCGTGGTGATCGCGCTCGGACAGTCGCTCAAATACCTCAAGACGTTCAACGTCGCGGACGCACTGCGCGAAACACGGTTCTTCGCCAAATTCACGGAACGGACGCACATGCTCCTGAACGCCAACACCCTCACGAACCTGTACGCGCTCCTCCCGCGCATCGCAATCTCGAGCTGACACTGGCCGCGCGCGGCACACAGAGAGATCTACCGGAACGACACCGACTACACCACGACCGGCTCGCTCATGTGGATCCTGGACCGCACGTCGACCCGCTTCGGGGCGCGCCTGCTGCGAAGCTGGGTCGGGAAGCCTCTCGTCGACCCGAAGTGCACTCCGTCCTCCCCTCTGCTCCGCCGCGGCTGACCCCCTCTGGTTTCCCGCAGCGCGCTCCGGGAGCGCACAGATGCCGTCGACGAGATCCTCGCGAACCGCTCCCCGAAGCTCACCCAGCTCCGGGAGGTCCTCCGGCGCCTACCCGATCTCGCCCGCGGCCTGTGCCGCATCCAGTACGGGAAGTGCACCCCGCAGGAGCTCGCGACGCTCCTCAAGGCGTTCCGCCGGGTCGCAAGCGCGTTCGCCCCGGCCACCCGAGCCAGCCGCCGCCGCGGAGCCCACGGGCCGAAAGCGAGCCTGCTCGTGCGCGCATTGGAGGCGCTGCCGCGGCTCAAGGGGCCCGTCGAGGAGCTGTGTGCGGCGGTCAGGTTTGACGCGGCCGCGGAGGGGAAGGAGGACCAGATGTGGACGGACCCGGACAGGTATCCGGACCTGGATGAGGAGACTACGGTGAGCCATGCGTTCCCGCGAAGGATGTGTCCCGAGGCTCACAGACGAACGACACAGTGGATACAAGTCGCCGAGTCGGAACTCAAGGACGAGCTGAGTGGTATCCGCAAGGTGCTCAAGAAGCCTGCGTTGCAGTACACCACCTGGATGACCGAGGAGGTAATACCTCGCCCCGCGCAGCCCTGCCGCGTCCGCCTGACCCTGACCTCTCCCCAGTACGTGATCGAGGTCCGGAAGGACGCGAAGCACGACATCCCCCCAGACTGGACGCTGCTCTCGAGCACCAAGTACGTCCGCCGGTACCACACCCCCAACGTGCGCGTGAAGCTCCAAGAGCGCGCGCAGCACAAGGAGGCGCTCGCGCTCGCGGCCCGCCGCGCCTTCCGCGCCTTCCTCGCGGAGATCGCGGACGAGCACTACGCCCTCCTCCGCGACGCGGCGAACCAGCTCGCGGTCGTCGACTGCCTCTTCAGCCTCGCGCAGGTCGCCGCGCAGGAGGGCTACTGCCGCCCGACGTTCGTCGAGCCGGAGGACGCGGACGTGCTCGAGATCGTCAACGGCCGGCACCCGATGGTCGAGGCGGTGCGCGCGGACCCGTTCGTGCCCAACTCGGTGCGCATGGGCGCGGGCCACGCGCGGCACCTCATCGTCACGGGCCCGAACATGGGCGGGAAGAGCTCCGTCGTGCGCATGGCTGCGCTGTGCGCGATCGTGCGTGTCCCTCTCCCCTCCGTTCGTCCGTTCTTCCGCCACGCGGTGCTGACTGCGGTGTCGCACGCAGATGGCGCAGGTCGGGTCGTACGTCCCCGCGGACTCGATGCGGCTGAGCCTGCTCGACGGCGTGCTGACCCGGATGGGAGGTGAGCGCACGCTCTCCGGAATCTATTGACGAACGCTGACACGCATGCGCGCGCGCACAGCGTCCGACGAGCTGTCCCGTGGGCGGTCGACGTTCATGGTCGAGATGCAGGAGACGAGCGACATCCTCCGGATCGCGAGCCCACGAACGCTCGTCGTCCTCGACGAGCTCGGCCGCGGCACGTCCACGTTCGATGGGGTGCGTCCCGCCCTCCCCCCTCCGTGCCCCGGTAGCACTCACGCGCGAACCGCACGCAGATGGCGATCGCCGGCGCGGTGCTCCAGCACCTCGTCCAGACCGCCAAGTGCAAGACACTCTTCATCACGCACTACCCCCAGGTCGCGACGGACCTCGCGCGCGCGTTCCCCGCCGCGGTCGGCAACGTGCACATGGGCTTCACGGAGACGGCGCGGCTGAACGGCACCCGGGACGTCACCTTCCTCTACCGGCTCACCCCGGGGCTCGTCCGGGAGTCGTTCGGCGTCGAGTGCGCGCGGCTCGCGGGGCTCCCGGAGGGCGTGCTCGCGGTCGCGGCGGACAAGGCGGCGGGGATGAAGGCGGTCGTCGAGGAGCGCATACGGCGCACGAAGTGAGTGCGCGGCGACCCCGCGGCGAGACGACGCTGACTTGATCGCGCGCACAGGCTCCGTCAAGGCGGCCGGCTCGTCCAGCAGTGTCTTTCGTCCGGGGGCAGCGTCCTCGAACGCTCGGTCGCGCTTGACCGACTGCGCGATCTACTAGAGTCCATGTCTGTCTCCGAGCCGTCTACTACACACTCCTAATCTCCAGAACGCTACCCGGACTGCGCTTTACGCACTTTTTTGCGCTTCGTCTTCTTCCCGCTCGCGTCCTCCGCCACCTCGTCCACCTTGCGCTTCGCCGCTTTCTTCTCTCCCTTCGCGGGCCCGTGCCCTCCGTCTCCTTGACCGCACCCTCCTTAGCGTTCTTGCCCTTGCTCTTCTTCGCCTCCTGTTGCGCCTGCACGATCTGCACGACCTGCTTACACATCGCCGGCAGGCTCGTCACGCCCTTGAACCGCTCGCTCGCCGCGAGCGCACTCCCCAGCGCCGCCCACTTCGCCGGCGGCCACGCGCCCGCCACGGCCTCGGCGTCCGCCGCGACGCGCTTCGTCTGCCGCGCCGCGACGAGCGCGAGCTTGAGCGCGTCTTTCGCGTGCGCGGGCTGCACGGCCGACTCGGCGTCCGCGCACGCACCGTTTAGCGCGTCGAGCAACGCGGCGCTCAGGGTCGCCATGAACGGCACCGCCTCCGTCTTGTCCCGCCCTGCGCGATAGCAGATCGAGCGTCAATAAACAAACAAAACGAGCAGAGAGAGGTGGTGCTCACGACTGCCTGGATCTGGTTCACGAGCGTCTGGAGGACGTGGAAGCACTGCGCCTGCCGGTACGCGTTCAGCGCCCCGCCCACCGCCTGCACCAGGTCCGCGCGGAGGCCCCACGCGGCCGCGGGCAGCCGCTTCACGAGCTCGTCGAAGAAGGCGGTGTTGAGGCGCGAGGCCTTGCGGGCGACGAATCGCGCAGGCTCGCGCGGTACGCGTCCAGCACCTGCGCGCGCCCCGCGTCGCCCGCGTGCAGGAGCGCCTTGGACAGGAAGAGGCTGCACGCGGCGAGCGTCGCGAGCGCGTCCGCGGACGGCGCCTTGCGCGCAAGCGCGTGCAGCGCGTCGAGCGCCTTCGCCGCCTCCGCTGCGTCCTCGGGCGTGGCCAGCGCGGGGACGTCCTTGGCTTTGGCGAGGCGGGTGCGGAGGATGCCGGCGGCCTTGTCCGCGAGCTGGCGCTCGTCGGGGCCGGTGGAGGAGACGAGGGCGACGAGCGGGAGGACGAGGCGGACGGCGAGCGGGCTCGCGGCGTGCTTGCGTGCGAAGAGGTCGACGAGGTCGAGCACGCGCGCCTTGAAGTGCGTCGCCTCGCGCTGCGCGTCGACGTCTGTGCGGGCCAGAGGTGAGCGTCGTACGCCGGATGAGGGGAAGGGGGAAGGGAAGGCGGAGGGAAGGCGTTACCTTTGCCGTCCCGCTTCTCGGCCGCACGCGCCTTGAACGCGGCGGCGAGCTGCACGTCGAGGGCGAGCATCTGCTCGTCGTCCATCAGCTCCTCTTCGGACTCCTCCTCGTCCGAGTCCCCGGTGGCCGCCGCGATCCCGTTCACCCGCAACGCCTCCTCGATCTTCTTCCTCAGCTCCAAGTCCGCCTCTTCGTCTTCGTCTTCCTCCTCCTCTTCGTCCTCCCCGTTGCTGTCGGAGGAATCCTCGTCCTCCTCGGCGTCTTCGGCGTCTTCGTCGTCTTCTCCAGCGCCTTCCATTTCCACGTCCTCGTCTTCCTCGTCCGCCATGAGTTCCGCCGGGTCCCGGCGCTCGAGTTGCTGCAGAATAGAACGGAGAAGATTCGCAAGTACGATTAGCGACACGAACTGCCTAACGCGCCGCGCGGTGCACATCGCCCGGGGTCTAGCCCCCTCCCCCGCACACCGCGCGCACCGCGCAAACAGGAAGGAAAGGTGAGCGACTCACCGCCAGGACGAGATCGATCGTGCTCGCGGTCGCGGAGCCCGACAGGAGGGCGAACGCCTGGTTGGCCGCCGCGCGGAGGTACGCGGTGCCCTTCTCGAGGAAGCCGATGACCGCGTCCGTGAGCACGTCCACGGGCGCCGGCTCGCCGTCGTCCTCCGCGCCGTCCTGCGCGGGCGTGCGGCCCTTCTTGGGCTTCTTGCTCGTCGCGGGCGCGTCGGGGAACATGCGGGACGCGCCGTCGATGCAGCTCTGCGTTGCATGGGCGCGAGAGGGGGAGATAGGCCACAGGTGAGCGCCGGGGCCGACGGGAATGAGAAGGAGATGGACGCACCTCGAGCGCGTCGGGATCCGCGTCGTCCTCATCCGCACAGTAGGCGTGCAGCAGCGTCGCCGCGAGCAGCAGCTCGACCCCGCGCGCCGCCTCGCGCCGGTCGTCGTGCACCTGCAGCGATGACCTCAGTACGTACAGTTGACCGGTGCAGCCACAGCGCTCACGTCCTGCACCCGCGCGATCACCTCGCGCGCCTTCTGCCGGAGCGCAGCCTCGTCCTCGTCCGCCTCGTCCAGCGGCCGGACGTGCTTCGTGTCCTTCTCCAGCGTCCATATGGTCTGCAGCGCCCTCGAGACCCACAGCCGGCCGTCGGCGGCGACTGCGGGGACCTTGCTCGCCTTGCCCTCGTCGTCTAGATTGCACGTACGCGCGCCCGCCGTCGTCAATCTCCGTCCAGCCCCGATTCCAGCGGCGGGGCCCAAGCGAGCCACACGGAAGACACAGGGAAGGCGCGCACCTTTGATAACAGTGGCCTGCGACGTGAGCTCCGCCAAGCACGCGAGGAGCCGCTCGCGGCAGGCCCGTCGCAGATCGTCCGAAAACGCGGTGTGGGAACCGTGCGCAGCTGGGGCGGGGAGAGCGCAGAGCGCGGCGTCAGTTCCAGCTCTTCGGAGGCAGCACGAAATTAACACAGCCTGCCGTACGCGGACGGAACATGCGTCTCGTATCGCGAAACGTGGCCCGCGAGAAGCGCGGAGAGGGGAGACGGAACGCAGCGGCGCCGGCTGGCGTGATGGCAGGTGGAACGAAGGGCGTGGGGGAGTGCGCGAGCGCGAACTTACCGCGGCGATGGCGCTCTTGTTCGGAATCTTGGCCACAATGAACAGGCCATGGACGATCAGCCAGTCGAGGATCGTCTGCATCCATCCGTCGGCCTTAGGCACCGCCGCGTTGCGGACTAGTGCGCTGAGCTGGTCGACGATCCACGCCCGCCGGGTGTTGAGGGCCTGTATGTCATCGGCATCGGCGTCCACACTGCTCAGATACGATCGCGCGAGAAAACGTGGCCGATGACGATGGCGCGATACGATGGATCAGCGGTGGCCAAAACGGGACCTGGGTGAACAGAAGCGCGGGAGTGAGCGGAGGAGTACGTACTCTGCGGAAGCGGAACCAGGGGCGGTCTGCTCTTCGTTGACCTGTTTCAGCAGGTAGTCGATGTACGCCTTGATCCCGTCCTCGTCCATTGACGTCAAAATGGTCTCAACCGTCTTCGTCTTCGTCAGCTTGTCGAAGTTTCGGCTTCCGTGCAGACCCGTGAGCTGGAGGATCAGCGAGAACCCGAGAGTAGGGTTGCCCTTCACGACGTTCAGGACATCTGCGGCCTACGATACGCGGGGCGCAAGTCAGGGCCGTGGCATCTCGATGAGCAGCGATAGACGCGACGCGCAGACGTACCACTTGCCTGGCCGCCTTGTGCAGAAAGCGCTCAGAGTTGCTCAAATGGTTGATCCACGACCGCATGAAGTTTTTCGTGAAGAGCATCGGCATGTCCCCAGCACTGACGCGCGGCAGCGCCTTTTGGAAGACCTGGAAGCCCCAATACTTGCGCTCCGGCGACGACGTTGACGCAAATAGCGACTCTATGGGCGGCAGAAACGGGCGACAACGTTAGCCCGAGGCCACGATGTGGCGGAAAAAGGCAGGAGGGCCACAAACCGTCGACGACGATCCGGAAAAACTCTGGGAAGGTGCTCTTTCCGGGCCGCGCGCGGTCGCCGCCGCGCGGCAGAACGTGATCCAGGAGCGCGTCCCAGACGAAATGCACCTGCGGTTTCCAAGACCCGGACTTCGGGAGATCTTTTTCCACATCTTCGTCCGCGTCCGCTTCCTGGAAATCGGGCGCGCGCGCATCAGAAACTCGGGGGCGGGCTCTGAAGGGGGAACGGGGGGACTCGCCTTGAGGACGCGCGCGACCGCGGCCAGGTTCCCTGTGCTGAGGATTTCGGGGGACTTGAAGGTTGGGGCGAGCAGCTTCTTCCAGGCCCTCGTGGGGCACGCCGCCTGTAGTTTGAGGGTGAGGGCCAGTTTCTCCGGTGTCCAGACCTTGGGCTCGGCGTAGACAGCTGACAGGGTGGCCTCGACGGCGTCGTCCTTCCAGGACACACCGGATGCGGTGAGGGCGTCGACGGCCAGGCTGATGGACCACCACGCGCTTTCGCGCAGCCAGGACTTCTTTTCTCCGAGGGCGATGAGTTGGGCGATGACATTCTCGAAGCTCGCGAGGTCGGAAGCAGAGGTAGACGAGGAAGGGAGGGTCGCGTCGCGCAGCAGCAGTCCAGATTGAATCACAGACGTAAGCCCGAAAGGCGAGCAAAGAGGACGTCGCGCTCCTCTTGGCCGTTCATGGAACCTTGAGTTTTGGACGAGTCCAGGACAAGCTGTACGATTTGCGAGCACGTCACCGTGTCTAGGCGAGCTAGTAGCTGCGCAATGGGAGCCGGAATAGCAAGTGCACGGGGTCAAGGTAATGTGCGCATATAGTCAAGGGAAGGACGCACCTCCGTCAATGCAACCGCAAATCCTAACCTGCTGCTCTCTCTCGGGCTCGCAAGCCCACGTATCAGTCGTCGGATCGAGTACGAGACATCTTGAGCATTGAGAGCGTCGAGCCCGTCTGCTTTGCCCGTGGCCTTGTCCTCGTCGTCCTCGTCGTCCTCAGACGTCTCCGGGGAGGTCGGTTTGGGCACGAAACTGGACTGAAAATGTTCGAGAGCAGCAAGAAGCTTCGCGGACGCGTCAAGACGCTCCTTTTTGCTGGCCGAAGAGAGGTGCCAGAAGAGAGGGAGAGTGGTGGACATGGCGGTGGCTGAGGACAAGCCCACCCACGCTTGCTGCCATGCTCGGCGGCTCGAAAATTCTGGGGGAGATAGACGCCCTTGATGATCTCGTGTTTATCTTATCTCTCAATTACTGCGATTGCACCTTTCCGGGGCATATCTACTTATCGTCTTGACAAGACACCAACTCCCGTCGCTCACGCTCTTCTCGTTCTCTCGAGCGATGCCGATCGGTCTGAATTGAATGCTCTATTCGAAACATAGGCTCGATGTCTAAATGGTGGCACACACGCCTGATCAGCCCGCGCAGGAAAGGCCCGCCTTCTTTGTGCACGCCCGCCGGGTCCCGACTGCCCCGCGCTGCGCGAGAAGCCGGGGATGACGCAAGGGACGACGCCAGCGGCGGGGCCGCGGCCGCGGCTTAGGGTGCGCGGAAGCGGGAGAAGAGGAAGCCGCACCAAACGCGGCCGTGCGCGCGTCCCGGCCCACTTTCCTCGGGGGCGGGCGACGATCGAACCAGGGCGAGGAACGCGCGGGGGTAACGCCGTGCGGGAGACGATCTCGCGCGTGGGGAGCGTCGGGGGTTGCGAGGGGGCTCGGGCGCGCGGGAAGGAGGCAGCTTATGGCTGGTCGAGTCGAGGGCCTAGGCGGGCTCGCGGGGCTGGAACCGCGCGATGCCGGGGCGGGCGTGGGCGTCGGGGGTCGAGACGTCGAGGAGTGGTCGCCGGGGAGTGGGGGCTGAGAACGTTCGGCGCATCGTCGATCGAACCTCGATGACGTCGGGGAGCACCGCTCGCCCGCCTTCCCGCGAGCGCGCTGGGATCGCCGTCGGTGGCGTCATCGAGCTCCTTCTCCCGCCTCTCTCTCCTCACGGTTCCCGCCCTCGTCGAGCTCGTCGTCCCGCACGGCGAGCACGGCGTCGACAAAGACGGCAAGCGACGTTTCTGTTCGACGCGAGATAACGGCCTGGGATCAGTGTGGGGCCCCGCAATGCCACGACGCGTGGCGGCGCACCTGTGATATAACCACCTCTCCACCCCACCCGCCTTCCCGTCGTCCTCGGCGTTCCTTCTGCCCAAGTGGAGACCAGATAACCATCCGTGGGCGTCCCACCCCTGCGGCATAGGGTGCAGAAGCCGGCATTGAGCACCAACGACGTATGGGGTGGAGAGAGAAACGTACGTGCGGGAAAGCCTGCGGGGGTGGTACCGACCTCTGCGCCTCCAGCCCCGCAACCCCCACGGCAGCCCGTGCGCCTACTCCGGCTCGTCCGGGGCGTGTTCTGACTCACGGGCGGGGGGCAGCGCGGGATATCACGTCTTCCCTACGTAGCCGTCTCCTGGACGCCACGGCCTCTTACGCTCTGGGAGGACGTATCGGACGGCCGAGGAGGAGAAGATGAGGGTTCGGGAGCAAGGCCCGCACAGAGCGCACGCCCCGCACCCCCGCGCACGTCGCGCACTCCCATGGTTGCGGCTCCCCCGGCCTCTCGCCCGGTCGTTTACGACAGGGCATCAGACCCGCGGCGGGCCACCTGACCCCGCGGGGGCCCTCGCGCTCGCGCTTCGCATTAGGCAGCCCGCTTCCCTCGCCCGCCAGCCCCGCGCGCCCAGCGGCGAGCGCAGCTGCCCCGTGGGCGTGCGACGCCGCGTACGGCGCCGTCCGTAAGTACGTGTTCGCCGTCCCAGGGCCTCCTCCAGCCCGCGTTTCGCTCGGCGTCCGAAGCGGCGACACAGAAGGTGGGGTCATTCGGTGCGTGGCGCTCGCGCTACGTGATAACACCTCGGCGCCGCGCGTGCGTGCGTCACAGACGGCGGGTGAGCGGGGCGCGACGGCCTTTTCCCTCGAGTCGCGGTCTCGGTGAGGGAAACGGCTGGAGGTGCCAGGCAGGGTGCCGATGTGTCGTGCGCCCTGGCGTGAGCGTCGAGGGCGGGGATGAAAGCGGGAAGATGCGGGGTAAGGGCGCCCTCCACGCCGTGCGTTTGATGGCATTACCCCGCATATCGCGGCGCCTGGGTGCCGTAACGCGAGGCGCGCGCGGGCGCATGCATACTCAGTGTTCGCTCAGCAGCCGGGCGATCTGGGGGACGGAGGTACCGCAGGTTGGGTGCGGGCGGACCGATGCCTGGTTTGGACGGCGCGCGGGACATAGAGAGGGTGTTGCGGGCGGGTGAGAGAGGAACACGCGAGGACGGAGAAACCTCTGGGATACGCCGAGGGCTGCGATGAGATGTCGCGAGAGGGCCAGTGGCGGCCTCCGGGGAGATGGCGGAGTGGCTGGCGAGGCGGAGGGTGCGCTGGAGCCAAGTTGGAGGCCAGATCCCGATGGAGAGATCGCAGGGGTCGCGCCGATAGCCGATCGAAACGAGTCGCCGGGCCCCCGTGGTTTCCCCGGCCCCCCGGCGCGAGCCACAGGCGGCGCGCCGTATTCTCTCCTTCAGCCAAACACCCGACCCCGCATAAATACATCCTGGCCTCCTGCCCTCGACTCTCATTCCGCCCCGTGCTCCACACCCGCCCAGCACTCTCATCCTCTCATCCTCGACGCTCTCCCCGCCGCACCCCCCCACGCCCACCACACCCACACCTCTCTCACCACCTCCCCGACACAATGTCCCACTCCGTGCTCTCCTCCTTCGACCCCCTCGCCACCCACCCGTTCACGAACAACTCGTCGTGCTCCCCAAGCCCGCCGCGCCCTCACAGTACGGCGCGCACCCCGTGTCCGCCTCGAGCATGTCCCCCCGCCGCACGCACAGGGCCCCATCATCCTCACCACCGCGCCCGCCCGATGCACGCCCGCAGCCGAAGCGCGCCGCGCCCGCGCCGTCGGCCAAGGGCTACGCGCGCCACGGGCAGCCCGCGCCGAAGCCGATCTTCGTCCCCTTCCGCCCCGACCGGTCCTCGCCCGACCTCGAGGACATCCTGCTCAAGAAGAAGTTCGCGGACGCGTTCCAGGGCAAGGCGGCGTGGGGCATCGACCAGGTCGGGCACCCGATCGCGTCCTCGGGCCGGCAGGGCAAGGCGCAGTGAGCGCGGCGCGGTCGCCCTCCTGCCATACCCCCCTCATGCTTCCTATACCCGCCTGGTGAGTGTCCTTTCCGCGTCGTCGAGTGCGCGCTTCCTCGAGCACGGTCGCCCGGCCACTGTGTCCCCCCTGCGCCTTTCGGTTTCATCCATGCTCATCTCCTGCAACAGACCACCCATTCCCCCTCACGACCCACACCCACCACCCATGGCGCCGGCGCCGCAGGGCTCGGGCCCGACGCCTCCGCGGCAGCCGGGTGCCCGTCCCGCCATTTCACGAGGGGCACCTCCACAGGACCCCGCCGCCTTGCACGGCGGTGACCCGCTTGGAGACAAGCACGAGATGAGACGTCATGCAGAGACAAACCGCCGGCGCGATGAGCGACGCCGGCGTTGTACCATAGGGATACCGTTTATACCTGCACGGGGTAATGGGGACGAGAGCCGGCCGGGGTGCCGCCTGGCGAGGCGGGCCCCAGTAGTGGCCGTGCACGCCGTAGAGTACGTAGTCGCCGCGGCGGATCGAATCGCTTGCATACATCCACATCCACTTGCTTTCTGCGCACGCACGCACGCACGCACTAGCTTTCTATCAGCAACACGCACGCTTCCACCCTCTCTCCGCCCGCTGTCTGCGCCCGAGTGTGGCACTCGGATAGATCGCGCCTCCGAGCCCAACGGGATATCGCAATCCGTCCGTCCGTCCGTGAGTAAGTACCCCCATCTCGTCCCCTCCCCCCGCGTCCATTCATCCTCCCGCCCCGCCTCCCTTCGCATCTCTCCGCGCCGCCATCCCTCGCTGCTCTAGCCTCTCCCAGCCTCCGATACGGCCACGACGTCAGCTGGGTCGCTCCTCCCGCCCACCAGCCATCCGATGCACCCTCCGCGTCCACCGGTTCCAGCTCTGGCGGCGAACGGGCCCGTCCCACCTCCCCCGCTCGCGCTCCCGGCCGGCAGCGTCTACACGTCCTGCTACTGCGAAGAAAACGCATACCTGCTCGCGCGCGCGCTCCACGAGCGGCTCGCCCCCGCCTCCGCACAAGACCGCGCGGGGTGGGACGTGCACGTCGCGGTCGTCTCGAACGCGGCGAAAACGGTACCGCACCCGCTCCATCCTCTTCTTGATCACCTCCCTCGCGCCCCGCGCCCCACGCATTTCACGCAACGTTCAAACGTTCACCCCGCACGCTCCGTGGCCACGCGCTCCCCCCGTCCGTCGCGCTTCTCCCTTCTCTCTTCTCAAGTTCTCCCGTCCCACGCGCTTCGAGGTCGGCCGCTGCTGCTGCACTTCCCACCGCGCATTCGAACAGCGATCGAGGGGCCGCGAGGCCGCCGCGCTCTGCAGGTCGCCGTCTTTCGAATCGGCGCCGCGGCTCGGCGGACTCTCAGCCATCCGCGCCCGCGGTTCTCCTTGAGAGCCGAGGGCCGAGGGCGCATCTCGAGCAGTCTGCGAGGGGTGGGGATGGGGCTCGAATGCGGCACGTCGCGTAAGACGCGCGGGGACGGAGCACTCGGATAATACATATACGTGGCTCGGAGTCGGAGCGCACGCGAGCTGCCCGCGTTTCGACGTCTCCGACCCTCCGTGCCCGAGGAGTCAGGACGGAGGGTTGCGCGGGGCAGGGCCCAGCCGGGACTGGTCTTGCGCTGCATAGCTCTCGCGTCCTGTTTCCCTTTTTCATTCCGCGCGCATCACCGGCCGGGGGGAGAGAGAGGATCGGCGCGCCCACAATCCAGACTCACAATTGGCACTGCACGCCACGCCGGGCGGGCTCCCGCCGACGCGCGCACGCTGATCATGCACATTCATCACAGGTCGCGCTCTGGAGCCAGAAGGCGGCGCGCGCGGGGAGCGGCGGCGTCGTCGTGTGGGACTACCACGTCTTCGTCGTCCTCCGCCGCCGGGACGCGGAAGCAGAACAACACTTCGAACTCCAAACAGGCGCCCCACCGCCTGACCCAGGTCGCGAAGCCCGCATGCACGACGAAGACGACGACGTGCGCCGGCCACAAGCCGTTGGCAGCGAGGGAGGATCGATGGGCGGTGCGTGGGCCGGGGCCTGGGTCTACGACTTCGACACGAGCCTGCCCAACCCGTGCCCGTGGCGAGGTGAGCTTCCGTCCGTCCGCGTTCTCTCTTCTCTCTTTCTCTCTCTCTCTCTCTCGCGCACGCTGGCATTCGACTTCGCGATCGCGCCCGAAACCGCAGGCGCGCATCGCGAGAGCTTCTCTTCCGACCATTGATCATTTGAACTCTGAGCTTGTGCCAGTCGACTCAGTACTCCGTACTCAATACTCAGGCCTCAGGAGGACCAGGGCAGCTACGCACGGGCACACGCCCTGCCACCCCCGCGCGTGCGGGCTCCCGCTGAGAGCCGCGAAGCCGCGGCTTCATGCTCAGGTGGCCCGCGGGCGAGCAAACGGGGTCGTTCGACCACATTCCGCGCCCTTCGACGGCTAACGCGATGCGTGCGCGCGGGGTCTGCTGGCCAATGATTTGAATGAATGGGGGCCGCGAGAGATCTGAGGTACGAGATGCATGCTATACAGCTCCAACTCCCCCGCGCGCGCTCTGTCGTGGCCAGGAGCGTGATTTGACGTCGCTCCGGATACACTGGAGGCCGCACCGGGGAGAGAAGGGGAAAGATTTCGCGCATCCGACCGCGTCCGTCGACGAGACGAGCCATCGGGCGATGGTGCACTCGATGCGCCCTGGCTCGTTGGCCCGCTCGCCCTGCAGATCTGATAGACTGATGCCCCGCGTTTGGGGCGCGCGGGGTGGCTTCGGAGGAGTTGATTGCCTCGGAAAGATTAGCACCCCGGCTGCCCTGTTCCCGCGGCCCGCGGCCCCGTGACGAGCTCAACGGGCTCTGCGATTGCGTCCCGACTCCCTGTGCTCCGCAGCCCCTTCCCGCGCGTGGACGCTCTCTGACGTCGTCGAGGCACGCAGACTATCTCGCGGGAACGTTCCCGTACGCGCTGCAGCCCGCGCTCGCCGCGCGGCTCGACCGCAGGTTCCACAGGTGCGTCTGGCCATCTCCCACCGACATCTCTGCCCCACCCTCCCGACGTTGGAGTCCAGTCCGTGATTTCCTCCCGCCCGGGCCGAATGCTAACCGCCGCGCCCCCCTCCCGCAGCCTGTTCAGAGTCGTGCCCGCGCCGACGTATCTGGATCACTTCGCGTCCGACCGCACGCACATGGTCAGCAGACTCGCTCTTTCGCCCTGTTGCGTGCTTTGGGGCGGTGCCGCGGGCGGGGGGTGGAGCGCATATCAAACGTCCGCTCCGAGCTCGTTTCTCCGAGCCTAGCAGACTGGGGCAGACCCCCCCGTCGGCTCTCGCATCGCCCTGGGGAGGTCAGCAGGCGGGGAGGGCGCGGGCCGCGCGGGGGAGCGTACCTGCATTTGCTAGCCGGCGAGGCTTGTTGTTTTGCGGGATAGGCGTCCCGTCGTCCTCCGCCGCCGTTTTGTTCTCCAACTGGTGCAGAGGCCCAAGCTGACCTTGTGTCCCGTTTTGTTCGCGCCGAACAGATAATCACGCCTCTAGCTGCGGATGCGGATGTAGCTAGTGGTGTAGTCGGCGGCGACGATCCTCCACGCTCCACGGATGCGGACGGCACAACGACGCCAGACCGCAAGCAGCGAACAGGTGGTGAGTGCTGGCTGTCCAACTCCTCGGTATCGCGCCCCCAGTTTCTGACCAACTCCTCCCCCTTTTTTGCCGGTGCTTTTTGCACGCCTTCGCTCTCGGTCGTGTGCCCTCGGCGTCGGTGCGGTTGACTCCACCGTGCGGACGCGTCCTCGCTGCTCAATCGAAAAACACACCCATGTGCTGTGGATCCTCGGACGCGCGCGGCAGAAGCGGCGGTGCAGCCAACGTACTCCATGCCGCCCCCGGCGTACCCGCCGCTGTGCGGGCCGGCGGCGGCCGCGCTCGGCGTCACGAACAACCTCATGTCCGCGTTCGTGGCGATGGACGTCGTCGCGCGGACTCGAACGCCCGGGTCGGACGCCGAAGTGAGCGGGAATGCGGGGAAGGTCCCCAGGACTGGAGCGCGGGGGAGGGTGCCGGGGCGGGAGTGGGAGCCCTTCGAGAAGGAGGAAGTGGGGCGAGGGGTGCGGGGTACGGGTGCGTGATGGACGCCGCGGGGTTCGTGCGCTGGCTCGCAGCCGCGGAGGAGGCTGGGTGAGAGGGCCGGCGGTGGTCCGCGGACGACGTCGGGGGTGCTTCGAGAGGGAATGTGCCACGGTTTTGCAACGCTTGCGCGGTAAACGGCGGACGAGATGCGGGTGTGTGCGAGCGCGGGGAAGATCCGGCCTTCGCGCGGGGTGGGTGAGCGTGGGGCGCGGACACGAAGCGGCCCTTTTGTTGCGCATTTACGTGCGGGCTCGCCTTTCTGACGTCCTTCGTTGCCGTCCACGGTTGAGCGAGACAAAACGCTTGCCACGCTCGGCCACGTATCGGTCCGAGTCCGCCGACTGCCGTAATCACCGTGCTGTGACCTGTTACCCGTTGAGCACGTGGGCGGTGTCACGGGGTGACCGGGGCGGCGTGACGGCTGGCGTTGTGGCGCGAGAGCAGAGACGCGGGGTTCGTTCGTTCGCCTCAGTCCTTCTCTGCGCACGACATCCGCTGCTTACTCTCCGCCTGGCTTCGTCATCCCACCACCGGCGCCCTCCGACCTGTGAAATACCTCTCACATCATCATGAACGGGCACGCTGGACCTAGCAATGGTGCCACACCCTCCGGAAGCGATGACGGCTACGCGAGCCAAAGCGACCCCTCCACGAGCACGGGACCGCAGATCAACGGATACGCGCAGTGAGTGCACCTCTTATCTCCCCCTTATCATGCTCTCGCGCTCCGGGGGACTTCTGCGGTGCGAAGAGTGTCCAGGTGTGTGCGCAGGAGCGTTTTTGTCGGGTTCGTGGTGGCACGTGAGATTTCACATGCCTTCCTCCTCCCCACGTATCAAAAAACGACGCGCCCGGTCCTACCATTTACACCGCCCTGTTGCGCGTGTGGTGTTGAATCCACGACAAAAAAGAGTTCACGTACCCGAGTGGTCTTTTGGTCTACGAGCGCCTATCTACATCTTGACATCACTGCAGTGCTCTATTTTCCAGCTTCGTACTGCTCAAGCACCTGCTATGGACCAACTAAAATGACCCACACAGACCACCAAGTATATACGAAGCCCACAATGGTGACATTATCAACCACTTGTTCCACGCAGGTTTCCAAACTGGAGTACGTCCAATGATAGTCGTCCATCTGAACTTGCACTCACCATGTCTAGTAGAACTACTCAGACACACTGCTAGTGCGTGAATAGCCAGCATGCCCTGTATGCGAAAACCTCCTAACCCCCACTTAGCATGTCCGAGCAACTGTGTATCGTCTTCACGCCCTCATTTTGTCTCGATCACCATACCTCGCACACTTGATGTCTACGACGCCACAAACAAGTAATCAGTGTAATATCTACGTTAATCTCGACCACGAGCCCGAAGTCACGGACGAGGTGCGTGGTCCGTCTTGTTCAGAGCGCAGGATCTCACTCTGAGCACACAGGGGTTCCATCTCGGTATGTTTTTGCTCGGCTCACGTCGCGGTCTGTCCTCTGAATCTTCACGCCAGCCCTAGCATATCTCTACTCCTCCGCGGCTCTAGCTAATGTACGCCCCGAGAACGCAAGGAGTGTCCTCGCCGCGGCCTGCTTCCTCGGACGCATGGACGACTTGTGCGACTACGCCTACGAGATGTGCCGAATGTCAATCACTCTCGATTCCCTCCCCTCATGGCTCGAATTCCTCGACTCAGTCGCACCGCCGTCCTCAGACGGCTCGTCAACGCCTGTCGTCGACCAACACAAGCATATGCGCATGGCCGTCTTCGGTCCGTACGCTCAGCGCCTCCGTGACGACATCTTCAACTTCCTCGTCGTGCGACTGCCGACCCTCGTCAACTTTGGCGGCCAAGCCACCCCAGCGACGCCGACGACGCCACACCCCGATGGGTCAAGCGCACCTGCAGATACTGGCCGCGAGACCCTCCTTCAGGTGCACGCACGCGTGCCGTTTGAACTCTTCAAGGCCGCCGTCGAGTCGCCGTCGTTCAACCTCGGTGAGTACCCCCAGGCTTGGCTGTGGCAGTCATCCGCTGACGTCATTTCTCTGCGCTCCGCCCGCGCGGTGTGCAGGGTCGACGCACGCCCGCTTCAAATTCGCCAAGGACGCGATCGAGCTGCGCAAGCAGGGCATCGCGCGCGGCGCCGAAGAGACGGTCGTGCTCGCCTTCGGGGGCTCGACGCAGTCTACGGGCGTGCTCGTCACGCGGAAGATGCGCCGGCGCCAGCTCTATAAGATCGGCGACACCACGTAGAGCATGCCGACTGCGTATCGTAAGCTATTTCCCGATAGTATTCCCTGTTGTGATCGCCTCGCTGCCGTGTTCATCGTCGTCTGTCTTCTGCAGTCGAATTTGTCCTACCGCCCACCCAAGCCACCATCGTGTTGTGTCTATAGGCGATACATTCTTGGCGTCATGTTATATACAATGCTGCTGGACGTTGCTCGCTGGCTACTCGTCGTAGCACGAAAACATATTTTCCCTCCCGATCCTAGTAGTAGTTCTACACACGGACATAAACGGGAGGCGTAATCATTGCGAATTGTATAGATTTGGTTCATATTCAAAGCTACGCGTGTTTCGCTGCGCAATTTCTTGAATTGTTGTCGTTCAGTTGAAATTGCAAGTGAGGTGGACCGTCACGTCGTGTGAGCAAGTGACCGGGGCGTGGGCCCTTCGTCACAGCGAGCACACGTTGTCCCCGTGCCGCCTGTGTTGGTCTCTCTCCAGCCACAGTGCCCAGCACCGTGCGCACTACCCACCCCCATCCTCCGTGCGCCGGCCATGTCCCGCCCACCCGTACGCCGCGCCCAGCGCGCCCACCACTCCTCCACGCCGCCTCCCCAGCCTTCCTTTTCGATCCCACCATCGGACCAGCCGCCATTCGAACACCAGCCGCGCTCAGACCCGCCGACGTACGTCTCCTCGCGGGCGGCGTACCCGACCTTCCTCTCCGCGCAGGACACGGCGCGGCTGCACCTCTCGTGCGCCGGCCGCGGGCTGCTCGACGCGTGCCGGTGGGACACCGTCGTGCGCGTCGTCGCGAGGTACGCGCCCGCTCCCGCTCTTTGTGTGCGAACTCGCAGGGACGAACGCAGGCCCCGCCGCCGTGCAGCGACCCGGAGGTGCGCTCGCACGTGCTCAAGAGCCTCGCCCTCAACACCGTCTCGCTCCTCTCGGTGTACTTCTTCGACTGGCTCGTGCTCCCGCTCGCGCGCGGGCAGCAGCGGTGGTTCCACCGCAACCTCGGGTGGTTCTACCAGGTGCTGTGGCTCCTCCCCGTCGTGGGCGCGTCGTTTTACTTGAACGTGAGTCTGCGCGGTTCACTGCCTCCTCTGCGATGCGATTCGGATACGGAGTGGTGGTGGGACGCCTGGGGACGCACGCGGGGACGGGTCGTGTGCATGCGGGCTTCGGCGGCGGCGGGGGTTCGGATGATGCCACACGTCAGAATAGCTATGAGGGCCACGCTAGACGTGCGTCCGATGCGATACAGTTTCCTATCACTGACCACGACCCCCGCCCGGCCGTACCTCCCAATTTCGCGCCGTCCGTGATCTGCCTCATATCGCGCTGACGGCCTGCCGCAGAGCTCCTGGTGCACGCTCATCGCCAAGCGCACCTTCACCCTCCAGCACGGCGCGCGCGCGGCCGCGCAGCCGCCGGGGACGTACAGCGGCGTGCTGAACGCGCTCGCGACGTCCGCGTACCGCGCGGTGATGATCGGCACCTCCGTCGTGCTCTCCGTCGCGCTCGAGCACGTCCCGTTCGTCGGGCCCCCGCTCGGGTTCACCTTCCTCTGCTGGGTCGACGCGTGAGTGCCCCCGTGCCGTCGAGCGGTGTCGTCCGGTCGCTGACCGCGCCCTGCAGATATTATTGCTTCGAGTGAGCGCGTCGTGGTCTGCGGCGCGGGCTGCGCTCTGTGCTCAACGCTAGCCTCCTACAGGTTCATCTGGATCGCCCGCGGCCTGTCGCTCTCCCGCCGAGTGCGCCACCTCGAGGAGCGGTGGGCGTACTACTTCGCGTTCGGTGCGCTTCCACGCGTCCTTTGCCGCGTCGATCCACGTCGCTGATGCTCCCCCGCTCGCAGGCCTGCCCTCCGCGGCTCTGTGCATGTGGGGCAGCAGCCTCGCCAACGCGGCGCTCTTCGCGCTCCTCTTCCCCTCCGTGCGTCCCCCCTCTCCCCGCCCTTCCCCTCCTTCTCTTCGTCGGATGCTGAATCCCACCCTCGCACACGCAGTACATCATCATGGCGATGCACGCCCGCCCCGCCCCGCGCGACCCGTACAACCCCGCGGCGGCGGCGGACGACGGCGGGGTGCGCTACCCGTCCCCGCTCTTCCCGATCCGCATCCCCGTGTTCGCCCCGGTGCTGTTCCTCAACGACGCCGTCGTGCGCGTGCTCAGCGTCGGCACCGGGGGCCGCGCCTCCGCCTCCGCCTCCGCAGCGTACACCTACGGGGGCGGGAGCGGGGACGGGGGCGGGCACCGGCGCATGTTCAGCGACGGGGCGGAGAGCATCGAAGAGGGCACGGCGCTCAGCGAGGTGGGCGACCGGGGCGGCGCCGGGAGGCTGGGAGGGCCGGCGAGCAGGGTGCGGGTGCGGGGCCCGCAGTCGGTCGTGAGCGCGGCGGGGAGCTCGAGGGCGGGGAGGAAGTTTGACTAGAACCCGGGCGGATTTGGTGTCGTTCAATGGGATGGGTCGGCGAGGAGGTTGCATTGCCTACACACGTATGGGCGTTCACAATCTGATCGCCTTGCACCGTCGCCCTTTTGTGAACTCGAGGGTGAGTGGGCTCAGCATGCCGCAAGTAATAAGATGTGCTCTAGTGCAACAGGAGTAATGTACGGTGAGACGCTACCGACACGCGCCGCTCAGTAGTCGGCGAGCAAACACGACGCGCTCCCCAGCTGTCTCCGGATATCGTGGAAGTCGACGTCGTGGCCTGGTCGACCGTGTGATGTGAGCGGCACGCTCCCGAGAAGCGGGGAACGCACTCACTGTCCTCCACCTCGCCCCACCGCTCTATCTGGCTGTTGACCTCGACGTGCGCGGCCTGCGCGGCCTGGTCGACGTCTATCCTGCCCATGACGAGCGCGAGGCCGACGAGGAACGACTTGGACGTGTACGTCGCGCGCTCCATCGCTGCCCGACGCAAGCACCCGGGGGTCCCGTTCAGCGACCTGGCCCCTCCGCTCGAAGGCTCGAAGGATGACAAGAACGCACCTGCCATCTCCCACGAGGAGAAGCCCTTGAGGATCTCGTCGAGCTTCGCGATCGTCTCGGGCGACTGCTTCGGGACGGCGAACGAGGTCGAGACCGCGATGTCGATGCCGAGCATCGAGACGGCCCAGTCGAGGATCGGCTGCCAGTGTTCCGCCTGGAGCTTCACGAGCGTTGCCGGGGCGTCCGCGTGGTAGCTGCCGGTGCGCCGACGAGAGGGTGCGTCCGTTCAGAACGGATGCGGGGGAGGGAGGGGAGGGGGGAGAGACGGAGACGCACCAGACGGTGTCGGTGCCAAAGTACTTGAGCAGCTGCGCGCGGATCTCCGCGCGCGTGCCCTCGTCCTCGAACGCGTCCAGCGCCCGCGACGCGATCGACGTCTGCGCGGCCGTGCGTGCGTGCGTTTGTGCTCGTCAGCGTCCGCCCCACGCGCACGCGCACGACCCGAGTGCATAAGAAGACACGGAGAGACGCACCATCGGCAGCGCGTGCGGCTTGAGCACCGTCGTCTGGTTCTCCCACTCGGACGCGACGAGCGCGGCGACGAGCCGCTTCTCGGCGGGCACGACGAGCGGGCGCCCGCCGGGGGTCTTGAGCGCGCGGCGGTCGAGGGTGACGGCGTAGCCCCCGTCGCGCTTCTCGATCCCGACGTCCTTCCAGAACCGCTTGAGCGTCGCCTCGGCCCCTGCGCGGCGGGTGCGGGGTCAGTCCCGTGCGGAGGGGCGGCGGGGAGGGGAGCGGGGACGGGGATGGGGGTGGAGACACGTACGGTTCGTCGCCGTCACGGCTGGCCCGTCGTCCGGGGCCGTCGCGTATCGCCGCGCTGAGAGCGCGGCTTGCTTGAGTGTGTGCGGCCGGGGTGCGTGGTGTCGTGCGAGGGGGGAGAAGGCGCGAGTAGCGTGCCGGAACATGGTGGGAGGAGAGAGCAGTGACGTCGGCCGTCGCAGGTCCGCGCGAGCATTTGACCAGCGCTGGCGTCCCGCTGGTTGGACACGAACCACTTCCTCCCGCTCATGACATGGGTCCGTGTCACTTTTTGTCGCAGAAAGAGCCCGTCTTTGTTTACAAGATGACTGGCCCTCGTCAGAGCAACAGCGCAATAAGCCAAGTCGAGCATCTCTCACACTCTCAGCCAGCCTGGAGATTGCATCGCATGGGTATGCGGACCCCCAGTGTATTTTGTGTGGGAAACAAAGGACTCAAGTGTGTTGCACCACGCAGCCTGAGGGCAGCACGAGGATGCTCTGAGGGCACCGTTTGTAAGCACACACATGCACAGACATGCACCTGCTTAAAGCTGCGCAGTCCACTGGGCGCAAATCCCCACACCCAGTGTCTCCCACTTGTCGCCCCTCATCGCAGGATGTCAAAGCCGATCTGCTTCTACGACATACCCGGCACTTCAAAGGCCGTCGCATGGTCTCCAAACACATGGAAGACAAGGTGCGCGCGCTGCCCAACTGGCCAGTGTACTCCATCTCATCTCCCGCTCGCGCGCAGATTCTGCCTCAACGCCAAAGGCCTCCCCTACAAGACCATCTGGGTCGAATTCCCGGACATCGAGGCCGTCTGCACCCAGATCGGCGCCGCGCCCACCGGCAAACAGCCCGACGGCTCCCCCATGTACACCCTCCCCGTGCTCCACGACCCGAACACGGGCGCGACCGTCTCCGAGTCCCTCGCCATCGCCCGCTACCTCGAGCGCACGTACCCCGGCCCCGTCGCGCTCATCCCGCCCGCGCTCGACGGCCTCGTGGGCGACTTCCAGAAGGCGGTCTGGGCCGCGTTCGGGCTGCCGATGATGAGGCTCGTCGTCCCCGCGGTGCACGCGACGCTCCGCCCGGGCGCCCGGCCGTACTTCCGCGCGACCCGCGAGGCGCGGTTCGGGCAGCCCCTCGAGGAGCTCGCGCCCGCGGGGAGCGCGCTCCGCGCGGAGTGCTGGGCGAAGACGCGGGAGGCGGCGGGGGTGCTCGCGGGGTGGTGGGACGAGGAGGCGAACACGAAGGGCCTCGTCCCGCGCGCCGCCGAGGAGGCGGGTGCGGGGGAGAGGACGCTGCTGGTCAGCGACGCGCTACCGGTGTCGTACGCGGACGCGATCATGGTCAGCTGGCTGTACTGGTTCAGGGAGTGCTTGGGCGAGGAGAGCGGGGAGTGGAAGACGATGACGGCTTGGCATGGCGGGAGGTGGGTGAGGCTTATGGCCGCGATGGAGAAGTACGCCCAAGTCGACTCGGGAGAGAGCGTTCAACTGTCAAAGTTGTAGCGGCCAGAACGACACGATTGAGTGTGGGGTACTATGAAAACATTGTATATGGGACACGATTCGTCGCGCCTCCTGCCGCGCCCTTCGGACACGAACAAACACACCGATCGGTTTTGTGAACACAGAACGGCGACGACAGTCAGAGCGACGACGACGCCCCCGCCAAGTTCAAGACAGACAAGGTCCAGCGATGGCCACGAGAGCCCCTGGACGACAAGAAAGATTGGCACCCGAACACCGACCAGCAGGTTCTTGGTCTCGTTCGCGCTTGGCTCTATCCCGCGTGCATCGGCCGCACCCTCAGATGATGGTGCATACCGTTGCGCAAGCTGTGAGTGTTGAGACGGTAGCCTCACGCTAGTGGGCGCGACATCTCACCTGTAGCTTAGTAGAGCCTGTTCGAGGTCTCGCACGTAGTGTAGTCGTAAAAGGAACTGTGTATTAGCAGGCCGGGATACTCTGGTATATATACAGGGTACGAACGAGTGGCTGGTGCTACTGTACAGTACACGAGAGAGGCTGAAACGAGAGCAAAGAAACGGGGCTACACTACGGTATCATAGAGTAGCTAGAGATAGCTCTCTGGAACGGGGGATGCACGATCGGAGACGTGCATGCCATGCAGTGGCGTTCCGTAGAGCGCGCCATACGGCTAGACGCTCTTAGGTAAGCCGAGCCGCTCGGCGGCCCGTGGCCGAGTATGCCGAGCGTTCTCACGCGTAGTCCGCGGTGTACTTACCGCGTTCAACACCCCCCCTCGCTGAGCAGCCGTAATAAAGGCGCATCAGCGAAGTAAGACAGAGGCCTAAGGGTGGAATACAAGCCCTAGAAGAGGGCGGAACTTGAGGAACTTGTCAGGCCCCAGGTTCTTGGTGAAGAGGTCGGCGGGGTTATCTTCGCCTTGAATGTAGAATAATTCAACCTTCTTCGCCTCGACGATCTCGCGTATATAATGATAGCGAATGTCGATGTGCTTGGTGCGCTTCTCAGTGACTGGGTTCGAGGCGAGGAAGATAGCACCCTGATTATCGCTAGAAAGCGGTACAGGCTCGAGGAAGTAATAGATCTCCTCGAGGACGTTGCGCGAATAGACGATTTGACGTCCAGCGTCGTCTACAGCCATATACTCGGACTCGGTGACAGAGTGCGAGACAGTGTTCTGCGCACGTGACTGCCAGGAGAAGGCGGCGTTAGCCATCTTGACGAGGTATCCAGTTTGAGAGCGGCGAGTTGTAGGATCAGTGCCCCAGTCGGAGTCGACAAAAGCGACCATGCCAAGCCCCGAGTCGCCGTCGTAGACCATGGAGTACGATTGAGTGCCGACAAGGTAACGGCAGATGTACTTGGCCTTGGTCAGGTGATCTTCAGATGGGTTAGCGGCGTATTGCGCTAGCTTGGTAACTGCGAACGAGATGTCCGGGCGCGTGCCGAGCATGAGGTATAGAAGCGATCCGATGACCATTTGGAACTCAGCGCGACGCTCGAGGTTCACAGGCTGGTCGTTGGGTTCAGGAATGTACCCGGCCGGTAGAGGTGTGGGCTTGGATTTTGCGTTCACCATCTTGCAGCGCTCAAGGACGGATTTGAGGTAGGCGCATTGATCCAGATGGATCTTGCGGCCGTCGCGTCTGATCGTCATGCGGAGGAACTCCTTGGTCTCGCCAAGGTCGCGGCACTCCCAGCGCTTCATGAACTTCTCCTTGAGTTCGAGCACGAGCGCCTTGTCCTTGCCGCAGAAGAGCGCATCGTCAACATAGATGATGACGAGTACAATACGTCCGTCGCTATGTTTATATAGGAATAAACCAGCGTCGGTGGAGAGTCGGATGAATCCGAACTCTACCATGGACTCGCAGAGGGCGCGCCACCACGCTAAGCCCGCTTGCTTAAGTCCGTAGAGCGCACGAAGTAGTATGAATACTTGGTGCTCATGCCCTCGGATTTTGAATCCTTCGGGCTGCTCCATGTATATCTCTTCGTCTAGCTCGCCGTATAGGTAAGCCTTCCGCACATCAAGTCCAGTCATGAACCAATCTTCGAGCGCACAGAGCGCGAGGATCAGTCTGACTGTCTCGTAGCGTACGACGGGAGAGAAAACCTTGAAGAAGTCTTCAAGTTCAGTCTGTGAGTAGCCCTTTGCGACTAATCGGGCTCTCTTTCGACCATCTGGTTTGATGTCGAATACCCAGCGGTTCTTGACAACCTTGCGGCCTTTCGGGCGGTCGACAAGTTCGAATACATCCCTGCGCTTGAGGTCTTCCAGCTCCTCGCGGCAGGCCGCTTTCCATTCTTCTTGCTCGTCTTTAGGTAAGCGAGCGATGTCACGGAGCGTCCAGTTTCGGACGTTTGACGGATCGGGAGTACTATCTGGTGGTACAGCTTTCGCTGCGAGATAGTTTAATAACTCCACTCCCCCTTCGCGGCACAGCTGTGCCAACAGTAGGTCGTCGACTTCAGACGACTCGCCCGAGGAGGATGATTCAAGAGAGGGTTGTTCCACATTTGAAGGTGCGTTCGGAGCAGCATTTCCGGTTTATGCGCTTCCACTTGCTGATTGGGATTACGATGGCGACTCGCATTTTCTCCAACCATCTTCTTCCATGTACTCTCTTTCTCAATCTCTTGGTAAGTCTTGATGGGGTCTCGTGACTCCCCATAGACGTTTCCTGGACGAACTGGTACTTTCCGCTCACGCGTGCTTTTTCGCGTAGGTTGCTGCGGCGCTTTCGCGCGCTGCTTATCCTTACGTTCAGCAGCCGGTCGCTGTGGCGGCGGACTAGGATCGCGCGAGGGTGGAAGGTCAGGTTCGACTCCCCCTTGCTGCGGTGGCGCAACATTCTGCTGCCCATCCTGTCTCCTTTCTGCGGTTGTGGGAGCACGACGCGGTGCAGGTGCGTCGTCTTCATCATCCGACAATATTTCGTCGCTGACGGTGGGTTGTTTATACGGTCGTCCGACCGGTGTAGTGCCTCGCTTATTGTAGCCGGGGCATCGTGGGAACGAGTGCTCGTCGAAAAGCGCTGATGTCCCGTAAACACGATATTGTTGGGTGAGCGCATGAATTTGAAGCCGTTCACGCCGTCGGGGTTGCCGATGTAAGTCATAAGCTCAGATCTAGGTGAGAGCTTGTTCTGACGAACGTCTTCAGGCAGATGAACATATGCCCCGCAGCCGAATACGCGAAGGTGATCAACTTGCGGCTTCTCGCTGTACACCACTTCGTATGGCGTGACCCAGTCGTGCCTACGTATCGGGGTGCGATTGTAGACGTGAGTTGCGTGTTCTATCGCGAACTCCCACCATGAATCAGGTAAGCAAGCGTCGTGACGCATAGCTTCAGCCTTTTCCATGACAGTGCGGTTGAAGCGCTCTGCGCGCCCGTTCTGTTTTGGTGTATGAGGTGCGCTTTGTTGGATTTTGATCCCTTCATCGCGCAACATGTTGACGAAAGCGTCGGAGGTATATTCGCCTCCAGCGTCTGACCTCCAGTTCGTTATACGCCCATTAAGTTGATTCTTGATCGCGGCGATGAACTGCTTGGTCGCATGAAACGCAGCACTCTTTTTGCGCAGAAACATGGTCCAGGCGAAGCCTGAGTAGTCGTCAACGTAAGTGATAATCCACTTATATTTGTGATACGACAGGACGGGGAACTCCTTGAGATCGGAGTGTATCGTTTCGAATACGCGCTTGGCGCGAGCGGAGGAGGGCGGGAAGGTGCGTGAGTGCATTTTTCCTTCTGCGCATCCTTTGCATAGCGGCGCTTCATCTGGGAAGATGACGCTGCCAAAACCATCTGTATGGTTTCGTGCGTGCTTCAAGACATCAATTGAGGGATGCCCGAAACGTCTGTGCATAGTCTCATAGTCGAGCTTGAACACAGATCGCGATACAGCGAACGCGTCCTCGGGCGGGACTGCCCAGAGGATGTAGATTGAATCCCCAGGTTTCCTAGGTGAGAACCGTAGTAACGGTTTTCCGTTCGGTTTGACTATAGTAAGCGCGGCTTTATCTGCGCGCGCTGACATTCCTTCTTGTAAGAAGGATCCGAGTGAAATGAGGCGTCCACCTAGATTAGGTAGGTAGTTGACGGGGTGCAGCCGTATGGCGCAACGTTCGCCGTCAAGTGCGCTTGCGGTGTTGATGAGTACTGTGCCGAAACCCTTTACGAATGTTACTCCGTTTGCTGTGCGAACAGGGGTGGATTCATCTTCGAGCGGAGTGAACTCAATGAAATCATTGATATCATGGGTATAGTGCTCGGAGGCTCCGGAGTCGCACATCCACGAGATAAGATTCGCGTAATGCGGATTATCAGGGCGCCAGCGCTCATCGTCGGTTAGACCCATCCGCGCGCGGTCTTTTCCTTTGCAATCTGTACACGCAGCGTATGTGAACTTATGCGCACATAGATCGTCATAGCATAGTAAACTAGCTAATACATGATCATCTACATTACTAGTCTTCGCAGCTGTGAAGAGCGCGTTAGCTAGTTGTAGATCGCGCGAAGATGCGAGGACTTGCCTCATATACTCATCGCGGTCAGGGGCAGACCCAAGAGAGACGACGTCGTCGTCCTCCATAGCGCTCTTGTCGCTGTCGGTCTCCACGCCACTGTTGCTGCCATGATCGGAGGCCCATATGATGGGTCCGAGGCGCTCCTGGAGGGATAGGCGCTGCTTCTTAGAAGAAGATGCTGCCGCGTTGTCGGGCTCAGTGATACGCGCGCTGAGCGGGATGTCCATGCGTCCGGACGATGTAGAGACAAAGTTCTTGATCGACTGGATGGACGCGGAGACGTTCTGCTGGGCGGCGGTGTTGAGTGCCTGGACGATGTCGGGATAGACATTGCGGCCGTCCATCGTGTTAGGAGTGCGTATGGCGTTGGTGCGGATGGTGATTCCGTGAGGGTGAATGTCCATGACGCGAGAATAGTCGGGAGGAGGGATAGAACGAGGGAGATCCGTGATGACGGGACCGGGGAGAGGAGCGCGGAGAGG